TTAGGAATTTCTGGTTCTTGGTATGCAGGTTACCAAAAAAAGACCTATGCATGTTGTTGTTGTTTTACTGAAATCCAGCGGTCCTCCAGTTATTACTGGGCTCCAGCTGCCCTCATCCTTGATGATTGGTCATGCTGGCTGGGGCTGATGGGAGTTGAAGTCTAACAAGGGAGCCATACTCTACTCAATTAACTGGGTGGAAGGTCCATTAAGCTCAATGGAACTTTTGATTACACATGTCTAGAATCGCCTTGTTAGCTACAAGCTTCCTCTTTGTGGCCAAAGCGATCGCTCACTTTTTAAAAATAAATGTGGGGTCCAGGTAAATTCTACTTAGAGTAGACCCAGTGAAATTAATGGACCCAAATTAGACACGTCTATTAATTTCAGTGGGTCTGCTGTGAGTAGAATCTATGATGAAGATCACCCTATGCTGTGAGCATAATTGCCTGGTATTGTTGCTGCGAACTTAGGTGCTCGCATAAACATACTTCCAAGTGAGCTTGTATAGGCTTAGGCTCCACATCAGCTTCATCCAATCAGTGCAGTTTGGTCGCCATGAACCAGTCTTCCAGGAAAAACGGCTAGCCACCGTTTCCTGTGACTTAAAGAGTAATGCCTGCAGTTTCTTAACCATGACTTGGCCATGGTTGCTTATGCCTTAGTCACATCCTGGGCAGATGAGTGTCCCATGCTGTAGATAGGGATGCCTTTGAAGAATTATCGGAAACTCCAGCTGGGACAAAATGCAGCCTGGTGTCTGGAAGTTGGCCATGGAGAACATATGGGGCCAATTTTGAAACAGCTGCATTGGATCACTGTTTGTTTCTGGGCCTGGTGTTCATTATTTCCCTTGGAGATTATATTTTTTAAAAACAGCCTGGATACAGGGTCCTTGAAGTCCTATCATATTCTGTATGATTAGCCAAAGGTTAAGTTCTCTTTCGGAGGCTATGCTTTAGAATTAAGCACTTGGGGTGGGTGCTTTTTTTGTGTGGTCGCAGCAAAACCCTGAAACTCTTACTAAAGCCAGGCAGATACTATTTCTTTTTATGGTGGCGGTGGGTAGTACCGGCATTGGTGTACAAAGCACTATACAGCTTGGGAGATAATCTCACTCATTATACATTCAATGCTTCGAAAGGAGAGACTCCTGAAGATGTCATCTCATCAGGAGGTCTGAGCTATACAATCTAGGAATCGGTTGTTTACTGTGGTGGCACCTACCTTTCAAAACTTCTTCTCATTAAATTCCAAATAAGCAGCATCTCTTGTTGAACCTCAGAGCTTTTTCCCCCTGATGGTTTTCAGTGGTATGTAGTACTGGCACCCCCATCACACATATAGTCTGTTGAGGACATGGGGAAAGTAAGCAACAGCCCATTTCAAAACAAGGGTTGGCTTGCCAACTTTGCTTACCAGTCCTGCTCCTGTGCCTTTAACCATAACCTGATATTAAGGAGTTAATTGGGTGAAGCTTTACTTAGCATCATAGTAAGTGGTAGGAAAAGGAATATTCAGGATTCATCCTGCACTCCCAGTTATGGCAGCAGAACCAGTAAAAAGTTGGCAACTCTTATTTCTAATTTTAATTCCTAACATTTTCATCTGTACTTTCTGCTGAGGGCATGTTTTCTTGCACCCTGTGATCAAGTATTTCAGATTGCCTTTCCCCACCCTAGAGTTACATTGATCTTGGTGCTTTCCAGAGAGCATGGCCTGTCCTGCATTAAAGAAGCATTGAGATTTGAACTTTAAAAATGCTGATTGAGTAGTTATTAATGCATGGTTTGTGTGAAATACAAAACCAATTTAACAGCCACTTTTGAAAGCAGTCTAATGTAGGTCATGGAACTTCCATAAACTTCCTAGAAGCAATCTTCTTACTGTGAATCACACACAATGCGATATTGATGGGGATTTGCAGTAGTACATTTTTAAAATGCTGTAATCAGCGGACAGATGATTGTTACCTTTCTGCCTGCTAGAGTTTCTGGACCAAACAGCCATAGGCTGAAACTGAACAGGCTCTATACTCTCTCTCTCTCTCCCCATCCCTGTGCCAGTGCCTGATCCTACTGTGCAGTGTGATGACATGTAAGCTAATACTTACTGCGCCAGTGCAGTATCTCAACCTATAGTGTTGCATCAGTGATACATTTTGACCAGGGGCCAGGAACCTTTTTCATCTGAGGTGGCACATTCTCTCATGGGAAGCAAGGTGATGTGTAACCATGTGATGAGAACAGCTTAAAAAAACAACAACAGCAATTAAACACAACACAGAAAATAACAGCCTATAATTTTAAAAGCAATACAAAATAGACACCCGTCCCAGAGATTGAATATAGGTCATGAAACTTCTTCATAAACCCTTGGCTTCATTTATATCTGGCCATCTTATTCATGGATTGAACCCCATTCCCCCACAGAATGTTGTAATTTCATGTATAAACCACCCTTCGTCCCATAGGACGTTATTTATCATGACATTTAATATTCTCACCAGACACAGGAGGGCGATTAAAGGCGTAACAGAATGAGATACCTTCCAAAAAATGTGGACCCCTTTCTTTAACTATGTTAATGACCAGTCTTCTCAGTGGAGAGGTTGTGTTAAGTAATATGTTTGAACACTGAATGTGTAAGCTTATGTCTAAAGTAAGTCAATGGATAGAAGAAACACCGTTAGATGTACTGCTGGATAAGTGTTTTAATTGTTCCAGTTTTTGTTTATAAATAAATAAATAAATAAATGTTGTTAAAAGAAAAAAAATTCTACACTATTGGTCCCAAGGATCGTCCGTTTCCTTTTGAATGATGGTGTGAGGTGAGACTTCATTGGTACCTGAGACAGCTCCATGCAGGCCACCGGCTGCCAATTCCACCAATCGTCCTCAAACTGAGCCTTAAATGTGAATTGCAATCCCTTCTCAGTTGTTGCTACCACCACCTTCAGCAAGGGGAGCCTTTTCACTTAAACAGGACCAGCCCACTTTAACAGTCATTGACTCTGACAAAACGAGGGAGAATGTGGATAGCATTCAACTAAGTTTTACTCAAAGGTGGCCCGCTCTAGTGGGTGTACTCAGAGTGAAGCCTAGTTGAAGACCACCCTGTGGTTCCACTCGGGCTTCTGAGCTGGAATCAGAAGAGGGCAAGATGGCATCCTCAGGCTGGAGAGGCACTGGCAGGCCTTGTGGACAGATTCCTCTTCCCTGAAGAAGAGAAGCTCAACCTAAAAGTCATGCCACCTCATTCTAGGCAGCCACTAATTATCAAAACAAAACAAAACAAAACAAAACAAAACAAAACACACTTTTAAAGAATTATGCCCATAAACTGCCCTTCTGTATGAGCCTCGACAAAATGGAGTCACCCCCATACAACCATGAATTTTACATTAGAGAATGTTTCATGTAAGCCAAGGGTAGGCAATTCTTAGAGGGCCACATTGTTGTTTAGTTGTTTAGTCGTGTCCGACTCTTCGTGACCCCATGGACCAGAGCACGCCAGGCACTTCTGTCTTCCACTGCCTCCCGCAGTTTGGTCAAACTCATGCTGGTAGCTTCGAGAACACTGTCCAACCATCTTGTCCTCTGTCGTCCCCTTCTCCTTGTGCCCTCCATCTTTACCAACATCAGGGTCTTTTCCAGGGAGTCTTCTCTTCTCATGAGGTGGCCAAAGTATTGGAGCCTCAACTTCACGATCTGTCCTTCCAGTGAGCACTCAGGGCTGATTTCCTTCAGAATGGATCGGTTTGATCTTCTTGCAGTCCATGGGACTCTCAAGAGTCTCCTCCAGCACCATAATTCAAAAGCATCAATTCTTCGGCGATCAGCCTTCTTTATGGTCCAGCTCTCACTTCCATGCATCACTACTGGGAAAACCATAGCTTTAACTATACGGACCTTTGTTGGCAAGGTGATGTCTCTGAATGTGTAAGGGCCACATTACCTTGGCATTAATCCAGCAGGGTCCACAAGTTAGCAGGGACACCTCTCCTTTCCTCTCCTCTCTCTCTCTCTCTCTCTCTCTCTCTCTCTCTCTGTTGTCCCGCTCTTTCTCTTTCTGGGGCTTCCTTCTCTCTCTCCACTTCTTCCTCCCCACCCAAAAATCTGCCAGGGCAGGGATGGAATGCTGTTGCCTACGATTGGGACTGATTACTTATAGAGGGCTTTTGAAACTAGGCTAAGGACTGCATGCCATCTAGGGCGTAGGGTTACCTACCTGTAAAGAGACTCCTGTGTTATATTAACATAAAAATACATGTGTTTAATGCTATTTCTGTTTGTGGCCAAAATAAATGTGGTTGTGTGTTGTTGTTTTTAAAGTTCAGTCATAAAAGGCCAACAGACCTAGACATCAAAGTAGTAAGTCATTATTTAATGACCATTTTCAGGAAAAGTAAGAATTGTGTGCTCCTTGGATCATTATTACAGATTTCCGTTTTCTTGATATTATTAAGCACCTCTGAATAGAGCCTCTGGCTTTTACACAGGCTAGTAGTCATTGTCCTACCCAAGTTCTCCTCTTTTGACTCTGGAAATCTTAACCAGCTTCAAGAGTTCCTGCTGAATTTGTCTCACCCACTCAGCTGATTATTCATCCGTCAAAGCTGACAACCCAAGTACTACCTTAATGTTGCCGAAGGAAAACATGACTAGCGTTATGAATAAAGTAGGTAGCAATCAGGACCCAGCTTCTGGTAGATTTTTTTTAAAAAATCTTCCAAACCTGAAGCCCATTAAAACAGTTAAAAGGTTGCTGCTTCCTGAGCCCTTGCAAAGTGAATGAATATTGATGGAAATGGCGACATTAAGATTCCGCCAATGTAGAAGGAACACAATGCAGTGCTTTTCAACCAGTGTGCCGTGGCACCCTGGGGTGCCTTGAATGGTGGTCAGGGGTGTCGCGGGCACCTCTGCCTCCCCAAGGCCTGTGTGGCTGTTTGCTGCAGCAGCCCTGGCTACAAGCTTCGCGGGTAAATGGTGACTTAGGGGCTGGCCAGGGGGTGCTGGTTGCCAGGAGCTGAGGCAGCCTCAGAGTGGGTGGGTGAGGCAAGTGGGTGAGGGAGCCCAGCCAGCCAGCCAGCCAGTCTGCCAGTCCTTGCTGTTGGGAGAGGATAAACTAGTGGGAGGCTAAGTGGGCAGGTAGGCACTGTGCTGGCCTTTCTTGTGCTTGCTGTGTGCAAGGCCTGCCTGGGAGCCAAGTGTCCATTGCTGAAGGGGAGACTTTCCACCATGCAGGCCTGGCAGTGTCTGCTGCTGCCGTCAGGCCCCTAGGGCTGGAGGCATCCTCTTTCCAGTCCCCTATGGATAAGTATGAGGAGGAACCTCTCCTTGGGACCAGAGTGGGCAGCTCAAAGACCAGGTGTGGCAGCAGTGGCTGCTCAGAGGATTCCCAAGGAGAGGGGAGAGGAGACTAAGAGGGAGGGTGTTCGTAAAAGGATGAAAGCCTGCCAGCTCTGCAGGCAAGGGGTGATATAACTGGGCTCCTGAGTCCCACAGGGGTGCCACAGACAGAATGTAGTTGGTCACTCAAAAAGGTCGAAAACCTCTGGGAGATTGATGGTATTGTTGCCACAACAACAACAGACGCCCTTATATAATAAATTAGGTACTGTACAGACAGTACAGTTCAGACATTCAAACGAAGAGTTTTTTGCAAGTAATCTTTTGCAAGTTATCTTCGTTATCTTCGTTATCTTCGTTAACATTTGCAGTGTGACACATATGTCAGGAACCTGCGGATCTCTGCGATGACAAGGTCCGTGGCCTCCAGTGCTCTGAAATGCACACCTGCAACATAAAAAGAATGGGAAACTGATGAGGCTTGGGAGTAATTAAATGACTGAATGGGTGGAAGTTCAGGAAATTGTTAAAAGCCGTTTTTGATAATGTCATGAGTCTCAGGAGCTGCGTTAAATCACACTGATTGGGGAGACTTTTGCTGATTGAAGGCAGCAATCCTATGCATTGTAAGTAAGTCCCATTCGACCAAGTGAAAACATCATTACAGACTTGTTGGGTGGGTGGGGTGGAGAGATTGCAAGAGTGCAATCAGGAAGGTAGCACACCAAGCGAAGCTTGCAACACAATGTTGCAGCATGAAGCCAGTGTGCCAGTCAGCCATGCCCTTCTTCCAGAAGGTTCCATTCCCTGCCACCCCACCAGAAACCAAGCCTGTACTTTAAATGTTGTTAGCTGTTTTCCATGGTTTTAAATGCTTTACTTATTTTTTTTTTTAATTGTATTGTTTTGCTGCTTTGTTGGACTCCTTACGGAGGAAGGATAGGATGGAAATGTAAGACGTTGTTGTCGTCATCAGGCTGTTTTTGTGTGTGTATGTAACTTTTTCCTTAAGGGAAAACCTTGGGACTCCCCCTAGCATGCTGGTACCCCCGCTTGTCTTTCTGTAGCCCTGTTTTGACCTACAGTCCATGCCATCTGCTGAGTTTGCTGTTTTGTGCTATGTGGAACCAGAGTTATAAGTGCACTCCCCGTCGATTGCAGAATATCAATGCCTCAGCAGTAGTGAAGGATGCTGGTATGCAAAGGACCTCAGCTAAATTCTAGAGATTCCCAGGATCATAGCAGTATCTGAGCCCCACTGGGATACACAGCACCAATTTTTCACATAAAGTTGCATACAATTTTCTTTTCATTTTTCACAGTAATTTGTGAATGTGAACCACACATCTTCATGAATAATGGGAATCCCCGGTTTAATCTAGGGACATGCTAGTGTCTATATTTTATTACAGATACTCAGTACAATCCTTTCATCATTAGAATGGCTTCCTATGATCGGTCCAGTTTGCCAGCAGCCTAACACCATGGGATGAAATGCAAGCATTAATTGCTTTTAAGATTAACTGACAAGGGCTGAAATGATTGCCACACCTCAGACCAAGGACAGAAGAAGAAGAAGAAGAAGAAGAAGAAGAAGAAGAAGAAGAAGAAGAAGAAGAAGAAGAAACAACAATACTTTTCTCACTTTGGCGGGGATTGCTGGTTATATGATGTAGTTTCTACTTTTCTTCCTCCTCCCCCAAGCAGGCAACCCATTACAATATGTAGACATAGCACTTCAAAACAATTTAAGGATTTGTGGAACTCCCCCCACCACCTCAGCTCAACCTCTGCATGTACGACTGGAACCAAAGATGAACTCCTAACCTACAGTAAATCAACCATAAGATGCTTCTGAAATAATGCAATTCATATGCACAAAACTATAGCCAGAAATGTTTCTTAGAGGCTCTAGTTTGGGGAGGAGGAACCCTCAAAACCAACCTGTCATGAACTATACAAGTGAAGATCAACAGCATCAGTTCAAAGATATAAAGTCAAAGGTTTGTCCATTTGCACACCTGATGACCTCTTCCATCCTGCGTTGCTTTAGTGTTCTGGGTACCAGGGATGCCACTGGGAAGGGGCTAGAAAGTGGGCAGCCTTTTTTTAGCTCATGCTTGCCAACAAAGGTGATACTCAGGGAGTTAAAGAAACAAAGGAGAGAGGGGCTCCCTGTGACGCTGCAAGATATTTAAAACAAACACATGACAATACAGTAAATTGATTTAAGAGGATGCTGCGGGATGTGGTAAGCCGAAAGAGCATGCTTTCCATCATCTGATGAGGATTCCACTAGTTCAAAAGGATTGCCAGAATTCCTGTCTGGCAGGAGTAAGGAACCCATGGGTGTCTTAGATGTTGCTCACCTACAACTCCCATCATCCCTCACTATTGACAATGCTGCCTGGGGTTGATGGGAGCAGGAGTCCAACAATATCTGGAAGAACAGGGATCCTCCATCCCTGCTGTGAGCAATTACACCGCAATTAATAGGGAAACCCTCCATGAAGCTGTGAAATTCCCCCCAAACAGATGATGTCAGGATTGCTGCATCAATCGCAAGGCCACTGAATGATTCTGACTGCCACAAGGTCACTGGATACTTTGCTTGAGTAAAGAGCAAACCAGAGCAGGCATTTTCAAATACTGATTGATTTTGTTCTGCCCAGCAGCCCAAGTGATTTATGCGCTAGCAATTACCAGTTTCTACAAGGTGTTAAATGAATAGGGGAGCTGCAGAACTTGGACTAGATTCCCTGCAGGAAACAAAAAGTGCTCCTTTAAAAGGGATACACGCTTGCTTTTATGCAGCTGATGTAGCGGATTGTGCTTATAAAAATCTCAGGCAGCCATTATCTAATTACAGTGATGGATCACCCATTAACAGGCAAGCCTTCTTTCGAAGAAGGTGTGGTGGTGGTGAGAGAAGCAATTTCTTTCTCAAAACGCAAACCGACCGAACATTAAGATTCAGATGCGCAAAAGCCTGAGATAACAGCTTGGTAGCTCACTAATGGTGTCAGACAACATCTGTAAAGTACAGGGAAGGAACAGACTGCGAAAAATAAATGGCCATTAAGAACATTGTGCTCAAGAGCCTGAAAACACAGAGGAGAGGAGAAAACTTCCACACCTGCAGCTACGGCAGTATTTTCCTCAAGGGAAGGTCTGCAGCCGAGCGAATGAGCACAGGCTGCACATGTGGAAGGTGCCAAATTTAATCTCCCAGGCCAAACTAGGTGTGGTATCAATTAAAGGTAGAGGGACCCCTGACCATTAGGTCCAGTCGTGGCCGACTCTGGGGTTGCGGAGCTCATCTCGCTTTATTGGCCAAGGGAGCTGGTGTTTGTCCGCAGACAGCTTCTGGGTCATGTGGCAAGCATGACTAAGCCGCTTCTGGTGAACCAGAGCAACGCATGGAAACACCTTTTACCTTCCCGCCGTAGCGGTACCTATTTATCTACTTGCACTTTGACGTGCTTTTGTACTGTTAGGTTGGCAGGAGCAGGGACTGAGCAACGGGAGCTCACCCCGTCATGGGGATTCCGCCGACCTTCTGATCAGCAAGTCCTAGGCTCTGTGGTTTAACCCACAGCGCCACCCGCGTCCCACTTGTGGTATCAATTACATGGATGCAATTTACAGTGCTTGGTTATGTGGGGAAGGGCATTCTGTAAACAGTTGCTACAGGGAAGCCTAAGTAACCTTGAGATCATGGGGGTGGGATGGGGAAGTTGAGCTTGAGATCCAGGGCCCTTTGCAGAAGCCCCAGGGCTTTCCGCACCTGCTATTCACTATCAACTCCCCTCCCTGCCATGGTCCTGACTGAAACACCAAATGAAATGCAAATAGCAAGCTTCAGAAAGCCTGATTTCCATTCAAAGCATTTGTCCCTTTGCATCTTCCTGTAGCGCCACTGTCTTTTACTAAAACTGTGAACAGCGTTTTGGGCTATGATTGCAAATGGGGGGGGGGGGAGATGCAAATGAGCTGGAAAGCATTGGGAAACTGTGTATGCTCCTGTTCTGTAATTAATTTTTTTAAAAAAAACTCAGTTAATCAGGAGGAGCGTAAAGAGAACAGAACAACAAGAGGTTTGTTCACATGGTATACAGTACTGAATACAGGTACAAGCTGTCTCTACAGAAGTACAAGTATTTGTGTGAAGGAATGTACACTTTCTGTGTACATGGGTACACAGAGCATACACTTGTTGACTGTAATGTGTCAACACCTTTAGGAACGCAATAGGCAACAGCTGCTCACCCCTGTACTGTATTTAATTCAGCCAAGATTCCAGTTACCTTGACTTTATTCTTATTGCTGTCACATTCCATTGCTATCCTTCTTTTCCCCTGTAGGGAGACTTAGCAGCACGCAGGCAAAGGAAGATATTGAAACTGAGAAAACAGTTTTGTAACAGCTATAGGCAAGGAAAAAGAAGAAAGGAAGTTGTACTCGAGTGATTCACTGCTTCCAAATGCCGCATTTCCCCCCTCCTGTTAAGGTTATCATCCTGGGAAATAAATCTATAATCCTGCAGTGTATGGCATGAGTCACATCCATAATATAGGAAGATAATGCTGAATTCTCATGAAACATTTTGAATGGAGGCAAGTTGTAGGAGAAGACAAATTAGCTTTGCAAATTAATTCTAGGGCATTTTTGAGCTCAGAAGTACAGAGAGAAATCTGAAGCATTACACTAGATGCTGCAGTAATGCCACCTTTGATATATTCTGCTGAGGATTCAGTAATATTGACAATGATATTTATTGTAAACATGTAAGTACTGTACTTGGCATTTATATGGTGCTTTACAGCGTGATCGCATGTGCTAACTCAAAGGGGAGCTTTAGGTGACTCATGACCCCATATCTCAAGGACTGCCTCTCTGCACATGAACCAACCGGGACCTCATGATCATCACCGGAGTCCCTTCTGTGCCCTTTCTGAGGGAGGTGCGAAATGTGGTGATGTGAGAACAAGCCTTCTCAGAAAGCTCTCCCCAGCATTCTCAATAGGGGGCAAGCAAAAACAGTTTTATTCACCCAGGCTTTGGGACGCTACTTTTCTGCTCATTACTTTTTGGTCAGCAAGAGCTGCTCAACACTGGAACAGGCTACCACAAGAGGTGGTGGACTCGCCTTCTGTGGAGGTTTTTAAGCAGAGGTTGAATGATCATCTGTCATGTACAATCTAATTAAGATTTCTGCACTGCAGGGGGTTGGAATGGATAGCCGTCAGTGTCCTTTCCAACTCTACAATTCTATGATTCTATGAGTTGGCCCTGCTCTTCTATACACACTATTGGTGAGCCTTTCGGGTTGTTTTTACTCTTGCTTTCATACCTGTTTTAAAAGCTTCTTTCTGTAAGTCACTTTAAATTCACCTTAGGGGTAAAAGCGACTAATAAATCTAATATGATATAAATAAACAAATACCCCCCCATAGGCAAAAACTGTCATAAAGGCGAGGAGCACACACACACTCAAGATATAAGGGAGTATTCTGAGAAGAAATATATTAAACTGAGGCCGGGATGCATCATAGGCTGTGTTCTACAAATCAACCCACAGCCCCACGTTTTCTAATCCTAATAAACCAAAAACTAACGAGCAGCCTCAGACTGCAATTCATTAAGTTAAGTTTGATCCTGTACAGTACGTGCCTATTTAGAAGTAAGAGTGCAGCAATCCTAACCCCTTACCGGGGAGTAAGACCCCTTGAATTACTTCTGAGCAGGCATGGTTAGGCGTGCTCTGTAAGTCCCATCAAGTTCAACAGATTTCCTCCCCTGGGATAAATGGATTACAGCCGTAGATGCCCATTAAGCGAGAGGGTGAGAAAGTTGGAACGATGAGCAGGTAAATATGAACCACTTTCACTTCCTTTCCTTTTCCTCGACGGCGTGCTTTTGTTCTTTTTACTTTGCTTTTTTCATTTTTAATTATTTAGGAATAGGCGAGAGCCCTCCGCCGCATACCTCACCATCCACGCTTATTACTCGCCCGTGGAACTTAAATTTCCCAGCGGAGGCATTGGGTCTCCTGGAACTACATTACCCAGAAACCTCCAGGCCCTGCCGCCTTTCCTCTTTGCCTCTTCCCATTCGCTCACGGGGACTACGTTACCCAGAGAACCTTGCGGGGAAGAAAAAAACCCAACCAGAACTACATTACCCGGAACGCTTTGCGGGACTTAAGCGCTGTCGTGGCGTTTGTGGGGTGATCCGAGTCTGGCGAAAGAGTTTCGTAAAGCTCCCCCACTTTTGCCCGGCTGTGTGTCGGAAGAAGGCCGGCTTCGAGAGGGGCCCGCGGGTCGCAGGAGCGAGCTTCACCGCGTCTCCTCCCCCGCCCCACGCAGAGCGAGGATGAGGAGGGCCGGGCTGGGTAAGTGGGGCGCAGTTGGGGAGCGGGGCCTAGGCGGCCTCTGGGGGAGAGAGGCCTGTTGCCTAGCAACCCCGCCTGATTGCTAGGGACTAGCATCCCCTTCTCCAGAAGGGTCTTCAGGCTAACTCTTCCTTTTGCTGCGAAGGCAGTGTTTTCCTCCCGGGGGAAGAGCTTGGGGTGCGGGGGGAGTTAGGGGTCCCATCAACACCTGGCGGGGGGGGGGACAGGTTACCTCTCCCTGGAAAGCGTCCCCTGCTCTTTGCACGGAGCTACTGAGCCCCGCAGGGCTTACTCCCGAGTAAGTGTGCCTGCATGGAATGGGCAGCCCTGACGAGAGGAGACGTGTTGTAACTTACTCCTTCCTTACTCCTTGGTGTTGTCTGCTTCCGTCGGGGGTTGGGCTTGTAAGCTCAACATCTCTGCAGTTGTTATCAGAACCCGCTGCATGTTTTTGCTTAGGCACCGGAGCCTTGTAAACCTGAGTGGTGGATCTCTACGGTGCCACCTGTTTCCTGTGATTCATGTTGTGCTTTCATTGATGGGAGAATTTGTACTTCAGTTTCACTTTTTGAACCGAGATTCGAGTTCACCGGCAGTGATAAGTAATCTAACGTTCTGTGATTGGGAAGTAACTGTCCCTACTTAGTGAAATTTAAATAAAAATATTCCCCCACCCCAGGATCAGAAGCTTCATGCTTCTGAATACCATTTGCTGGACTTCCCACGGGCATCTGGTTAGTTGCTAATAGTAATATGAGTAATAACACATATATTCTACCTTTACTTCAAGGAGCACAAGGTGGTCACATGGTTCTCCCCACCCTCCATTTTATCCTCAAAACAACCTTGTGAAGTAGGTTAGACTGAGAGTCCATGACTGGTCCAGGGTCATCCAGTGAGCTTCACAGCTGACTGGCAATTTGAGTGTCCTAGTTTGACACTCTAATCATTACACACTGGTTCCCAGGATACCAAATTAGACAGACTTTTGCCAGTGTGGAACCGAATAGCATTTATTGCATTAGTACATAGACCACAGCAGAAGTTTTCCTTTGTAATCAATAAGAAAGTATGGAGAAGGATGCCTTTGAACAAGGAGTTTTATTCAACTTCTTTGGGTGGGTGAATCCATATTTTGTACTATTTTCCCCAAAACTTTTTGGTGCGATTGTTTCCAACAATACAACTGTTCTCTTTCTAGCCAGTGGGGTGAGATGCCATCCCACTTCTTTTGACACAGACTTAATAGTGTCTGTCTTGGCCATTCCTCTTCCTTTTTTCTCTTACATTGGGCACTGGTTTCAATATGAACTGGCAGTGTCCAAATCTTTGTCACAGAAATCCTTTCAACTAGTAGTTCCAATGCAGAAACGATAAAGTTTTTTGAGAGGTGCCCACTCTATATGTGTCATAGCTCAGTGGCAGAGCACACAAAATCCCAGATTCAGTCCCTGACTTCTCCAGGTAGAACTCGAAAAGACTTCTGTCTGAAACCCTGGAAGGCCACGGCCAATCACTGTACTGTAATTTACTGAACTAAAAGGACCAATGGACTGACTCTGGATAAGACCCCTTTCATTGTTTCCAGGTCTAGTAGCAGTACTATGAAAACAGCAGCATTTCCCATACGGATGCTACATATGCAGCCTAGTCTTCATCAGGTTAATCATGTCCCACTGAGTGTTGTGAAATTTTCTCCCTAGCAGTGAGTTCTGTGAAACAAACTCCCACTCTTTGACCTGCGACCCTTTGTGATATTTTTCCGTTTGTCAGCAGCTCTTTGGTGGGTGAATGCTAATTTTCATGGATAAGACAGAAAATACCATTTACTGTTACGATGGTAATGTCACGTAATGGGCAGTGAACCCGCCTAATTTGAACAGCAAACTAATGGATAGCTAGGGTATTTGGCAAACTTAGTCCCTGTGGAATAATTAGGGACTTGCAGAGTTGCCTGCACAGTAATTTGGGTATAACAAATTCGGCACGATGAGGTGTTTTCTTCGCTCTCTTGTCTCCTCTTTACATCTTTCTTCCATATTTGGATTGATTTGTCAAAAAAATTTCTCTTTGCAGTGCAGAAACAATTTGTTTCAGGTGTGGGGAACCTGTGGCTCAGGGCCCAGTTGCAGCTCTCTAGGCCTATCTCTCCAGGTTACACCACCTTGTTAACTACATCCCTCACCATCCCTACTTTGCACCTTCATTAAGTGTTTTGACTTGGTTGGAATGTATCTTTGAACTTTGATAATGCCTCTTGCTTGCCTGGAAGGGAGGAGAGATAGTGGTGTGTGTGAGGAAAACCAGTCTACTGTACAAAGGTAAAATTTACCTTAGTTGTTCCACTCACCTTTGCCTCTGATCCTGCCTACCACTGATGTGTGGTGTCAGAAGGTTGTCCAGAAGAGAGTGCGGCCCTTAGGCCAATGAAAATGGTTCCCCATCCCTTATTTATTTATTTATTTATTATTACATTTATATTCCACCTTGCCTCTAAGGAGCTCAAGAGACAAAGGCTGGCCCAGGGTCACAGAGTGAGCTTCATGACTGAGTGTGAATTTGAACCTTGGACTCTCAGGTCCTAGTCCAGCATTCCCACATCTGGGCATCACAAAGTTAAACAGCTGTCGTCTTGGCTTACCAGCATGGTTCCTTGTTTGAGTGTAATGCTAAGCTAGGGATTCTGAGAAAACATTCCACATGTATCACAGCTATGTAGACCCCCAACTGAGCCAGACCCCTTATATTTAGGTAGAAGAACTCTGAAGAGGGTTTCTGCTCTCAAAATAGTCATATGGGAAAAGATGGTCCTTAAGCTACACAGGTCCCAATCTGTTTCAGATGTGATTACCAGCACTTTGAAGTATGCCCAGAGATGGACTGGCAGTCTGTGCAGACCTGGCAAAATATGATCCCTCTGGGCTGTCTCAGACTACCAGCAGCGTAACCCATTGAAGTTTCTGGCAAGTCTTCAAAGGCAGCTCCCCATACAGCATATTGCAGTAGTCTAATAAACATGTTATCAGGACATGGATAACTGTGGCCAGGCTCTCTATCCAGGAGCAGTTGCAACTAGCTTCCACTGACTGTGCAAGGTCTATCAGGACCACCAGGCTACAAACTTGCTCCATGTGAAGAGTGCAGCCTCATCAAGAGCAGGTTCAATCTCACCTCCATTCCCAAATAGATGGAAACTGAGGAATCTTACCTGTTTATTAGCCCTCATCCAGTCCATTACAGCTTCGAAGCCCTAATTCAGCACTTCTACTGCCTCACCTGACTGATGAGAAAGATAAGTCGAGCTGAGTTTCATCAGTGTACTGATGACCTCATTCCAAATCTCATTGAGTTCTCCATGGAACAAAGGAGGGGGTGGTTTCTTTCCTCTTTGCTGGACTGTCTTATGAGGCATTAGTAGCACCTCACTGATATTGCTGCTTTTTTAATCACACAGAACTCGTGTGAGGATATTTTCTTTGCTTTCATGTTGTTTTCTCTTGGGATCTTTGTGGTAGGAGTGTGGGGCAGGGACACTTGCTTCTGGTGATCAGGTGTGTGGATGTTTGAATATTGCAATTGTGAAATTGCTAAGTGTGTAATAGAAATGTCATCGGTGGATTCAAGAAACATTCTTGTGGGAGAGATGCAGTTTTGAGTCATTGTCTGAAAGTGACAGCTGAGATTCTAGAAGAATCTGACTGGTTTGTATGTTGCGTCAGTCATAAAACAGAAAACATCTGGGTTAAGACATCCCTAGGGTGTGATACGTAACTGAACTTTGACTGAGTAATTATTTGATACGCAGCTTCCTAAGAAAAGTCAGTGAGCTGGTCTACAAGTTACATAATGAGTATCTCTGATATCTTTCGTTCTAGCCACTTGTAAATATTGTTCCAGCTAAACTCTGTGCATGGAAATCTCACAGGAAAATTAATACACACACACAAATAAAACAAAACTCATTATTTCACTTTTGTTATTGGGGGTCAAATAGTCTTTCAGGCCATAAAGTTTTCAGTAAACTGGCAGAGTGTAAAGCATCTGTAATTAATTTTGGCACTCCCACTTGGAGTGGGATAGGCTTACAGGCTTATAAACTATGCAATTATAAATTTTACAATTCTAAACATTGGATTTTGTGTTTATTTATTGTTCTGACTGATTTGTTTGTTTGTTTTTATGTGGGAAGAATAATGCAGATCAACCAAAAGGAACGTTTGAGCTAACGATCATGTAGGCGACAAAATGCAGTCTTCTGCAATGTTTACATTCGGTGGACTGATATAACACTTGCAGTTACATCACTTGTGGTCTTTGTTGCACAGTCATTGCTCTTTAATGCAGAAAAAAAGTCAAAAGTACTTGCTATCATTTTGCCTGACAGGTTTTTTGTGTGTGTGGTATCTTTGTTTTTGGAAAAGACAGAATCTCATTAACCAATCTGTTGAAAGTTGTGGTAATGTCCGCTTCCGAAAGTCTCCTTAAAGTGGTGGACTACAGATTGAAGCACTGATTAAAATTGGAAATAAATTAAAGCCAGTTAAAATTGCCAATAATTATTCTAAACAGTACATGTTGTATTTTCAGTTTATTTGGCTACACCATGGATTTTCTTTCAGATGTGCACATAACAGCTTGTGTGTTGACTAGTGCAGCTTGTACTTTCATTGTGTTGAAAAGGCGTTCCTTGCTCATTCTAGTCTGGTGACTCCTATCACTTGCATGTTCGGAGACTTGAATGTATGCAGCAGAGCTTCCAATTTTGTTTCCAAGTATCTCTGCCATGCCATATTGAAGGCACTGAAGAGCGTTACAAACAGTATATCCTTAAATTGTGACGGCTGGGGTGAGGAATCTGGGGCCAACACATTGTTGGACTTCAGTTCCCAGCACCCAGCCAGCATGGCCAGTGGTCAAGAATGATGGGAGTTGCAGTCCAGCAAGAGATCCACTAATGGCCTTGTTTTTGCATTTGTGTGACACAGCATGAAGCAACTGCTCTGTGTGTGTGTGTGTGTGTGTGAGTGTGCGCGCGCGCGCATGTATGAAATATTTACAGCATGGATTTGGGGTTTCTTTTAACACTTAAAATCTATGCTGTAAAAATGGATATTGTTACATGTATCTCTGGCTGTATCCATGGCTGTCCACTAATTGTTGTAGTGTAGTAAATTATCTTTTGAGCCATCTGGTAGCATTTGAATGTACATGAGGAATTCATTCAGATATGAGTCTCTGTTCAAGTATAATCAAGATGGTGCAACAGGAGATGATTCAGCAAGGCATTAGCATTTTGGAAGGTGAAAGAAAGAACAGTGATGGACCTGGATGTTTGTCAGGATGAAAGTTGTGGGAATGGGAGGTGGTTCTGGACTGTTCAATCATTTTTGAATGATATACACTTCTGGATCCAAAGGTTCCCTTTGGTTTGGAAATCATGCAAAAAAGTTTTGTGGGAGGCATTTGGTGGAGTAGGTACATTTGTTTGTGTTCCCTTCATCTCCTTTCTTCATACACTTTGGGTCTTCATCTTATGTAATACCAAAGCCTGCCTCAATCTCTTTAGACAGGTGTAATAAAAGGAAATTGCTCTTCCCCCTCTAGAAATTCTGTTTGTTTTGTTTTTTGCTCTATTTCTGGGGTCTAAACTGATGTCCTTCTCAGGTGAAGGAGCTGCTGGCGGCAATTATGGCTACAGCAACAGTGGGTACAGTGTATTTGAGGAAGAAAATGAGAAGTTAACGGAAAGTTTGCGTTCAAAAGTCACTACCATAAAATCAGTAAGTATATTATTATAGAAGCATTAAAATTGATGGCAGTACATAATGCTTGCTCAATCAGGGTAATAGCAATATAGTCGCAAAAACCGAGACAGCTTAATTGAATTTGGGCAAAATATTGCCCATCAGAAGGCCTAGTGGACTCATTCGTGGAACAAATTTTCTGTCTAATTGGATTTGAGCTCCTGCTGACCTTTCTGGCTAATCAAGATATTAGTTACAGGTTGGGAAAGCAGAAGCTCTGCTTATTTGGCACACCGTGACTAAGGGTTGCACTCCCAAAGGACTTATAAGTCAGCAAGGTCAGTTAACAGACCTACCAGTAAACCATCAGGCTAAATTATTCCTATTCCAATGGAATAAACATAGCTAAATGGGTTGTGTCAAAGCAAGACAATTCTCACCCCCATCAGCCTATGTTATTTGAACCGCAGTGTGTCATGTGAGAGCAAGGGTGCTGCAGATAAAGTACAGTAAATCTAATTTGATTGGGCATTGTACACTGAAGGGAAGGTAACTGTGCTCTACTGCAGGCTTCCCCAACCTGGTGCCCTCCATATGTTGTTGGACTACCATACCCATCAGGGAACCAGGCTGTAGAAGGCTGCACTATAGCACATCTCTTATAGCATAAATATGGAGGTGGTTTAAAATACTCAAGTAGAATGAAAACAAAAACTGGGGTATGTTAAATAACTTGAAGCATCTCATATCAAGAAATAAAGAAATTTGAACAAAAGATTTGTAACATGACACTACAAAATGTCAATACTTGGCTTTAGTTGCTGTTAGTTTGAGAGAAGTTTTATACAGTATCTGAAAACCATAGACTAGAATTTACTATTATCTTTTAGAATATTTTTAGAGTTGCCTGTATCTTGGATCTTTAAGATGATTCCAGAAAGCATATTAGCTACGTTTGATCTTTCCCAAAGAAACTTAGTTTTGCATGATGTAATCCAGTTAGCAGTATGGGATCACAATCTTCTTTTTCCTCATAGCTTTCCATTGAAATTGGATCAGAAGTTAAACAGCAAAATAAAATGCTAGCTGAAATGGTATGTATATGAAAGTACTCAGTTCCTTTAGATGAATTTAGAATTTGTTTAACTCTCTGACTGATAAATTTAGTTCTTTCTGAAATGTATCAGTATATGATTTGTTGGGTTTTTATTTTTTTAAACAACCTGTAATTTTGAATTATACTAGTAGATGTGCTTTTATTTCCAGAAATAAAATTTCTAGGTATCAATTTTTCAAACATTTTCATATGTTTACTTAAATTATTTTGAGATTTCTCTATAGAATTTGCATCAACGTCAAAATATGCTTATAAATTTTGTGGTGTGCCTGGCCATAGTTTTCTTAATTAAAAAAGAAAAAGCGCTCTTTTCTGGTCAGAACTACACATGCAGAATCTGGCTTTCCCCACCTGGATGGTGAACCATGTTGTCAATTGGTGCCCTTCCCATTCCAATTTCATAGGTGAAGCTGAGCTTGGGGAACCGTTTCTAAAAAGGTAAAAAATTAATTGCTCATCTGTTTGGGAGGAAGAGCTAGAGTCAGACTCCCCCCCCTTAAACAGATGATTGGAAGGAGTTTAACTTTGGAAAGTGGCTTTGCAAGCAGAGTCTCTAAAAGTCCCTTTGCACACATGCTGCTTTTGGATCATGGCAAAGCTGTTTATTTATCACATTTATATTCCACCTTTCCTCTAAGGAGCTCAAGACCGTTTGCATGGTTGTCTTTCTGCCCCCACCCCCAAATTCTCACAGCAACTCTGAGGTGCCATTCTTTGCAAGTTTAGTGTTGCAAATTAAAATTAGACTAATTTCCTACTTTGTTACTACAGGACAATGAATTTGATACAACAAGTGGATTTCTTGGTGCCACGATGGGTAGACTGAAAACACTCTCCAGAGGAAGCCAAACAAAACTCTTATGCTACATGATGCTGTTCTCACTGTTCGTTTTTTTTGTAATTTACTGGATTATTAAATTGAGGTGATGCATATTCTCCAATTCGAGATGATTTGCGCCACGTCAAGATCCTAGAAAGGTATCTGTGAAAAATCAACTATTTTTTGTAAACTGCATTAAGTATTAATGCGTGTGGTTTCTCAATGATTATCAGGCCAGAACTACTTCTATTTTTAAAACCCTTATTTTGTAGGGTTCTTAAATTGAATTCTGCTCAAGGCTGAACACTTTGTAGAGCCCCCACCCCAAAAAGAGAAGTTACATTGTGGAGTGAAGTGTATATATTAAGAATGACATGAAAATGATTTTTTAAAAAATGTCTAAAAGCACCAGTTCTACTTTCCAAATACCACTAACAATAAAATGAATGAATTGCATTTGACGATGCTGTAAAGTTATACTCAGTTGTTGTTGTTTTTTAATGAAGTACATGGTCGTGGCAAAGTACCGTTAAGCCTCGTTGTTTCAATGGGAAAGGTCAGCATGTGCTTAACTTTGGCTGGATTGTGTCCACGGCAGTTTGTTCATTCCTGCAGTTAGAATTTGCATTAACCAGAACTGTTAAAAAGAATGGCCGAGTTGTGAAGTTGCTAATTTTCTCAGTTTCTTAAGCTGCCTTGTGACTGTGCTTTTTTGTGGTGTTAGGGTTTCAACAAAATATGGTCCAACCCACAAAGAGTGAGTGTGAAAGTGGGCTTCTGTGTCTGGAACTCTATGGTTCTTGTGTCCCATTCACTGAATCATGGAGCTGAGAGGTCCTTCCAATGTAATCCTCTTCTACAGCATCCCTCATAGGTTGGCACCCTGCTCCTGCTTAAAAGCCTCCAATGAAGGAAAGGCTACCACCTTCTGAGGTAGCCTGTTCCATTGTCAATCAGCTTGTATCGCCAGGAAGTTCTTCCTGCTTAGTCTAAATCCTCTTTTTGGGGGGTTGTTCTAATCCACTAGTTTTAATTCTGGACCAACAGAGACTAGATTTGCTCCATAATCTTTGTGACAACTCTTCGGATATTTGAAAATAGCTATCGTAACATATCTTGCTTGTCTCTTCTCCAGGGTAAGCTTCAACCTAACTTTCCACCTAGCACCTGGGCTCCTAGTCCCTTACACACACACACCCCTTCATTGCCTTCCTTGGAACGCATTCTGGTTCATCAGGATCCTTTGTGAATGGCAGTGCCCAGAACTGGACCCAGTACTCTAGATAAGGCCTGACCCAAAGCAAAGTAGTATCATTACTTCTTGCAATCTGGATACAATCCTTCAAGACAACCTGGAATAACAGTTGCCTTTTTAATTGCCTCACACTGCCAACTTATGTTTATTTCTTTTAACGTGTTGAAACCAGTCCAGAGTGCACATCTGGCTAATTCTGCTTTCTCTTTCATCTGTGTCATGAATCTCAACATAGCATCGCCTCTTCTCCCAAGCTCCCACTGCTTCCATCTCCTCAACCAATTCTTCCTTATTGGTGAGACTTGGGTCTAGGGTAGCTGGTTCTCCTTGCCTTTTCTTTCATCTACTAAAAGATGAAATTGTCAGCAAGACAGGAATTTCTTAGACCTTTCATTCTTAGCAGAGCTTAGGAGTGGCTCCCCCTGGCGGGATGAGCCACAGCAGCACTGCTTCCGCTTACTGGGAGGAGTAAGGCAATGTTGAGGATGGCACCATTTGGTGCACTGGTGCAGCCAATCCAGGACTCAGCTGCCTTACCTCCTAGTAAGCGACAGTGACGCTGCAGCCGGGAGGCTGTTGCTGCAGCTCTGCCCATTGGGTGAGGCGCTCTTGGCAGAGTTTGACTTGCAACAGATATTCAGTTGTTTTATGTCTCCTATTACTATGTCTCTCCTCTTTGAAAGCTGCCTAATCTGATCTAGGAGACCATCCAAATCTTTGCCAGCGTTAGCAGTTCCTGCAGTTGGTTCCAATAGGCTTATAGTTCTGTGTCCCTCTCTGGGTTAGGCAAAATGGTTGCAAATCAAAATAATGCTACATTATTTATGTTTTCATTAGTTAAACCTTGATAGCTTACTACATAGACTTACTGGTTAATATAACAGCAAAAGCTCCTTACACTTTCCTGGGTGTCAGTCTCATTGAACTTTTTTGGATTTACTTCTGAGTTGATATGCATAGGATTGCATTATAAATTGCTAGCTGCGGTATAGACAGTGTCATTTTGCTTTTTTCTGGCAGGTTGAACCATTTTCTAGCGCTGTAGTCTTCAGCCTTTTCAGACCTGGGCCCTTTAACTTGATGCACATCAGAACCATTTTCTTATTAAGGTATATTTACATGGTGCCAGGGCTGCTGTTGCAATCCACCTTGGATTAGGCCCAATCCACGAGTATGAAGAGCAGTATAATAGACTAGGAAGATCTGATCAAAAGTTATGACTTAGCCAGGTTGTTGAAATATTGTACAAGCATATTTGTAAGCTTCAGGGAGGAAACAGAGCACAAAAACATTTGGAGCTGCTATGATGGCTATAGACATTCTTTCTGAGAAGTAATGCCAAATTGATTAATTCAGTACCAAATACTTCCTGAATATGGAAATTCCCTACTTCGTCAGCCAGTTTCCTGGGACAGCTGCAGGACAAGAGTGAGGCTGCAGCAGTGAAGTAGCTTTCCAGCTGATTACATGGTCTAACAGTAGCCAGATTTGTGGGAGCTCTTTAGGAGATATGGGGCTTTCACCTTGGCAGGCTGCCGTTTCTGCAGAAGTTAAGAGGGGCTCATCTTAACATAGTTCCACTATTTTAGGAAATGGTAAAAGAGCATGTAGTCATGGAAATTATCTTTGATGGGGTTTCGTCCAGAAAGGCAGCCTATAAATATTTTAAATAAGCTATCCCAACTTCTGCTTGCCAATCAGATTATAACCCATCTATCTAGAACCTCAGCCAATCTAATCTGCCTTTATGAAATTACCTGGAGCAATGTATTGTGGAATTGTATTCGCTAGAGGTGAAAGATGAATTTTTAATAAATAAATAAATCTCTAGATTGCAGAAATGGTAGAGTGTATACACTGAGGGATCTTGTGATGGCCAACTCAGTTGTACTGCATCTGATCTTTGATAAGATCGGTCACATGATCCCATTAACAAGGGTTGAGAAGAGGGTTCAGATCATGAAGGTTTGCCATTCCACCAGCTCTATAAATACATGGCACCAGGGCTTTTTTTCAGGGGGTAGTCAAGGGTACGCAGTACTGGCACCTCTTTTTTTGTTGTTAAAACATGCGGCACTTGCTGTAACAACTTCATGGTGAGCACTGTGGAAGAGAGCACTTCAAGGCACCGTATTGGCGGGAGCAAGGATATATTGATGCATTCATGTGCTTTAGAACTCCTTTCTGCAGATAACTTTTAATATTTGTATTTTTAAAAAAATACTCAAATGAAATGTGTCATGAGTTATAGTTATTGTTATAAAATTTAAAAATGGCTGCAGTTTACTGAAAATAGCACTTTCATTGTTGTAATTCTTAGAAATGGTGGGGGAAATCCTATCCAAAATTCATATATCCACAGTGTCTCTGCTGAAGTAGGTTAGTGACTGGCCCAAGTTTACCTAGTGAGCTTTGTGTCTGGATGAATTTGAAGCTTCTCAATCTAAGTCAGGTAACTCGACAGCTAGAAGAAAGGGGGAGCACAGTTTACCAGCCCAAAGGCCTTTGGGGCAACAGTGCCTACAGCTTTCTGGGTAGAACATCATGGTCAGAGGGAGACCTACTCAGATCCCATTCAGAAGCTGGCGAAGAAGAAGCAGCTGCTGCAATGCTTCTTTTCTCTTCCCCTCACCAATCTATATTTCTTCTGCATCCCTCTGTTACATTGTGAGCCTGTGGGCAGAGAAGGTCTCATTTTTTAATATCTGTATGGCACTTAGAAGATGTTAAAATTCACCAAAGTGCTTAATATTAAACTATGCTGACTTAATACCCACTTCAAAAAAAATGTGAATGGGTGGCTGGGGTTGGGGTTGGAGAAAGCCACCTACGGAAGAAAAATCATACATAAATCTAGAATTTGACACTCATGTTGAACTGTTTGTTAAATATTTTTTTAGAACTGCTGCCTCACCTACAGTTTATAAGAAGAACAGAAAATTTGATCTTACTCTTTCTTCCAACGTTGTTATTTCATCACTATTTTTTGAAATTAATGAATGGATGCATCATTCCTGTTTTGCAATCATAAAACTCAATAAATATATTTTATTGGGGCACCTGGGCACCCGTTCTATTGTGACTGTAGTTCTTGCCCCTTTTTTCTCTTCTCTAGCCAGTCCTTCCGACTCTGACAAGCCGAGCAGGTGAGACAGACTATCTTGTGTGTGGCTGCTTCAGTCCCTTTTGCCCAGGAGCTCCAGACTTAGGATTTAGTAGGCTGAGAGCAGGGCAACTAAATAGCAAACTGAGGGGGGCAAAGGGATATTTCCTACCATGGCTACTACCCCTGTCTGTCTAGCCTGATGAAGGCCAGTCACATGGACACAAAAGGGGCAAGAGATCAAAACAAGTCCTTTTAAAGCAGGTAAGCTTTAAGATAGCAATGTGCAATGCGTATTGTGAGGGGTGAAAGTTATTATTATGAAAGCCCATCATTTGTGAACTGTTTCAGGATCTGAATCGTCTGTCATAAATGTAAACTGCATGCCTCACTCTTGCACTGTCCAGATGGGTAAGGCTTTGTTTTTGCTTTAGACAAAATAAATAGTACGAGCCAGTTCTTCAAAATTTAAAAATATTTTTTATTCAGCTTAGTACCGAGCCAGTGTTTGCAACTTATTGCAAAGTCAATTACCACTTCTTGATTGTCAGATGTGTTAACAAATTACACTAATTTAGCCAACCAGATGGAATTTTAGGGGGTTTGCTTTGAAACATGTTCTGTGAATTACCCATTTTAATTGTCTCCTTGCTGAAAACAGCTACGCTAACAATAAACCTAAACAATTACTCTGGAGCAGCCTAGATATGTGCTGTGCACACAAAGGTGTGCAATCAATACTTTGTTATTCCAATTGAGGAATTGCCGGACGCCTCCCTTGGAGCAGAGAGGATTCACACAGACATTTAAGAAACTCTATTGGTATTTGAAGTTTTTCTTGACACATGATGAGGTTCTTCTATTATATGGAATTTAAAAGCAAATAAGAAACAATTGCACTTCTACAGCAATTAAAAGCAGGCCCAGAAAAAACAATCTTTCACCAGAAGCTACTGCTCAAAGCTCTGGCTTTTGTGACGTATTTAAAATGTTTTAGCTTTGTAAGAATAGCCAGAGAAATAGTCCATCTCTGCCCAACCAGAGAGTGAGTATAGGTCATGCCATATAATATTTGAGGTAAAATAAGGTTGCGTGTGTTTCTGGCAATGATTAGGTATGTTATTACCATATAAGGCACAATCCCAGCAAAATGAATGTTAAGAACATTCAAGGTAAGTAACTCTTAGAACAGATCTTTTGGATATTTTTTCCTCACAGAATCTACCCAATTCAGCTTCCTGAAATGTAAACAGAGATCAACAGGAGTCCTGGGAGTTACTTCTTTGGTAAGATGTCCATGTACTTGCATATAATGGAAAGCATGACCTCATCAGCACCAGCTCCTATGGAGAGCAATCTAGAGTCTCTGCGAAGGAAAAACAAAGCAAACATAACAATGGCAAAATGAAGATTGTCCCATCTGGCAACTTTTAAACATAGAATGTTAGGTTCTGAAAGAAGTTACCTTCTGCCCAATTAAATTAATGAACCAATAAGTCACTGTTTAGTTTAAAATGCAAATTGACTCTTTGGAAATGGAAACTCTTCAGCCGATCCTCAGTATCATGTAGTCAAAAAGCAACTACACACAGTCAGCCCTCATTTTTCTAGGGAAACGGCATGGCTGGCTGGAATGCTTGACAAGAGCATTCCACAACTTTTTCTTGCAGATCCCTCCTCTTGCTTTAATTTCTTACAAGCATGGGTAAGGACTGTGCCTCAGTGGTATGCTCTGCATGCAGAAGATCCCCGAGGATCTCCAGGTAGAGCTAGCAATTTCCTGTCTGAAATCCTGGAGAGCCTTTGCCCCGTCAGTGTAGACAATACTGAAGAGGATGGACCTATAGTCTGACTTGGTATATGGCAGGTTCCTGTGTTCCTCAGGGGAAAGCTCTGAATATTTAACCCTCTGTGCCCATGGTGGCTGCCCAGTCTTTGAAGTGAATGGGGAAACTTACCAACTGAATATGGGACAATATATGCATGCCTCCTCCCATATGAAAGAACTGCTGGGTTGAAGTATGTGGGTTGAAATAACTACAGTAGCTGGTCAAATTAATTTGTCCAAGCAAGTGGGATTTCTAAACTGCTTGCATGAGAAACACAATATTTTTAAAAAATGTGCACTTGTAGTAAGTGACACATACCCACAAACAATGTGTCCATTTGTACAATCACATAGCCAAGATATTCCATGAAAACTCTTGCATAAGTAAAAAGAGTGACACAGAGAAAGAAGTTGATAAACAGAAATCCCAGAGCGTGGCAATTGAGGTAAGCAGACTTTTTGTAAATTAATTCTTCCCCAGCACTAGGGGAAAAATGTTTCCATAGCCGAGAGCAATTTGGAAAGGTTGATCCAAGAATAAGACAGCTGACGGACTTGCATGGTGCCTGACTAAAGTATTCCTCTATGAAGCAACTTGCAGCCCAAACGCAGCAGCCAGATGCCATGGGATATGATGGCTGTAGTAATGCAAACTGACCTATGCGTCAGACGCTTACTAAAGGCTGTGCAGCAGAAACATCACCAGGGAGTGAGGTTAAGGGTACATGCTGCTCAGTTATGAGAGACAAACCTCCCTACTGTGACAACGTCATTGACAACAGTCATAAAGTCTGAGCAAAAGTAGCAGCATTTATCGAAAAGCTTTCCATGTCCCCAGAAAAATAAAATGTAGTTCGTTCTATGACTACGTAATACAGTATATCTGGTGAGGGCGGGCGGGCAAGGGGGATGAGGAATGAAGTCAATCTCTGACTTTCATTTGGGAAAGCAAAGAACAGTTTTTCTAAGAAATTTACCAAATATTCTTGCAGAAAGGAAGAATAGAAAGTCAGGGAGGGGACTGTCTGTAGCATTCCTGCTACCGCCCCTTCAGCCTGGCCAGGATTCAAAGACTGATACTTGCACATACAACTGGAACTTTATAAATTGTTTTTGGCTGAAGAGTTTCAATTCCCAAAAGTACAATTTGCATTTGAAACTAAACAGCAAACAAAGGTCATGATCTTTGCTGAAAGACCGATGCTTTGCAGCTGGCTCATAAATGGACTTAAGATAGAACAGGTAAAGAAAGTCCTTCAGAAAGTCTTTCAAGCCAATGGTGACTGGAAGGCACAAGCGGAATTCGCTGATCTGACAGCCCAAAAGAATACTTCTGCCATTTTTTTTAAAAAAAAACACCATACCAGAGGAGTTAATAATTTATGTAATGAGGTTGTTTCAGGCCAAATCACTAACCCAGCTCTTATATGATGGCCCCGACTCTAGTTTTACACGTCTGGAAGCAATTCATTCTAAATTTCTGAGGGATATTCTTCAAATACCCCATTGCATGCCAAATGCTGCCTTGTGTCGAGGTCAGCCTTCAGAAGGCCAAAGCCGGGGCTTGCCTTGCCATTTTCAACTTTGCCTGAAGCTCACTTTCCATCCCACTCACCCTTCAGGATGGCTTTCAGTCTGTATGGGTTAAGCCAACCCACAAATGCCAGCTATATGGATTATCCCTGGGCTCCCTCATCCCTCTGGGACATGAAAAGGCTGGAGTGGCTCTCAAACGGCCTACTGTAAGATGTTGAATGGCAGCGCAATTTAGGTTCAACCTCCAACCACACTGACTGACAGAGCACTCCAGCCACTCAATACGCCAACTCTCTATACTCTAGGTCAAAAAGCATTGCGGAGCTTTCATTCTGGCATGCCTAAATGCTATTCCCTCAGCAATGCTGGAGGCAAGCTACCAAGACTGCAAGTGCCCATGTGCTTCTGGAGAGGTTGAGTTGGCAACCCATGTCCTCCCACACTGCTCTGTTTATGGAGATCTGCTGAAACTTCACTGAACCCCTCTTATCTGCCAGGTCAATCAGATGCATTTTTAGGTCCTCCTTCTCTCAGACCAAAATGCATCAATCACTCTTAGGGTGGCAAAGTACTGTGTTGCAGAAAGCAACACACGCCAGGAACTGTTGTTAATTTTTTTAATGCTGATGACCATTTTAATTCATTTTATGCTACTTTTATTACTTTGTTTTATTTCATTTCCCCCCTTCTTATATACATATGGATAATATGTTCTATGTACTCCTTACCCTGGTTTCTTAATGCTGGCCATTGACTGTAATAATAAACATTTGAACTAAACAGCGGCTTGCCTATTTAGCAGGGGTCTCGTGTGTGTGTATACACTTTTCTGAATTGCATCAATTGAGCTTAAAATATCAAATTGTGATGTACTGGTTAAAACAGGGTTGTGAAGAAATATGTTGGATGCATGGATGTAATAACGTAATAAAGATACCTTCCCCATATTTATATTAACTCCAAGCATACCACACCTTGCCGCAAACCATTAAACCTCATTTAGCAATTAAAAAAATTACCAGTGGTATGCATTCTAAGAAACAAAACATTTAAATCAAAAGTTATTTCTTCTATCTATATATTGATCATAGAGTATTCACTCACCTGTACAGTCTGCTCACCAGCACCTCATTAGTGAACCCCATTCCTCCCCAGAACTGGAGACAACTATCTGTTAACTCCCGAGCCAGACGCCCTGCCTTTAATTTAGCCATGGATGCAAATTTGGTCACATCATTGCCACAGATATACAGAGCTATAATAGAAAAAGACATAAAGAATGCATTTTAAGAATACCTATATGGATATTTTGTTTGTTAGGTTTTATAGTTTATATGTCTTTCTTCCATCATGGAACCCAAGGCGGCATACTTGCAGTTCCATCCAAGCAGAGACCACAGCCAGACCTGCTTAGCTTCAGCAAGATGGTGGCTTAATGTGTCTCCATGGATGATAAGGCTATCGATTGCTCCTAGCCATAATGGCTATGCATTACTTCCAGCGTCAAAGGTGGTATGTCTGAATACCGCTTGCTGGGATTCACAGGTGGGGAGAGTGGTACTGAGCTCATGTCCTGCTTGTGGGCTTCCCAGAGGCATCTGGCTGGATGTGCATGAGCTGGGCCTTTGATCTGATCCAACAAGCAGATAAATCCTAACAAAATAGTGTGGGGGGTGCCCCCCAATACTGTCTGTGCATGAATGTAACAGACTCCGGCTTGCACAACAGGACTTCACCTTCTCCTCCAGCCTGCAGTCTCCCGAGGACCCTCAAAATCTGCTTTGGAAAGTTGAGGGTGGGAATCTCTCCCCGGTCAAGCAGATATCTGAAGCAAAACTTCAATCCACTTACCAATAGCCCGATAGAGTAAAGATCGAAGGAGTTCCACCTCCGTCGCTAATTCTGCCAGACGAAAGTGCACTGTTTGGTTATGAAGTATTGGCTGGTTGAATGCCTTACGCTGGCGAGTATAATCAACCGTCTCTTGTATCGCATTTTCCAGTGGCATCAAAACTATAGGAATTGGAGAACGAAAGAGGAAGTGAGTTTAATTAATGACTTTTCCACAAAGGTTATGAACCCTAACCCTTTGTATTTTACCGGAGAAGTGGCCCTAATGACAAGGGTAAATATGGTCGTGTGTGTGTGTGTGTGGCCCTAGAGCCTGTGGTTAAACAATGATGGCTTCGTTCCGACTTAGTTCACACACCCATGTGCATCGTTCCATTGCTCTTCTTCACAGGTGTTTCTGTGAATGGACCACTGAAAAGCATTGTGGGTAAGATGATGAGAGGAAAAAATGAAAGTTTCACCTGTGACAACCCGTTCGCTCATGAAAGTCCTCAAGCAACAAACAATAATGTTCATTCACAGAGAGCCTGATTCACCAATTCAGGGTAGATTAACTTGCAACCTCCAAACAAGTTAGTGTTTGGAAACAGCTTTAAAGGACATTTTATGTCATATGTCTTGGAATGGATCACTAAGGTATTAATTTACTTACAGCACGTGTTTCCTTGAAAATAAGTCCTACTGTGCTCTATGGTGTTTACTGCCTGGAAATGGCACTTAACACCCCATGGCTCACGCTAGCAGCTCTGAGAGACCCAAGGGGATGGGGGAATCCAATGTACACCTGTGTATAGGCGTGTTCACCTGTTAACAGTTCTAAGGGAACAGTCCACGTGGGAAGAGTCCAATACTTTCAAGCAACGCTCTTAATGTGGGGAAAGTGAATCAGGATATACTGTGTCTATTTGAACATTGTTACTCCTTTCTTTTCCTCTCTCCCCACCTCTCTTTCTCTCTCACTGTCACTCCTCACACACACAGATGCACACGCAACCCCCAAAAAACTCCCTTTTTCTTTCATTGCATGAGTTACATTTCATACTCAAATAAAATGTGGTTGCACTCTGGTTTGGTTGTAACTTTTATCCCATGGCGAGGGGCAAGGCCCATATCCAAGACTCTTACTGGCTTGAGATTCCCCCTTCTCCCCCCAAAGTAGAACGTGAATGGGTCCATCACTCTATGAGAACGGCAACTGCTCCTCACACTTCAGTCTTGCAGAACGCTCCACCTTTCACACAAGATGACGACATTTGTGCGGTGTTTTCTGACACAGAAAAGAAGCTTGTGAGGAGCTTTGCATGTGTGTTAGAGCTTCTGTGGGACTCTGGATTGCGACGAAATAGAGCTTACAGTACTTTGTTCACCAAGAATTCACCCCAGGAATCTCAGCCAAATCCTATTCCCACTGAGCCACAGCAAACACCACTTTATAAACCATCACAGTGGCAAAACTGTTTTCAAGGGTTGAGAAGGGAGAGAAATCCGCTTAATCTTCAGCGTTAGTGCTTAAGAATCCATTAGTTGCAAAGCAACTGGAAACCTTCCTTTGTTAAGACGTTTTCATGTCCTAGACGAGTTCTCAGCGTAACACTGAAGGAAAATGACTCTTAAGTGTTACTGTGCCTCTGTGAACATTTGACACTGCCTGCCATTTTCAATTCCCCCTGCTGCTTCCGCACAACAAATGTCTAGCCAAAAATAGTTATTCCCAGCATTCATGTGAAAACATATTCAGCTTCTCAAGCTGAAGTTGCTTTGTTGCTATTTTACAGCTCACTTAGCAAACTCAGGCTTCACTTTGTCCAGGATGTTGTGGCAGCGCCATGTCCCCTGGGTCCCTCCTGACATCAAACAGGCACCTTCACTCTGCTGGTCTAGGCAGTGGCTGAAGAAACTTCTGTCTCAGAAAACCTATCCAGACATTATACTTAAATGTCTGGCTGATATTGTATATGCTTTTGATTGGTTTGTATATTTTTGTCATGTTAATCATAGAATAGTAGAATTGGAAGGGACCACGAGGGTCATGGAGTCCAACCCCCCTGCAACACAGAAATCTCTTGCCCAGTGTGGCACTTGAACCCATGACCATGAGATTAAGTCTCATGCTCTACTGAGGTACTGTTCTATATATAACTGCACTTGTATACCGCTTGGATAATTTTATTTTTTATCAAATGGTTTATAAATTTTCAAAATGAATAAAATATTTAAGACCTGTGTGCCCCGATAGAATTATTATTTTTAATTACCTGCTGTTTGCTCTCAAGATCCCAGGGTGGGTTACAATGTTATAACACAGTAGTCCTCCTAGCGGTGCAGCAGTACAATTGCTGGCACATTTGAAGAGCTAAGCAGGGTCTGGTATGGTTTCAAATTGGGTGGGGGGGCTTTGTGTTGAGATTCCTGCATTCTTGGACTAGATGACCCGGAGGATCCCTTTTCAACTCTACAATTCTATGACTGCATGAGTATTAAAAATGGTTTAAAACAACATAAATAGGTCAAAATAAATAAAAAACATTGTCCAGTAGCACCTTAGAGACCAACTAAGTTTGTTCTGGGTATGCACACTTCTTCAGATGGTCTCTAAGGTGCTACTGGACAATTTTTTTTGTTTATTTTGACTGCGTCAGACCAACACGTCTACCTACCTGAAAATAAAAAGAAAGTGTGTCCTAAAAATATGCAACTGAAGTTTCATAAGCCAGGATAAAGAGGTATGTATATTCAGCATTTGCTGGAAGCTGTATAAGGAAGGTGCCAGACGCACCTCTGTGGGGAAGGAGTTGCACAAGTGGTAAAAGGTAAAGGACCCCTGGGCAGTTAAGTCCAGTCAAAGGCGACTATGGGGCTGTGGCACTCATCTCGCTTTCAGGCCAAGGGAGCCGGCATTTGTCCACAGACAGCTTTCTGGGTCATGTGGCCAGCATGACTAAACCGCTTCTGGCACAACGGAACACTGTGATGGAAAGCAAAGCGCATGGAAACACCATTTACCTTCCCACTGGAGCGGTACCTATTTATCTACTTGCACTGGCATTCTTTCGAACTGCTAGGTTGGCAGAAGCTGGGACAGAGCAATGGGAGTTCACTCCATTGCGGGGATTCGAACCACCGACCACCTGATCGGCAAGCCTTTTACAAGTGTTAATCTGTATTTCACACCTTTTACAAGTGTTAATCTGTATTTCAAACCATAGGTTTATTTCAATTTGCAAACTGCCTTGCGTGCTTTGGAAGAAAGGTGGAATACAGTATAAATAAAACAAGGGGGAATTAGCAGAGATTGGAATGCAGGCATTCCCTTGGTCTCTTCATGAAAGTCTCCTGCTTTAACTGCCATGCTGTTTTAACAGCCTGGTGTATTTCTAATTGTTTTGTATTTAAACAATGTTGTGTAATTGGTTTTCATGTTTTACAAACCTCTTGAATGCTACCTTGACATTAGGCAGTATATATGAATCAATAGGGGATGCGGGTGGCGCTGTGGGTAAAAACCTCAGCGCCTAGGACTTGCCGATCGTATGGTCGGCGGTTCGAATCCCCGCGGCAGGGTGAGCTCCCATCGTTCGGTCCCAGCTCCTGCCCACCTAGCAGTTCGAAAGCACCCCTAAGTGCAAGTAGATAAATAGGGACCGCTTTATAGCAGGAAGGTAAACTGCGTTTCCGTGTGCTGCGCTGGTGCTGGCTCGCCAGAGCAGCTTCGTCACACTGGCCACGTGACCCGGAAGTGTCTCCGGACAGCGCTGGCCCCCGGCCTCTTAAGCGAGATGGGCGCGCAACCCCAGAGTCGGACACGACTGGCCCGTACGGGCAGGGGTACCTTTACCTTTATGAATCAATAAAATGGGTTGTATGCAAAGCTGGGCATAGTCAGAACAGGCCCACTGAAATTAATTGGCATGGCTAAAGTAGGTCTATTAATTTCAATAGGTCTGCTCTGAGTAGAAGCTGGTTGGCAGCAACCCAATAATACTTTGTTTCACATAAGTACTGCAGAAGCAGAATTCAAACATTAATTTGTTGCACTTATTATAAGAACATATGAAAGTGATCTCTATAATAAAATTAAGAAAATGGCATTTCCAACAGGGAGTTTGGGTTTTGCTTTTTTAATCCATCGTAACAGCATTGTGAAGCAGATGGCAGTGCTATATGGGTTATAACAAATGCACTAAAAATCCTAGTTAAGGAAAGAAAAAAATGTTAATTTCATATTATTTTGGGTGCTGAGCGAAGCAGAGGGTAAGATTAAGTGCAAGAAAATTCTACACATTTTCTAGGAGGACCTTTTCATAATAAGCATGTACAGCTGAGTTCTGAAAGGCCCTCTGGAAAATTTACAACCGCTAACTTATAAGAACATAGGGAGCTGCCTCTTACTGAGTCAGAAATGGAACTTTTTGTTCCATTTGTGGACTCCTGCTTGTTGAACTTTCATTTATGCATTTTTCTGGGATGCAAGGATGCAGAAGGGAGGAAAAAACTGACTTTGCCAGCGCATACCAAAGTATTTGGTGTTCAGCAAAAATGCCCATCAAGATATGGCTGTGATCTACCACTAAAATGCATTTTGTAAGTTGTTATGTAAGGGACAGGCTTTATCACTGCCCAGAGGACTTACTGCTGGCTACTCCCCACATTCGCTCCTCTTGGAATTGCAACATCTGGTATGTAAAGCCCATTCCTTCCTCCCCAATGAGGTATTTTCTGGGAACTCTGACATCTTCAAAAAAGATTTGTGCCGTGTCGGATGACCGCATGCCCATCTTGTCGATTTTCTTAGCAATGTGAACACCTAAAAATAAGGGTTCGTGGAAAAAGTGACAGGAAACAATTAGTCCCAAACGTACCGTGGTATTTTCTTTTTAAAAGGTATAACCAAGAGTCTTCCTTTTTAAACACATAAGATTTTAAAATTTAAGAACACATGCAAGTGTGTGTGTATTTAAAAAACCCCAAGATAAGGTAAATACTTCCATTTCTACCTCATCTGTAAAAGCGGTGGTGCTGTTGTTAATCAGCAAATCAGAATTCTCAAGATTTAAAAAAGGTCTTGCTTTTCATAATCCTGAAAACAGGAACAGCTTCCTAATGAGAGTAAGCTGAATTTTAAAGTGAAAAATGTCAAAACTGTCCAGGTTGCTTATTATGGTAAAACGTTAGAATCTTGATTAATAAAGGAAACAAAACATGTAAAAAAAATTACAGAGAATTAGTATGAAATTTGTTCAGTCTTTCAGAGCGTCATTCAAGTATCTAAACCCTTGAGAATGTACCCTCCATTCCCATCCAGAATATGGTTCTGAGAGCAAAACACCCGCAACAATTAACCTCAGGTCATTCCAGGATAAGTGAGCTTTTTAAAAAGAAAAGAAAAGCATTTGGAGAAAATGGGAAGGAGTGGGTTGAGAGAAGGGGAAATTTCATCTTTGTTCTCTTTGCTGGGTGGAGGTCAGAATGAAATAGATAAATGCTATTTTCTTCAAGGTCACATGACCCGAGACAGTCAGCAAAACAAGGCTGCGGAATTATCCTGGGCTTTCTTCTCTTTTTAACCATGTGTTGGCATGGCAGGGATAAGCAGCTATGTGTCGGACTATATGGAAGCTAGCTGCCTTAAACCAAGTCAAGCCATTGGTCTGCCTAGCTCAGCATCATTCACTCCTGCTGCTAACAGCCTCCCGGGGTTCCCCCAAGGAGCTGGAGGCAGTGTACATGGTTTCCCCCTCCCTATTTAATCCCATGAGCCTCTAGGGCTCTTCCACTTAATGTTTCAATCTTGCGTGTGTAATTAAGCCCATTAGCAGAGTGGAGTTCACAGTGACGCATGGAAAAACGAAAGCATGACTGAAAACATCCTCCAGATTCCAAATTCAAATAAGTTTCTGAATCTTGGCTGCGTAGCAAAGTCCTAATTTGTTATGTTTCTAAGGCCGCTTGGTTAGAACTGCACGCACATTTGTAATTCTAAAGGAAACAAAAGTCTACAGAATGATAATCAAAGCAGCTGGATTCAGTGAGGTTCAAAAACCTAAGAGAGGTATTTCACCCTGGTTAGGAACAAAACAAAGAAGAAATAATTCAGGATTACTGGTCACTTTTAAAAGAAAAAACAAATGGGCTGCAAGTTTAGCTCTGTTATGACCAGACTAAATTTTGGTGAAGTCCATAAACTCAGTTCACATAAATTTTAATTGATCTCAGTCACGGTATTATCATTCCTTCCATTTGCATGTTCAGGCAGTGGGTGCTGTTTATTTATGTAGCCAAAACAGCACCACCCACACGCAAGGGAAGATATTAGCAGGTTTGAGGGGTGGGGTGGAACCCAAGGTTTACAGAAGTGCAAAAAATATTGAGGGCGGGGGGGGGCACTAAGGAGGAAGGAGAAAACTCCAAAGCCAGCCTAATGAGAACTGGGGGTGCTCAATGGTCACAGAATGCTGACAGACCATTGTGGGATGGTGGTAGCGTTAATGGAACCCTGAACAGAGGCACTGCATGCTGCAACATTTCGTTGCGGATTCCACCTGTCCTTCTCCAATGCAGAAGAGGGGAGGGGTCAGCCCTGAAGATGCGTGAGAAGTTTGTTGGTTTGTTCTTTTAACGGAAAAGGAGCAGTTAATGGAACAAAAGTCCTTTAATAATAAATGGAAATATTTTCATCTGAGATTGTGGGCAGTGCCGACAATGGAAATTCCAGTCTTATCTGGGGGGAGAACAGTAATTTTCCCATGCAGAAAACATACTGACTCTGATGCAGGAAACCCTACGATGGTCTGTTCCTATCGAAATCGGCCACAACTATCTGCTTATCCTTAAGTTGACCTGGAGGCCTTCACCAGTTGTCCACAAAGTCTCTGAGATCCCCCTCGCTGCCTCACAGCATCATGAGATGCTGAGAGTGGTTGTCTCTTTCTCCCATGAAAACTACGCAGAGCTGAAGAAGAAAGTTTCAGCTCTGTGTGCTTTTCAATTGTCATTGCCAATCTCAACTCTACATACAGTGGTACCTTGGGTTAAGAACTTAATTCATTCCAGAGGTCCATTCTTAACCTGAAACTGTTCTTAACCTGAAGCACCACTTTAGCTAATGGGGCCTCCAGCTGCCGCCACGCTGCCGCCGCACGATTTCTGTTCTCAACCTGAAGCAAAGTTCTTAACCCGAGGCACTATTTCTGGGTTTGCGGAGTCTGTAACCTGAAGCGTCTGTAACCTGAAGTGTCTGTAACCTGAGGTACCACTGTATATGTCTTTGGACATATTAAACTGACCCCAGCTTCAACCATATTTTGTAAAGAAAGATGATGATGGCTCTGGGTTTTCATTGGTTTGGACCCCAAATTGCTCCTTTGTCGACTGCAAAGTGTCGGGGGGAAGCAATTTCTACAAACAGCCGTTTCACCTGAAGCCCCGACCTCCACCATATCCCACATCACTCCCAAGCCGCCTCCAGTTCCCAGGAGCAGATTTGTAGGAAGGGAGGTGAGGGGGTTGCAGAAAGGGAAAAGGTAAGGCAGTAAAGCCTATTTCATGAACTGTTTTAAATTCATGGGTGGAAAGTTGGGATTCTGGCCATCAGGTTTCCAGGTCACCTAATGAAGTTAAGCAACAAAAACAGTTTATACAGCAAAGAAATATATCTATCTATCTATCTCCTGGCTGTAGCTTTGGTGACCGTTCTCCAAGACATACTAGATTGATAGCACTATTGTTCAGCGTGTTTGGATGTTTCAAGCCGTGTTTTTACAAGTTTTTTTTTTTTTTAAGAAAATAGAAATCTGTGGGTTCCTTATCTATTCCTACAATAGGTTACAAGTTTCCACATCAAACACATTTCTAAGAGAAAGATGGTTTTAAATTTCCGCTGCTTGGGGTGAGGGAAGGGGTAGAGACTATGCATAAAATATTTACTTTACTTTCGTTCCCATTTCTCATTCTTTCCCCCCGCGACTTTCAAACCATGACATATCATTTAGCCTCTCTCAAATGTGATTGATTACTTTAAGAGAGTATCTCATTTCCAGGCAACACTGTTTTCATTTGAGGATGGAAGGACAGGTTAGGGAGGTCAGAGCAGAAGATGTTCCAGCCCTCCAATTTTTGGTACTACTGCCATTTCCCCATATAATTTATTACATTTGCATCCTGCCTTTGTTGCATCATGGAACTGAAGGCAGCAGACTTGCAGTTCCCAGGCAGTCACCCATCCAGGCACAGGCCAGACCCGGACCTGCTTAGCTTCAGCAAGTTGGTGGCCGCATGCGCCTTCACAGACACTCACAAAGACACCCTTTTTATTACCAGGTAGCTTCATCGGCAGACACAGAAGAGATTTGTTTCTGTGAGGTGGTCCGTCACTAGTGTTTGCCAGCAAGCACATCCAATCTGCCTGACAACCAGATGTAATCCACATTTTGCCACCATTTATAATATAGTCGTCTCCTTTTCTTACAGCCTTCGTCTTGATGCCTATTCAAAAGTAAATAAGTTGTTAGGTGTACCTGTTCCAGAAATAAGAGGTCTAAAAAATCTTTTCAGGCTGCACAGGGCTTTGTGCAACAGCACCAGCATACTGGAACTTAGCCTAGTAGCTAACTGGCAGTCAGTGCAATTATTTCAGCAGTGGTGTAACACGATGGTTATAGTCTGCCCTAGTGAGCTGAGTTGAGCATTCTTCACTAGCTGCAGTTTCTGAACCAACCTCAGGGGCAGCCCCACATGTTGCCATTTGCATTGCAATATCATACAAAACACTAGGCCCTTTCCCCCCGCAAGAGCCCATTCTGCAAAGCTTTTTCGTAACAGCACAAAATGTCCCAAATGCTGTAAGATTATGATCCACAACCCTGATGAGGAACCCTTGTCGCCACCAGCTCAGGAAGCCCACTTGCAGAAAATCCTTTCCATACCCAGGGACCCAATTTTGTGTAATTTCAATAGCCCTCTGCAAGCTGGTAAGTCGCAGCTCTGGCAAGAGTGATCTGCTCTCCCCACTGCAGCCGCTAGACATGGAGGAAGAGGGAGGGGAAAGCAGTGGTCCCTCCCACTTTAAGTATGGCTCCACCTATCAGTGGCATGCAGCCCTTGACAGACTGCCTTGGAGAGAATGTGACAGAAAAGGTTACTCGTCCATGCCCTATAGCATAGCAACTAGCAGCTTAATCTCCTGCACATTTGTGAAACTGAGAATGTAAACACAGTTTACTGGGTGATCTTGGGCCAATCACCATCTCGCAAAATTAAAGTTTCTGTGTTGTCTGTGCGGGGCAGAGGGATTGTGTGTGTGTCACCCTGAGGAACTTGGAGGACAAGATCCAAAAACATGATGAAATGAACACCAGCTTACACGTCTTATAAAAATCCTAAACATCGTCTATTTACTTACTTGCAACATCTGAGCCTGCACCAGGTTCACTGACTCCTAAGCAAGCCACAACATCTCCAGCTATACTTGGGGCAAGGAATTCTCTCTTCAGTTCTTCAGATCCAAATCTGCAATGTGAAATATTCAGAACATTGTTTGCTACAATTCTGAATATTTCTGAATGCAAGTGGCATTACAATAGTCCTTCCTCCCCCCCCCATTTTTTTCTTTGAACGGGAGAGCAATACTTTCATTTATGTCTTTTCAAAATACATATTCAAAAGAGACAGAAGCCATGAAAATAACTTGTATGTCTGCAGAAGGGGAGAAACAAAAAGAAACCACAGAAAAATAAGATTTACAATGTGGCTATCAAGCAATAAGGCAAGGGCACTAAGAGGCAGCTTCTTCTAAGGAATGAGAACCAATCCAAATGGACTGGTGGCTTGCTGGGGCAATTGACAAATGCCGTGTTTTTGCAATACCCTCCCTTTGCAGTCCCTGGCAAGCAGCCAAACACACAAAACTCCAAACATATAGGGACATAGGAAGCTGCCTTATACAGAAGCACCTGCTCACACAAAGGGGTTCCTTTGCCAATGACCATACTCAATGCTTCTACGTTCATGTATTAATTTACAAGGCCCTTAACAATTTGAGTCCAGGATACCTCAACAGCCAGCTAATCCCATATATCCCTGCCTAATCACTGAGTTCTTTGGGGGAGTCACTGTTAAGAGGCCTCTCCCCCGGCGCTTGGATGCACAGTTTGAACACAACAGGAGCTGTGTGTTTAGTATTGTGGGCTCAATTTTACACAATGCCCTTCCAGTTGGGGGACAAGAGGCTTCCCTCCTTCCTGAACCTCTGGTGTCTACTGAGGACTTCTTTTTTTGCAAGCAAGCATTTTAACTAAAGTCTGATTTTATAGATTTAACTGATTTTTCTGTATTGTGTTTTTGTAAACCGCTTAGAGATTTATTATAAATTGCTCAGACAAATAAAGATAATTGCATAAATGTGCAGACTTTGACACAGCCCTGCTCCTGCCCTACATTCAAGCAATCCATGAGCGGAACTGATGTTTCAACTCTGGAACAAAATGTGAGTACAATTCTGTTGAATGGAGTTACAAAGAAGAGATTTATAAGGGCATCCGAACACTATTACATTTACCACACTCACTTCTTCCACGCAGATGCCTGTGTATCCCAGGAAAATGCTTCCCAAGTTCCCCTTAAAGAGCAATCAATATGCTTTCTGGCAGATGGGAGTCTTGCTGCACTGAACAAAAACATGTCTTAAATGCCTGCACTTCATTCTGATTTAACTGGAGGGGGGGCATTTGCTCCCTTCTCTTAATATGAAGGAGGGAGGCAGGGAGACGAGATGGTACTCTTTCTTCTTTCGCATCCCACAGGGGAGGAAAAGGAGCCGTGCGGAGCGTCGTGCAACTGAATTAATTAACTCTAGAGTGAGGAAAGTTTCTAATTAGGACTGACACTTTATGACATACCATCAGTGGGGGGAAAATTGTAGCTTCAAGTAGGAACAGCTGCAGGTGAATTCTTTCACATTCCACATTTCATTAAACCACCCTACGCTCGCGTCTTTCTAAGCGCCACGTCAAATGACCCACTTCAAAGGAGATGGCAGGTCTTCCAGGATGAGTGCGGCACTTGGCACACACGAGTGGCGCAGCGGATCTGCACAGAAGGGCATCGAACAGCTGATAACCCAAGACTGAGCAGCAGCAATACTGAAAAGAGTCAATCTTGAGAGTCACATGCTTAGTGAGGGTTGAATATATCCATTTCTGTTTCTCTCCGTTTCTTGTTTTTCCATTCTTAAGTTTGGTTCTCCACATCAGTTTTCAATAATAATTAATAATAATAATAATAATAATAATAATAAATGAAACAGACCTCATGAAAAAGTCTCCTAATAAGACACATTTCTGGAACCAATTTTTGCTCTATACATGTTTTTGCTAAGCAAATTTTCTCAATGTAACATTTTTATTTTTTTGTATGTTGTTCACAAATAAATGCATGTACAGTATATGAATCTTCACACATGTATGCGTTACCTAGTTGAAGAAATGCATTGCAATATCTGGAGAAGTGTGAGTTTTGAAGGATGAGTGATGACTTTCTGCAGGGATTGCCTGTGTGATCAAGTTCCCTGCAGTGAACTCTGATAAGCAGCTGATTCAGCCGCATCTCCGCCTGCCATCAGGTATGGGGAAAGTGGCCATGGTTGGGGGAAAACAACCTTGTGGGCCAAGCTGGGACCTGTGACAGGCCAAAGCTGGCTTGTGGGCTGCAGACTCTCCACTCCTGCTTTAGAAGTTTTATTCAAAAATTACTTTCTCAAACCTCAGTATTCCCTTAAGCATGGTGATGCCACCCTTTTGTTGGAGACCTGCTATGGGCTGCACTTCTGTTGCCCCTGGAGTTTGTTATTAGAGGGAAGGCTAAGCAGTCCATTTGAGCTCCTGCAATTCCTTTGGAAAAGAAGTATCAGGGTAAGTGGTTTAGGGTTTATTATGCAGGACTCCCAATATAATCAGAATTTCTCATGTTGCTATTCTGCCAACAGTGCCTGCAATTTCTGCTGCAAAGATTCTTGTATTCTAGGCATGTCCAACAGGTCGATCGCAATCTACCTACCGGTTGATCGCGGGGTGTCTGTGGTCGATCATGGTCGAACTTTTGGTGAAAAAAGCTCAACAACTCTGGTTATTCCTCCCCAAATAAGCTCATCAACTCTGGTCATTCCCCACCCCCCAAAAAACTCAGCAACTAACTGTGGTCAATCCAATAGGTAGATCACTGCCAGTTTATTTATAGTGGGAGTTGATCACAGTCTCTTGGAAGTTGGACATGCCTGTTGTATTCAGTTCTCAACCAAAGTGTCCCTTCCCTGCCTCCCCCCCATCTCTTTTAGTGCAGCATATTCTTGCCATTTCCATGAGACATTTGTGTAGCTTGTAAATGGATATGATTAGTATCCCAGAGGCTGTCATTGCCACATGGTGTTGAAAAAACACAGCAAACGTAAGCCAAAACACTGGGGGAGGGGGGGATGAAGCCATGTGTCGGCTATTTATTGATTTGTTTAAAAACCACAGGGAAGAATTAAATATAATAAAAGCCTATTCTGGGGAATTCTTTCTACAGTCTTATTGCATCAAGCTGCCATTTTTATCCTCAGCAGTACAATAAATGGGCCAGAGTTTGGGAGGAAGCAATCGATATGTGAAATTATGGCAACCCGCACGTTGCCAGGGGGTTTATACCACACATGTTTAAAAGGAAAAAGAAAATGCTATTTGGAAAGTTCTCTCTGGGGGAAGCCTTCATATCGAACAAAGAATGTTCACATTTCTAACTTGTCTGGATAAATTCAAGAACAGGGGTGTTAATTCAGAAAGGAGTAGAGGTGGGAAGACAAGCAAAATGCATTTTACACCTGGACCTGACCAATTCCAAATTCAACTTTAACAACACAGTTGGATTACAACAAAGGACTTTTTGTGGGGCCACCCTTGGGGTTGGTCCTGAGGCTACAGGTGGTGCAGAACATGGAAGCTAGGTTGCTTGTGGGGACAAATTACCACCAGCATATAACGTATTGATTGCAGGATTTTCACTGGCTGCCGATTTGCTACTGGGTCAAGTCCAAGGTGTTGGTACTAAAATCTACAGCTCAGGACCAGGTGACTTGAGACACTACCTTAAACCCAATGGTCTGCAGGAAAGCTTCTATGGCAAATTTCACAAATCTCAGAAGCCGATACTCCAGTAACTCAGAGAAGGACTTTCAGTATGACTGCCCCTGTACTGTAGAATAACATTTCTGTCAAAATAGGCACCCATTATCTCCACTTTCTGGAAGCAGCTGAAGACACTTCTTGTCCCGACAGGCTTTCCCAGCTGGGTGAATGCCTTAAGATGATTGTGTGCAAGGCCAACAGTAATTAATGATAATGAGCCTACATGTGCTTAAATCTGAATCCACAGGCTTCCTTGATAGTTGACAACACAACAGAAGACAATCTCTGCCCCACCAAGAAAGCATAAACAGGTTGTCTCAGAGGCTAGGGATGCCATTGATCCACTTCAGCTGCGGCCACTGATGTAGCCCATGCATTGGTAACCTCAAGTCTGGATTATGACAACACGCTGTATGTCAGGCTACCTTTAGCTTTGCTCTAGAAGATTTGGTCTGTGGTGCTTTTAATGACCACCTTACCCCATATGTCCCAAGTAAATTACCGCGATCATTTGGGAGAACATTATTAGTTGGTCTTCTGTAGTCCAGAAGCATGACTTGTGTCAACAAGGAGCCACGCCTTGAGTGTTGTGGGCCCAACTCCATGGAACTCCCTTCCATTAGAAATCAAGCAGGTTTGAGATGTCAGGTGAAAGCTGTTCTATTTCAGAAGGATACTGTTTTGCTGGAAAAGCTGCACAAAAGGGCAACCAAAATGATCCCGTGGCTGGAGCAACCAACATTTTTGACTTATTAGTTTAGGGGGAAACTGAGCAATGGTGTTGGAGACATGACAGGCATAAAAATTATGAATGGTGTGGACAGAGAGAACTTTTCAACAGCATCTACATACACAAGTTTCTAAGACAGGTGATAAAAATCCCTTTGAGATTTTCTTTCATAGTATTTTCATCTCTGGTGTCTACATGTTAAATTGTTGATGGTCCTATGATTCTTTCATCCCGAATTACTTCCATCCATCTTCTTGCAAATTAACTGTCCAATCTTGTTCTTGTCTCTATCGAGTTGGGTGGCAATATTACCTGCTGAGAGTTTATTTACTTTTTTATTTTTTTACCTTGAGGCTCGTCTCATCAGCAGTAGTAATGGTACTGCAGTGGGAAAAAAAACTTGTAACATGGCTTCTATTTCCTGAATTTCCAAACAAGATAACCAGCAGCTTTGATAAACTAGAGCGATTATCGACCTGCCGAAGAGGTGGGTGCTGGTGAGCAGGCTCAGGTGTACAGAACCATTTCTACTAATGGATTTTTCTATGTTACCTTTCCTTCAGGTAATTTGCAGAGTGGTCTTTGATCTTCACAGCATTTGCCTTCAAAACAACTGCTAAGTAGGTCATATGGCAGTTCCCATATTACAGATGGGAAATTGGGGCAGAGTGCACACCTTGCCCCATACAATGTTCACAGAGGCAGCTGGAGGGGCCATCAGTCAGGCAGTGAGCCGGCTTGACATTGTGAACACATGTGGGGAAACTTGACAGTGAGATGCTGATCTGTTATCCAGGTACTAAGAGTCAACAGCCTCCTTAGCTACGGTTACACCACAAGATGGATAGGAAGGCATTTTCCCACTCCCAAGCTATGCACTGCGGCTAGAGACCAAATTGGATGTCAAGGTGGTAATGAAGTTGATGATAACAATAATGTTTTGGGGTTAGCGCATCTATTTTATTTAGTGTTGAAATATGTGCTTATGAGCATCACACAAACTATCTGGAAAAAAACCTCTTGCATATTTACAAACTCACAAAAAATATATGGCATTTACATATATGAAATGTATAGTATTATGGGGTTTTTTTTGTTTTTTCTTTCTCTTTTGCTCTCTTCTTATATTCTTTCTTTTTTATTTTCTCGTTTTGTGTCTGTAGTAAATGTCATTGCGTTTTGACATTTTTTAATTCAAATAAATAAATATTGATTTAAAAAAAGAAAGAAGAAAAAAACCTCTTGCTATAACCTTATTTTGCCTTTGCACCAAAATAATAGCAGCTTTCTTGAAATTAGTAGCAAACAAATTAAATCAGGACCTTACCATTTATTTCAGACCTTTGCTGAATTGTGGTAGTATGTACACATACTAGGCGAGTTAATAATTACCCTATTTATTTATTTGTGGGATTTCCTATATTGCCTGTTGTTAATTGATCCCAGGGCGATTCACAATAATTGAAACAACCAAATGAAGCATTTAAACAAATCCTCCAACAATAATATAGCTTTTCATTAAAATCTGTGTGAGCTACGCTTGTTCCTTTGTGGTATTTTATGTCTTTGGGTGAAACATATGTCACATTTAAAATCTTCAATTTTTGCCTTCCTTCATTATGCAGAGCTAGATTGAAAGCTGTAGCTCTCTTTTCTGCTTTTTAAAAAAACCTCACTGCCCCCCGGAAGAACAAACCCTTTAAAGTCAAGAGAAAGAGCCAATGAGTTTTCTTGGGAAATCTACCTTGCAAGGGCAGGTGTTGCCATGTCAGCTTGTACTCCAATCGCCATGGGAACCCCTCCACAGCGAATATTTCCCAGTTCTTCAGCCACTGCAATACTGTATGAGAAGTCCAGGCCAAGGCCGCCATATTCTGTTCATAAGAAAGGAAATTTTCTTCTTTAGAATTATAAAATTGTATTCAATCTATTATTATTATTATTATTACCACCACCACTTACTCTATATTACTCAATATTACTCTATATTACTCTAGGGGCGCGAGTGGCGCTGTGGGTTAAACCACACAGCCTAGGACTTGCTGATCAGAAGGTCGGTGGTTCGAATCCCTGTGATGGGGTGAGTTCCCGTTGCTCGGTCCCTGCTCCTGCCAACCTAGCAGTCTGAAAGCATGTCAAAGTGCAAGTAGATAAATAGGTACTGCTCCGGCGGGAAGGTAAACAGTGTTTCCGTGCGCTGCTCTGGTTTGCCAGAAGCGGCTTAGTCATGCTGGCCACATGACCCGGAAGCTGTATGCCGGCTCCCTCGGCCAATAAAGCGAGATGAGCGCCACAACCCCAGAGTCGTCTGCGACTGGACCTAATGGTCAGGGGTCCCTTTACTTTTACCTTTACTCTATATTATGGAAAATTTGTTGTTCACTATGCATTTGGATACCTCTTAAGCTATCGTAACCTAATTTTTGAAGGATGGTCCCTCACACAAAAGATTGTCATCTATGCTTGGATACAACTGGATGTCATTTTAAATCAAGATTGTGAACTGAATTTGATCTGATCTTTTTCTTTTCTAAGAATTCCCGATCAATGCTGGCAAGGCTACCAGTATCCTATAATGCAGCCTTCTCTGACCTGATATTTTGCATTCCAATGACCCTCAGTCCCAGCTAGCATGAAAAATTGTCATGGGCTGTAATCCAAAATATCTGAAGTATGTGAGGAATCAAGTGTTAAACTGTTTGTACATCTTGTAAAGCCAAACTATAGTTTACTGGCTTAGAATTACAGAAACATGCAGGCTTCTGGAGAGGAGCTCACAGCTCTTCTAAGTGGTCATCTGCTCAAGGGATGCTTGTTTGCACTGCTCGCTTAATACCCGATTTAAAATCATGATTAAGAAGAATGCATACATTGGCAGAAAACGTCTTCTAAATTCTCTTCTTAAAGGTTATTCCTCCCGTGTCCATCACCGGGAATAAACCTCCTAATTCATGCTTATTTGTCTGAAGTTATATATGTACAGCCTAAAAGGATTTTTAGCAACTGACATTAAGAAAAACTCATAAAGCCCTCATATTTTGAAGCAAATGGCATTTGTTCAATTATGGAAATATACCACAAATCATGGGCTAAGATTTACCCAGGGTTGTTTTGCTGAAGAGCTGATAACATGGCTTTAAGTTGATGTTAATGCTTCTCTAAATGGGACTTATTTCATTAGTCTGGGCTGAAATAAGTCAGGTTCTTGACTTGCTCCACTGGGTCAGAGTTTGCTCCTCTGGGACATCTGTTGGAAAAGAAATGAAGTCTCCACCAGGGCAAACTGCAGAGCTCTATTTTCCCACACATGTACGGTGCAGGGGGACCATTACACAGCACTGACCAAGCTCAGACATAAGTATGTTGCTTCAAAGCTCAAACTCTAGAAAAGGACCTCGAAAGTTACACCAAATCTGGTGCCTACAGTTGGTAATGATGCAGCCCTCTTGAAAAGAAGGAAACCTGGAGTTGCATCTAAGGAAGTTCTGCTCAGAATTGGCCCATTAAAATTCATCAGCCTAACTTAGCCATGCCCATTAATTTCAATGGGTCTACTCAGAGTATGACTAGCAATGGCTATACCCACTGGGCTCCACAGAGCGTGGTATTAATTGGCTTAGATTCAGATTCAGAAGAAATCCACTCAAGGGGCGCTCCTGCCAATAGAGGTGGAAGGAGTTACTTCTGTCAATTCGCTATTCTTGTACCCTGCAAAAATCTGCTCTGGAGAACTTGGGGACTTATTGTAATGAGGGAAGGGGGCTGCAGGGGGAGAGGAAAAGTTTTTAAGTTAATAAAATGTAAAATTTAGAAGCAACAATTTAAATGCATAATAAGCTGACTTCAAGCTGCTTTTCATATGCAAATGCCAACATTACTCGAAACCTGACAATCATCTCTCAGAGTCCAGAACAATGAGGAAAGGCACTTTTGTGAAAAGATTTGATCTGCCACATTTTACCAGCTATAGAAAAACACTCAAGGGGGCAGAGGAGATTGCTGTCCTCTCACAAATATGAGCATTAAACATACTGATGTATTGTGATTCAGTGGTTTTTGCTGTTCATGAAAGCTTAAACCATAATAAATCTGTTAGTCTTTAAGGTTCTATAAGGCTTTCATTGTTTTTTGCTGGACAAGACATAGCTACCCCACTAGAAACCATAAAAAAACTACGGAAAAACTCCTCTCCCTTAATACATGCACACATAAGTTTTATGTATATGCCTCCTTTCCGCAGTTCAAACTATGCTCAAGGCAGCTTGCAACATGAAGAAGATACACAACTACAGTGGTACCTCAGGTTAAGAACTTAATTCATTCTGGAGGTCCGATCTTAACCTGAAACTGTTCTTAACCTGAGGTACCACTTTAGCTAATGGGGCCTCCCGCTGCCGGCACACGATTTCTGTTCTCATCCTGAAGCAAAGTTCTTAACCCGAGGTACTATTTCTGGGTTAGTGGAGTCTGTAACCTGAAGTGTCTGTAACCCAAGGTACCACTGTATAACATAAGAAAAGTCGTCATAAACAATAAATAAAACAATAAAAAATACTGAACAATTTCCACATAAATCACAAGATTCAAAACTAAGATACACAGACCAACAGAAACAACAACAGCACCCCAGTCGGAGATGTCAGAACACAAAATTTGTAAGTGTAATCAGCACTTTGCCTAGTTGGACATCCTAGAAAATGATAATTCCACAAAGGGTATTAGCAGTTCCCCTGCAGTACAGACCCAAGCTGGTGTAGCACAGTGGCTGAGAGGGAGCTATACATCTGTAACCTCCTGATTCAAATGTCACCTCGGCCATGACCTCACCCGATGGACTTAAGCGCATTCTTCTCCCTCAGCTTCAATATCCCTTTCTGCAGTGAGTGGGGATATAATCATACAGACTTGCCTTGAGGGATCATCACCATCATATTCCAGACCAGAGATAAAGCACAATGAGAAAGCTAATCTATTCTGACACTTCCATTATCAGGCTATTTCCAGGACTACTTGGCAAACGTGATCTTCATGCCCACCTGCCTGCTAGCCCAACACATTTTCTATGATTTACCCCTGCATCCATTCCTCTCCCTTTCTGCCATTGCCTCCCTTGTGCAAAATTTTGGAGCAGGAGTAGGGGACCCCCAACTCCCATCTGCATGGCCATTAGTCATGGGAAATGCAGTTCAGAACTTTGATAGCACTATATAAATGATACACAACCTGAAACAAATCTAGCTGCAAAAGACAAGACCCCCAAAAATTAAAAAAAAATTCTGCAATAGCAATTCAGGCATTTGACTATAATAGTACCTGTCAATGCTAATTGCAATACAATTTATCACAGATCACACAGCAACGCGGTGGAATGCATAATCGCTTTATTAAGAGGTTCAAAGCCAATAAAGTAACACACATGGATACACTGAATATGCATTGAATGGTCCGTCAAGCCAAGAGCAGTTTTAAAAACAAATGCCCTATTCTGTATTAACTAATGCATAAAATACCAAACAAGATCATGCAAAATCCTAGTTGGCACCTATTCAGGACCCTGCCACTGATTTTAATTAACCTTATTTCATTTTGAAATGTACAAACAAACCTCTTCTCAGGCTAATTTAAATTCATCTATTTCATAAGGCCCCTTCCCCAATAGTTATTTCAAAGGCATCTGGTTTTCTTAAATAAACACGCTATGAGGGTTAGGCATGTTACATTTATGTTGCACCCTTCCATCAGGGGGACATGGATTTCTCTGAACATCACAAACATGCAGTTTATCCTCCTATCAAGGGGTATATATGAGAGAGAGAGAGAGAGAGATTGGTCCAAGGTCACACGAGCTTCATGGCTGAGTTGGAATTTAAAGAGAGCCTGTGGCCCTCCAGATGTTGTCAGGCATCAACTTGTATCAGCCCCAAGCAGCATGGTCAATGGTCAGGGATGATAAGAGCTGCATCCAACAACATCTGCAAGGATGGGATGGGGCACAGATTCCACATTGCTATTCTTGCTAATAGGGAACCTCTTATTAAAGGAAGTTTGACTAAACAAAAGCTTAAACCAGGGATGTTTTAAATACGCTTTTATTTTATTTTAAATTGTGCTGCTTTAATTTTTTTATGTTTGTCACCCTGGGCTCTGACATCCACTTAAAAACAGTTTCAAATTCTGTTTATAAATAACAGCTATAGACGTTTGCCAGCATAAGCAGTCAAGTGGATATGTGGGCACAATAAAAGAGGGAGAAGATATAGCAACCTGTTCCCTTGACCATGGATCTGAGATATATTTACAATCAGCACCAGCTATTCCATCCAACATTTCCATCCAAAGGTAAGCTGCATTTGTGCCATACATTTGAAGCAACCTCTGGGAAAAAGAATTCTGGGATCTGTAATTTTGTCAAGAGTGCTGGGAATTGTAGCTCTTTGAAGGGTAAACTACAGTTCCCAGGATTCTTTTTCCCAGGGGTTGCTTCAAATATATGTTGTGTACGCAACCTATGACTCTATTCCTCCCTACAGCAGGAAAAGGGGAAGGGTAGAAAAGGATGGCAGGCCATTACTTTTGTGGTGAGGGCAGAGGAAAGAAGGTAGAGAAAGAAAAGGTGGGGGGCAGAACCCATAATGCTTATTAAAAAGCCTTGGAAACCAGAATTAATGTATAACTATTTAATTTTTTTAAAACAACTGAGATTGTTGAGAAAAAGAACAGCCAGGTTTTTTTGGCCACGTGCCTTGATTTTTAATCAGTATTTCCAAGGCTCTGTTTTCCTTAATATGCAGTGGAGATTAGTGTTCTGATTCTCTCCTTTTCTCTCCTTTTCTCAAACTGCTTCCTCTGCAAAACAAAATTTTAACAAGGTCGTGGAAGATGAAACGCATGACCTAAAATGCAGCTCTGCCCTCAAAAAGTGGACTTTGACGTTTGTGCCTTAATCCATGCCTTATTATGAGATAAATTAAAAACAATTTTAAAAACTGAGAGCAGCAAACTAATAACCTAAATAAACAAACAAGCAAACCAAACTGACCAGGCTGCAGCAGATTCATGTTACAGTCCCTCACCAGAGACTCCTAAGCAAACTTAGTAATCATAGGATAAGAGGCAAGATGCTCTTATGGATATAGAATATGAAACAGTTAAAAGTTTATGGTTAAAGAATATGAAACAGAAAACATAATAAATGAATAGTTCTTACAACGGAGGCATGTAAAAAGTGGGGTCCCCCAAAGTTATATATTGTGACAAGACAGTGATGACCGTTGTGCAGGCCAAGTTTGCTGATGACTCCAAATAATTTAGGGTGGTAAAAACAAAACAGCCCCAGAAGTATCTCTCCAAAATGGCAGACTGGGGGTCAAAAAGGCAAAAACAGCTCAACCGAAGCAAGTGTAAAGTGGGATAAAAAATTCCTAGCTTCACTTATAGTGCTGATGGTCTCTGTGTTGGCAGCGGCAGGCCAGGAATGGGATCTGGGCATTGACTGAAATGTCTCTGTACTGATGCTGTGAAAAAGGCAACTTCCATCTTGAGGAACATTGAGAAAAGAATAGAAAATAGACGACAAATATCACAACATCTTTATACAAATCTATGACGCAACAACGTATTGAATACTGTGTACAGTTGGTGATGCAGTACAATTGGCTTCAGTTTAGTCAGCCTTTGTGGCTGTGGGGCTGTCCCTTGGGCCTCTACAAGTGTTAGAACTTGTGCATCTTTGCCCTTTGGTATTAAGGAGCAATTCAATTTTGCTTGCATTTAATGAGAAACTGCCTCATTCTTACTGCTCCAACCACTGAAACACAGGTACTCCTCAAAATTTGCACTCCTCAAAATTTTGTAATGCAGTTCTCCAACCAAAAATGCATTATTTTAGGGGCATTTCCTAGCAAAAATGCATATACAGTAGTACCTCGGGTTACATACGCTTTAGGTTACATAAGCTTCAGGTTACAGACTCCGCTAACCCAGAAATAGTACCTCGGGTTAAGAACTTTGCTTCAGGATGAGAACAGAAATTGTGCGGCGGCAGCAGGAGGCCCCATTAGCTAAAGTGGTGCTTCAGGTTAAGAACAGTTTCAGGTTAAGAACAGACCTCCGGAACGAATTAAGTACGTAACCAGAGGTACCACTGTATCCGTCAAAACGGCATACCCAAATGTTTTGTATTGGGAGAAAAATCACACTAAAATGCTGATGAAGTTTCACGAGGACTTAAATAAATCACAATTTGCTGTGGGAACGTGGAGAAATGAGAAACTTGCACAACCGAAAGTGACAGTGTCATCGTTCCCTACTTTCCAGGAGCTGCACTTGCTCACGGATCAAATGCTCCGAGAAACATTCCTACACTAAACTTGCTGTTGCTTGCCTAAGGAGGCACGGCTGATTAATGGAAAACACATTATTGTAATTAATTGCAAATCAAATTATATCACAAATGACTAACGATCGTGGCACAAAGGCCATGTTCATTAAAAATTTAACCTGCCACTATCGAGAAAGGTGTTTTTCTGCTCCTAGATGACAAAAAAGAACCCTGGCCTTAACACAGATTAATTACCATCAAGACTGAGCATCATTTTGACCTTTTAAATAATCAATGTCCAATGAACACGACAGCCAAACTTTACATCTTTTGCCTTAAATAGCTGATAGAGAATGAATAGTGGAGGAAGGGGGAACTGCATTTCTAAGAACTATGCAGGCAGTTATGACATCCTAATATGACATCCTAAGCACCACACAAAGGTTATATGGTTTCTTCCTACCACTCACCATCTTGGAACCATGAATTTTTATGGACAGACGCATCCCGTGAAATTTGAGAGGAAGCAAGTGGAAGCATCTAAAGAACATAAGAAGGGACATAAGAAGGGTTCAGTTGCAGTAGCCCATCTAGTGCAGCATCTTGTTCTCACAGTGGTCCCCCAGATGCAAGCAGGAAAGAAACACAACAGCTCTCATCTCTCCTGCAGTTTCCAGCAACTGGAAATTCAAAACCATACTTATACTCCATGAATTTGTCTAATACTCTATTAAAGCTCTCTAAGTTGGTAGCCACTGCTGCCTCTTGTAGCAGCCAATTCCATAGTTGAGCTGTGCGTTGTATGAACTACGTTCTTTTGTCCACAATCTTCCAACATTCAGCTTCACTGGCTATCCCCAAGTTCTTCTCTCTTGTTTTTTTAAAGCACTGCCCATGATCCCCAAGTAGTGTGACAGGTGGGAGTCCACCAACATGTACAGGGCCACAGGTTGCCCATCCCTGCTGGAAGGCCTCATTGCCCCATTCTCCTAAGCGACCGCAGTGCCCATCTCTCGCTCCTGCTAACAATTCCTCCATCTCCATCCATCCTCAGCCTTAGCTGGGGTTGAGCTGGGAAAACAACAAAACCTACCAAGCGATCTTCCCAGAAGGATTAGAAGAGGCGTAGGCAAACTCCGGCCCTCCAGATGTTTGGGACTACAATTCCCACTATCCCTGACCACTGGTCCTGTTAGCTAGGGATGATGGGAATTGTAGTCCCAAACATCTGGAGGGCCGGAGTTTGCCTACGCCTGAATTAGAAAATGTACATTTCATACTCCAGCTGTGCCGTTTCCTCCCCAGGGAGATAGGATTTTCTGCAAGTATCCACAGAGCTACTGGCATACCTTCTCCCTTCCCAAGGACAGTAATTAACTTTCTGAATAGCAGAGGGCTCTTCCCTGCATCCAAGCGGCAAAAAACAAGGCTGGACATAGCATTTTTAAAAATCAAGTTTCCTTGTATATCTACTGAGGTTAAGGATTCTCCTTTCACACACATGGAAAGTATTCAGTGCAGCACCGTATGAGATCAGCTATTAAGATTCTGCAGGTATGAGAACAATAGATTGCCCCTGTTTTCCACAGGGATCTCCACAGTCCCTGCCATTAGACACTTTTATACGATTTGTCTCTGCTTGGGTCAAAAGAAAGGTCTCCAAAACTCACACTTAGAATTCAGAGCTCAGAGTTAACGCTTGCTGGAGCTTCCCCTTCGGAAAGGGGCATCTGCAAAACAGCAGGCAATGAATCTGCCAATCTGAAGTCGCTGCTATGTTGACAAGCAAGGTGAAATGGCTCCCCAAGGTAAACGTGCCACCGGAAAAAGGGCAGAACAATCCTAGAAGTGCAAATACTGAAGCTCTGTTAATAGAGGCTGGATGCTCCTTTAAAACGCTAGCCAATCTGCCAAGTTTGCATTTTGCCCTTGGGATGTCTTCCCATCCTCTGCAGTTGCATTTTTAAAATGCCCCCCCCCCCCAGCAGCATGTAAACAATTCTGGGCCTGCCTACTCAGGAGTCAGTTGCACTGAGATTAAGACAATTTACTCCCAGGTAAGGGCATATGAGATTGCAGCCTTATACCAAGTCAGACAACCTACCTACTGTCTGCACTGTTCTACAATGGCTGGCAGCAGGTCTCCAAGGCTTCAGACACGGGTCTTTCCAGCGCTGTTTGCAAACCCCAAGATTTCACCTGGGACCTTTGGCATGCAAAGCCCATGCTCTGAGCTACAGACTCACTGGGGTTGTGCCATCCCAAACCACCCCCACCCGCTTCTGAATATTTAGGTTATCAGTAAGCACAATTACCGTGGGAACTCTTTTTTTAGCATTAGATCAAGCCATACCTCTACCAACCTAGAGTGTTGCCTACATCATTCCCCTAATTAGAAGCTTGTGTCGCTTCATGCCATGCTGCCATTAAAAAATGTTAATGAGAACAGCCTTTTCTAGCTTTATTGTGTACTCTGGAGATTGCACGGACACTTGATTTAATTTGCCTCAACGTTTATTTATGCATTCCCTCCTAACGAATCTGCACTCTTCGTTTAAAATATTCAGGAGGCAAACATTAATAAATGGAGGCCTAGATATTGGACAATATTCTCGTCTTGCATAGCAATCCTGCAGCCCAGTGCAAATGGCTGTAGCTATGCCAGACACAGCTGGTTGGGATCCTTGGCAACACCACTAGGTAAAGGGAAAGGGACCCCTGACCATTAGGTCCAGTCGTGACCGACTCTGGGGTTGCGGTGTTCATCTCGCTTTATTGGCCAAGGGAGCCGGTGTACAGCTTCCGGGTCATGTGGCCAGCATGACTGAGCCGCTTCTGGCGAACCAGAGCAGTGCACAGAAACGCCGTTTACCTTCCTGCCGGAGTGGTACCTATTTATCTACTTGCACTTTGACATGCCTTCGAAATGCTAGGTTGGCAGGAGCAGGGACTGGGCAACACCCTGGCAATACCACTAGCAATGTCAAAAAACAGAGTAAAAGAAGGAAGAGGTATAAAAAGGTAAAGGTACCCCTGACCATTAGATCCAGTCATGACCGACTCTGGGGTTGCGGCGCTCATCTCGCTCTATGGGCCGAGGGAGCGTTTGTCCGCAGACAGCTTCCGGGTCATGTGGCCAGCATGACTAAGCTGCTTCTGGCGAACCAGAGCAGCGCACGGAAACGCTGTTTACCTTCTCGCTGGAGCGGTTCCTATTTATCTACTTGCACTTTGACATGCTTTTGAACTGCTAGGTTGGCAGGAGCAGGGACCGAGCAACGGGAGCTCACCCTGTTGCAGGGATTCGAACCGCCGACCTTCTGATCAGCAAGTCCTAGGCTCTGTGGTTTAACCCACAGCGCCACCCGCGTCCCTAGGAAGAGGTATAGGGGGACCCAAAACAGAAAAAGAGAAGAAAAAAATTAAGGGGAGGAAAGCTGGTGTGGCACTTGCCATCAGCAACTCATCCAGGTCTAGCCCTGATTCTTGCTTGTTGCATTGAATTGTTTGAAAACGAATACTTGAAGGCATTCAAGTAATGATGAACGGCCCTTGCTTGACCTGCAAGCTTTTAACCTCAGAGTTGCAAAGAACTCTTTAATGGACAGGATGGAATGATAGCTAGGTTTTCTGTTCTGTAGGAAAAAAAGGTTAGGTGTTGATGCATGTATTTGATATGCACATTATTATTTCTTTCATTTATGAAATGTTTCCTATATGGGGCATCTCAAAGTGATTTATAGTACACTTGGTAGAAAACTGCTGTAAACAAAATAGTTTCACTCTTCAAAACATATTATAAAAGAGATTATAGACAGAGTACCAACTTTCCAAGGACTCTACTTTAAATCATTGGCTTTTGTGTTTTAACTTCTGGTTTGTACAAACTTTTTTACATCCTTTTTTTCTCCCCAAAAAGAATCCAAAGATAACAGTAACTAAAATAAAACAATGAAAGTCAGTATATAAAACAAACAGGAAACAGTATCCAACACCGATAATAAAATTAGTGCCATACAAGTACGGTAAATAATGCAAGTGTCATGTGTTGGGATCTTTACTCTTCCATTACAAAGTACAGAAAATTTGCCTTCAGTTGGAGATCTGTGCTTCTGGTTGTATCATACAGAAGAAAAATGTTTTCAGTTTCTAGATAACACATATCTTGTCATTTCTTGTACTACATTTAGTTCTATAATCCAAAAGGTTTTTATTTTAGTACTGTGCAACTATGTTTAAAATTGACTCCGCTTCTCTTTCACCTCAAACAGAACATGTTTCGATTATATATTTTGCTCTGTCAATATGAAACAAGTTAACATGGATAAATTGTTCCAAATAAATTTTCCTTTAAATTAGCATGGATTAATGGAGCACGTGTATTTTTGAACAGCCATTCCAATCACTCTGTTGCATTATCAGCTGTTTCATAAGAACTTTCCCCCCATTTTCAAACATTTGGATGTCTGGATGGCATATATGGATTTGTATGTGTAAACTAAGATGGATTTAGTGATATTTATTATACTGTTAACACAAGGTGACAGAATTACCCCTCCCTCTTCCCCGTTTTTTCCCTTTTTTTTCTTTACAAATTTGCAATAAACATGTTTTTTTTTAAAAATCTTTTTAAAAAAAAAATTATGCATGTTGCTTGCCAGTCTTCTCTTTTAAATTTAGATAGAATTGCATAGATTTTTAAAACCAACTTTCCCTGAGCATTCTGTAACAAGAGATTTTTGAATGGAATTTTCAGAAAAGGAATTCCATATTTTGTTAAAAGTTGTTCTCTTGCGGGTCTTATTTGGAAAGATGGAAGGTATGTCTGATTCAGTAGATTACTGCTTGATCTTAAGCAACTATGTGTCCTTGGTTTATCCAATCCTTAAAATGAAGAATGTTTCACCAGATTGAGCCATTAAGTGTATGTTGTAGTTGACTTCCTATAAACTGATTATTCAAAGGTAAGGGGAAACATTTCTGGAGCAAGTTTTTGAAAACACATGCTCCAAACTTTAAGCATGGCTTTTGTAAACATAAGATTGGTTTCCTTTTTAAAAAAAATCTGGTGGGGGTGAATACTTTCTGACACTTAATTTTGGAAACAAGAAGTGATTATTTAACAGAATCAGCTTATAAATCTACACAAATGATCAATTTTTAAAAAGGTAAAATACATTCCAGGTTTGTACCAGGTATTTAGTGTAAAAATATGTGGTTGAGGTCTTAAAATAAAAGGCATAAAAATCAAATCCTAGCAGTATGATTCAAAAGATGTTCTCAAACAGCATTTCTGTCATTCATTTTTAGGATTCGCTGATTATTTATGGTTTCCCTTTTCCTCTGGCAATAATGAAAACTGCTTACTAACTTCCCCAAACTTGTACCAGAGTTTGCTATTAATAAAGGAATGTACTGGAATGACAAACTAATAAGCGACAACTACGTATGTAGACAAAAGCTGATGACACCTTCACAATAAAAACCCCAATACAATTCAATTGATCACAGTCAAACACGGCTGTCCACTTCTGTTGAAACATTCTATTCCTATTACACACTTCATTCTTCACAATGGGACAATCAAGCAGATGTTTCCTACTTTTGAAGTAGAACAGGTGGCTAGACAGAAATTGTGTTTGAATGTGTTGTAGAGGTTAGTGTCAGACAGGGACCTGGGAGACCAGGGTTCAAATCCCACTTGGTCATGAAGATCACTGGATGACTGCCTTCCAGCCTAACATACCTCAAGGGGTTATTGTAGGGATTAGGTGAGCAGCGGGGGACGGGGGGGAGCATGCACACCACCTTCCTGAACATTTTTTAATTATTATATATTAATTGTATAGGGGGACGCGGGTGGTGCTGTGGTCTAAACCACTGAGCCTCTTGGGCTTGCTGATCAGAAGGTTGGCGGTTCGAATTTCCGCGACGGGGTGAGCTCCCGTTGCTCAGTCCCAGCTCCTGTCAACCTAACAGTTTGAAAGCACGCCAAAAAGTGCAAGTAGATAAATAGGTTTCCATGTGCTGCTCTGTTTTCGGTGTTCAGTTGCGCCAGAAGCGGCTTAGTCATGCTGGCCACATGACACAGAAAAACTGTCTGCGGACAAACGCCAGCTCCCTCAACCTGTAAACCGAGATGAGCGCCGCAACCCCAGAGTCGTCTGCGACTAGACTTAACTGTCAGGAGTCCTTTACCTTTAGTAAAGGTAAACGTACCCCTGCCCGTCAGGGCCAGTCATGACCGACTCTAGGGTTGCGCGCTCATCTCGCTCAAGAGGCCGGGAGCCGGCGCTGTCTGAAGACACTTCCGGGTCATGTGGCCAGCGTGACGAAGCTGCATCTGGCGAGCCAGCACCAGCGCCGCACACGGAAACACCGTTTACCTTCCCGCTAGAAAGCGGTCCCTATTTATCTACTTGCACTTAGGGGTGTTTTTGAACTGCTAGGTGGGCAGCAGCTGGGACCGAACGACGAGAGCTCACCCCGCCGCGGGGATGCGAACCGCCGACCTTTTGATCAGCAAGTCCTAGGCTCTGTGGTTTAACCCACAGTGCCACCCGCGTTGAAACTTACTAACATTGCCTTTACCTTTTTTTAATTGCATGAACACCTACAAAGTGCTATACAGTACAACATAAAACACAAAGACTTGCCCAAAGGTTTGCAATCCAATCCAGCAAAGAAAAGAAATGATGGGGTGATTGAAGACAAAGATGGAGAGAGGCACACGAAATCTAGACACCATGTGATGCAGGATTTCAAAACACTTTATTTAATCATATACAAAAACTAGTGAAGTTATTTTCAAAGGCAGCTACTCCAACATCAGAACTGGCATAATACCAACTGACTGCAGCTTAAATACCTTCAGACTAGCCGTGTAAAGAGCACGTTCATATTAGTGGTTAGAAACACAGCAAGGTCATGTCTCTTCACACACACACACACACACACACACACACACACACACCCCAGCTGCTGTTCAAGCTGCATTTGCAATGAGATGTTCCCATCAGAAAGGGCACAGGGATGTCTTCACTCGACCCCCACCTCTGAAACTCTCCTCGAACTCCTATTCATAAAGCTGTCATCTGCCTCTGTGTGACAGCAGTTAGGTTATGTTCGCATTATTCTGCATTTGTGGTTTTTTTTAAAAAAAATTGGATTGAAACTAGTTTGTGGCGGGGAAGCACCACATCGAATGGCAGTATTTGTCAAGAAACTCCAGGATCAATATGGATTGCAGCTAGCGGCATGTAAGTTTGCCTTCAAAGATTAGCAGTGGTAGTGCACTGGATGGGAAGCAAACAGTTCTATGAACATACCCTTAGATATGAAAAGAGAAGTCAAATCATCGACCAAATTGGGAATGCAAGACTGCTCTAAGTATGCCGAGCTAGAGAACTGCTTTGATCCAGTTTCTGGTTTCAAGTTCTCTTTAACCAGTAATCTCATTTGTCCTTTAAAGTTAATCTTTAATGTTCTCTTTGCACTGTCAGCATTTTTATAAAGTGGAAGCTCAAAACTAATTGGATTTGTCAAACAAACCCATCAGAGTGTAGCAGTTTTCTGAAGCAGAGCAACTGTTTATGGCTACCGTTCCCTCATTCTGGGCCAAACCCTATTAAAATAATGGCATTGTTTCGACAGAATTTTGGTTTTCATTTTATATCAGAGAGATACGATCAACGGTCAGAGAGGGAGAGAGAGAACACATGTGTGTGCATGCATAAACACTCTTTCTTTTGTCTGGATTCCCGGGCCTTTCCTGCAGCTGTTAACTGTCCAAGATAAACAATAAAGGAAAGAATGCCTTCAAGGATACTCTCTGTAAGGGTATCAGGGGGTTGCTCGAGAGCAATCAGGCAAATGCCTCCCTGGTCGGCTGTAAAGCCTTGTAAATAGTGCCAAAAAACCTTCACCATGCAGAGTGCCACTCTTCAGTGGCTGGCTCATTCACTGGCAGAATCTGAGAGTGGGCGGTCCTTAAACCTTTCCCAGCAGAGTAGTTTCTTGACACCCAGTCTGCACTTCCCCTCTCTGCGCGGAAGCCTACTGCGCAAGGAGGGCGTGGGTAACGGAGGACCTCTCTCCTCCCCGCTTTGCTCAGGCAAGGTGTCCTGGCCCCGCCTTGCCTCCCCCGAGCCCTGCAGCTCCTCTCCTCTGGAGGTGTGGTTACTCTCCTCCGCTGAGGAGGTCTGCTTCCCATGATCTTTGTGGGCTCTCTGTAATCTATCCGGCTTTTCCCCTCTCACCCCTGAGCCAATGGCAGTTCCCTGACACACTCCATTAAATGGTTAATCCCACAGTCTGCCTCTTATAAAATCAAAGAAGTATCCTCCCAGCCAGCCCAGTTGAAGCAAAGTTTCCACAATGAGATGGTGACAATATTATACCTTGAGGAACATATTCACGTTGGAGACTTACGAAACATTTGCAAAGTGAGCTATTTTTAAATAGCTGCAAGCTGCATTCTTACAGGGAAGCAAAATCATAGAGGCTGAATTCTGGAGCATTTAAGAGACAATAACCCAAGTCCTCATTACCTGCAGACAATATTAAAACATGCACACACACGACCCTGCAAGGAAAACCCCGCACTTGAGAGGGACATAACAAATAGCAGGCGCTCAACAAGATCTGGCAATATGTTCAAAACGTTTGCCTTGCACTTCTTGCTAGTTTTCTTGTGGTGAAATGCCATCCAGCACACAGCTAGAGATGTGACCCAAGCTGTAGGATAATAAAAGAAGTCCAATCTTGTGCAATTTAAATATGCAGTGCATTTTGAAGCCCATGTTCAATTTATGCTAAAAGCTGAGCATTAAAAAAGGGGGGGCAGCAGACGAAAAAAGAAAACAAGATAAGTGATACATTACCAAGCTTTTGTTCCATTTAACTCTGCAATTTGGTTTTTAAAAGTGCATTTCTTAAACAGGAATGACCAAATGCTTACATATAACTACTCAGAACTAGATCTGAACCATGCAATTATGCCTCATTTGCTTTTCGTGGATTCTGTATCTTTTCAACCCTGACTATGATTCAAAGCATGTTTACTAAAAAATTAGCAACTAGACTAGTTCTAGTTCTCTTTCAGAAGCTACTAAGGATTAAAAAAATCTTCCCAAGGTAAGAGCAAGAAGTTATTTCTCTCTCAATTTCTACTTGAGTGTTTCAACAGAGATATGACAGCAGACCCTAGGACAAAATTGGCAAGTGATCTGAATTCTTGGCGTAGTCCACTTTAGTCCAAATTTTACAAGGTGTCCTGCCACAAATTTAAAGGTCTGGTTTTTTTAAAAAAAACCTGAGACAGAGCAAACCAATGGCTCTTTTTCAAAGTTAGCAGTCTCCTGGCCTTAAGGTGAAAAAATGTAACTTGGCAACAACCCATGTTCTCCTGGACCTATCCCTAATGAAACTACCTTTGGCTGTATATACACCAGACCTTTAAAGCACATTCAAAATACATTTCGTCTCTCAAAGAACCCTGGGAACTGTAGTTTGTTAGTAGTTTGTAGTTTGGGAATTGTAGGTCTGTGGGGTATGTGTGAACTAAAATTCCCATAATTATTTGAGGGTAGGCTTTGAAAATGTCTTGTGCATCCCCAATCCTTATCCTTTTCTATGCTGTGCTGTGTAATGGATCTGTGCAGCAACCCTAAATCCTATGATGAAACCATCCTCAGATTTATGGGGTTGACACAGTGATCACATTGTCCAATTCCTATATAGACAAAATAGCACACAGAAGGTATAAGCAAGTCTCAGGGAAACCCCAAGTTTTTCAGAAGTACAAAACCCCTTAAAAAAAACAAACCCAAACCTAAGCATGCTCAGTAACCATAAAATATTGACTGACCGTTGGGGGAGGGAGAGGGGGGAAAGACAGGAGAGAAAAAGAAATGGTACTGATGAGAGCAAGCTTGGCTGGCACCTTGAACAGCACTGCAACGTTCTGTTGCCGTTCCCAGTTGTTGCATTAATTTCTACAATGCAGTCAGTTCACACAAGGCAATTATGTTAAGATTGACCACAAGGAACTTTGATTCTCATCCTACACACCTGTTTGCTGGTACAGTGGTTCATAAGGTCAGACTCTTCATTCAAATGTGTAAGGAGGCTCTCCAAGAATAAATTAAATATGTCCCAGAATACACCCAAAGCAAATTACACCTGTGGTCGGGAGGGTAGGGGAAACTGCTATGTATCTATGTATCCCCAGTGTTAAAATGTTCTAAATGAGATGAATTTACAAACAGCTTTTGGTAAATCTCTGAACCAAGCCCTTTAAAGGCCAGAACATGCCTTTTACATTAAAAGTAGAGACTTAAGACTATTTCTTACCAGTTGGCTTATCCACTCCAAGGAATCCAGCTTTCCCCAGAGTCTTAAAAACTTGGTGTGCTGGAAACTGTCCCTCTTCTTCCCATTTGTCCACAAATGGGTTGATTTCTTTGTCAATAATCTGTATTTTGAGAAGTGGGGGGAGAGGGAGAGACAAGAGTTCGGAAAGTTAAGCTTGTGCTATTTGGCCTGGCTGAGTCCAATTAGCTTCAGTGGGCCTAAATAGGCTTAACACCAGATGCTACGGTTTAAATGAGATTGTGGCAGGGTTTGTGTGTCAGGCTTCTCATCTTAAATTGAAGCAAAGCACTTTGTTAACACCTAAGGACAGCTGACTTTTCCAGTTCTTGGGAGATTTCCCTCATCTTAATCACGTTTTCAATTCAAATCAACAGCATCCTGTAGTCGGTGCTGGCTGGTGCCCACTGGGACTGGTAGGGCGGAAGGCAGGGAGCCCCACAGTAGATGGCGCCACAGCCAACTTTTTCTAAGTTTGCCCCTCCTCCTCCCCACTGAGTTCTACAAGGGCAATGTGGAGACTAAGCAGGGGAAAGCTGATAGACCCCATTTGCCCTAATGGACTAGCCTCCATGTGTTGGCTGGGGCTGATGGGAGTTGTAGTCCAAAGCATCTGGAGGGCAACAGATGGGTGAAGGTTGCTTGAGGAACTGACAAATGTCAGCTCTTTCCCCACTTCCAACTAAATTCCCTTTGGGGAACCACAGAAATTCACACACTCCTTTGTGAATCCTTTCTGCCCTGCAGGTGTATTGAAGCTGCTTGGAAGTAAACAGAAAAATGGAGGCAGATATACATATGAGATAAGAATTATTTTCCTCATGAATCTTGAAAGGTTCTGGAAACCAAGCCTTATGAGGAATGGTTGAGGGAGTTGGGTATGTTTAGCTGGTAAAGAAGAGACTGAAATAGGATAGCCGTCTTCAAATATCTAAAGGGCTGTCATACGGAGAATGGAGCAAGCTTATTTTTTTTCCTGCTCCAGAGGCTAGGACCCAAATCAATGGATTCAAGTTACAAGAAAGGAGATTCTGACTAAACATCAAGAACTTTCTGGCAGTTAAGAGCTGCTCAACAGTGGCTCAGACTCCCACAAGAGGTGGTGGACTCTCCTTCCTTCGAGGTTTTTAAGCAGAGGTTGAATGATCTAGTTGAGATCATGTATGGTCCAGATGAGATTCCTGCATTGCAAGGGGTTGGATTGGATGACCCTCGGGGTCCCTTCCAACTCCACCATTCTATGGTTCTATTAACATGAGAAGGAAAACATTTTTTTTGTCAGAAAAAAGAACAATTTATTACAAACAGCTAAAACTATCACAGAGGTATGCAAGTCAGCATTCAGGTTACATATTCAGATGACGCACCATAGTTTGCAGGAAATGAGTTACTGACTCATGTGCAGTAGAGTATACTTTGTCAGTGAACTTTGAAATCATTTCCCCTGTTTCTGAGGCTAGGTGTCATTGCTTATATAGCCAACACTGTAACATCTTCACACATGGAAAAGGTGTCAGCAAACTTGTGAAACCCCTCATCAGCCAAATGAACACTGGGCTGAGTGGTCACAGACTGCAGATTGACAGGGCCAGAGAGACAGAAAACTAGAAAGTGAGACAAGAATGGCATGGCTGAAATTCTGAACACTCCACACTGCAACATTTTGTTGTAGGTTCCACTTGCAAAATTGAATCCCATTTATTTTATATATATATATAATTATAATAAAGGACACACCATTGTAACACTCTTTAACAGGTTTCTTGAAATCTGCTTATAGCAGCAACTCAATTTTCGGTAAGAAGATTGAACAAGCCTAATTGCTGACCAGCACCTTTATTTATATCCTGCCTTTACTCCATAGAGCTAAAGATGACATTTGTAGTTCTACCACCACATCTCATTTTATCCTCACAACAATCAGTTCATATACCCTCAGGATTTTCTTCCTCTGACATCTAATAGATAGAAATGTTAGTCTTTTTATAAGAAAGCTACTGCTTTTCTGTTCAGTTTTGTCGTGAAAACTGGCTATATGCTGAAGCAAGGCGGAGAGATGAATGGAAAATCATTATCACAAAATAAGTGTGTTTGCTGTTTTTAATCTTTTTCCCCTCACCAGGAAAATAAGCAAATCTCATGGTGCAAAAATAGGCAACCATTTAATCTGGAAGTAAACACATCTACTTTCTAAACTGTCACGTGTTGACAAATCTATGTAGAGCTTCTCTGGAGATGTTCAGAAGAATATAGTGTTTTCATGTCAATACACCCTATACCACTCCTTTAACATGACATTCTTGAAATGGATTAAACAGGGTTATTAATGATTGTCATCTGTGCCAAGTGTTTGCCTTGTAATCAGCACAAACAAAAAGAGTCCTGGGCTTCCTTTCCCAGTGATGGTATCAACTCCTTGCAGGCTTCCACCATGGATATATATAAATATACACATTCCAGACAGTCAGATTGTTATTTTATGTGTGCACGCGTACTGAACTGCAGGTTAACAGTAGCTGGAGTTTAGTAAGACTCGCTGGCGGCTGGTGCCTGTTGGACTGGTAGGGTGGGAGGCAGGGAGACGAACAGTAGGTGGCGCCAGAGAAAGTAACAGGCAAATCCAACTAATTCTGGTTTTGTCCCTCCCCTCCCTATTGAGTTCTACAAGGGACAACACTGAGCCTATGGAGGAAGCTGACAGTCAGGGCCATCCCTTGAACTAGTTGTAAGGAAGGGCACAGGCTGGTGGTCAGACAGTGCCCTGTTCATCCTAAAGAACCTGCCTCCACAATCAGTGATCAGCTACATGGAACACAGTACAAATAAAAGTTGCTTTCTACATACGTCTGTATCTGGGACTATGGGGGGAGGGGTTGCATTCACCCTGCCAAGGGGCTACACACCTGCAGTAGGTATGGCCACAAACATTTTTGCACACACTGCCCCCCTCAACTGATCCATGCAAATCAAATGAGGAACAGTATTATTGCTCCTTCCTGCTCATTAAATGAACGATCTGGTGACTGGGGAGAAGCAACTCACATTCCCGTCAGAGTGCTGTGGCTATTTTTTATTTTTATTTTTATTTTGCTGCCACCATTGCCAAAATCAGTGGGGTCTTTTTGGTTTATGAGCTAGCCTCTGGCTGGGTATTACTAACCTCAGCTGTAAGGTGTCAACTGGTTGTCGCTTAGGCCAACTCCATGTTTACTACTGTCCCATCTAGTTCCGCCTAGAATGAGTCATGGTACAAAACCATTTTTTAATATGGTAAAAATTACCATTAGATCACCTTTGGCACCTCATTTTTCATGTTGGGAAAAATAGGTCTGTGAAAAGTTCCTTCTGGGGCAAAAGTGGAAGATTCCATACTGGAAAACTAAGAGAAAAACAAAAACAAGAACCACAGAATTGGAGACTGGTGACTACACCATGGATGAGTATCTTGAATCTCCATATTATATGAAAACATAGACCCCATCAGCAGCTGTCCCACAGCATTCTGCAACAGTCATGGCCTCTAAATGGTCCCCAAGAGCAAACAAATACAGAGTAGAAGTTCTAAATCTGGGATGAAATACAAACTACTGCAACTTGATAACATCATCTTGCCATAAAGCACTGTAGATTCTAATACGGCCATACCTTGGAAGTTGAACAGCCTAGTTCTCAAACATTTTGGCTCCCGATCAAAACCCAGAAGTGACTGTTCTTTTGGAAGCTGAACATCTGGCGGGGCTTCCATGGCTTCTGATTGGCTACAGGAGCTTCCTGCAGCCAATCAGAAGCTGTGATTTGGTTTTTGAACATTTTGGAAATGTTCGGATTCCATTCAACTTCCAAGGTACAACTGTACTAGGATAGCTGGATCACAAACTTTGGCTTATGCTCCATGAAGGCAAAAGATGCTCCACCCTCTTTCATCTCAAGATATACTCTACAAACCTGGAGCATTAACCAATACTGAAGAGAAAGTAACAAACCCACCTTAATAAAATTCTGTGCTCATTCACATGCGTGCACAAGAAAGTGTGGTTGTTCATGATTAGTTATTTGCCACAATACAGAATTATACACAATTCCTATTGCAAAGCTGGTGCTCTCAATCTGTGGGGGAAAACCATGCCTACTAGATCGGCTTCCTTTAGTTGTAGAAGGAACAAGACATGGATATGCATGGTTTTTATATTTCATTTCTGTCCAACGTTTCAAATAACAATTAAGATAAAATAGTAAAGACAGCTGAATACCAATTGCCCTACATCTCTATTACAAGTTACTTAAAAGGTTAAGGTAAAGGACCCCTGACAGTTAAGTCTAGTCGCGGACGACTCTGGGGTTGCGGCGCTCATCTCGCTTTACTGGCCGAGGGAGCTGGCGTTTGTCTGCAGACAGTTTTTCCGGGTCATGTGGCCAGCATGACTAAGCCGCTTCTGGCAAACCAGAGCAGCACACGGAAACACCATTTACCTTCCTGCCAGAGCAATACGTATTTATTTACTTGCACTTTGACGTGCTTTCGAACTGCTAGGTTGGCAGGAGTTACTTAGTGGGCCTTAATGAAATCTTCCCTTGATCATAAGCCAAGCATGGGGTCATCTGTGCAAGACTTTAAAATCATCTGAGAAAGATTTTAAAATACAGAGTCTGGTGACCTTAGTAATTGATTAAAGGTCAGTTTTTAGGTTGCAATGGAAATTAAAAGCAACAACTTTTTTTACAAGTCTCTTGTCCAAAATTAGGTACTACTAACTGTAGACAGAATTTATTTTCAAGAGTGGTTTAACAATCAATCCTCTTTCCCATAAATCTCTAGGAATTGTATGTCTGTGAGAGGAACAGAAATCGCTCAACAACTCTCAGCACCCTTAAAAAGCCACATTTCCCAGAATTCTTCGAGGGAAACTGTGACTGTTAAAGTAGAATAAGAGTGCTTTAGCTCTAAGATGCAGATGTAGCCTAATTAATTAATCCCTTAAGTATTATCCATAACTGTGATATCCACTTTAGCTCCTGTATATATTAATACGACCAGTATGGTGCTTAATTACATTTTGGGACCTAATAAATAGAGCACATTTGAGTTATTATATTAACAGTGCCTATAATGCCAGCGGGAGACAGTAAGGGAAAGACTTCCTCATAGCCTCATGACAAAATAATTCATGAAGACTGCTCTTTAATTAATGAGGAGAAAGATAGTAGGAGCAAAGAATGAGCAAAGAGCCAGACATAGTTCTTTAATGATAACAGGGCAATTTTAAAAGCTAATATTAAGACTGCGAGACGATGGCTATTTTTGCTACTTATACCAATAATCAAGACGATAATCACTTTAAAAGGATCTTTTAAAAGTAATTTCTTGAACTGACTTCACAATACAGCATGTTTTCATTTATTATAAAATCTGGGAATAATTCTAATAGAAGACACTAAAAACTGCTTACAGTACCATCCCTATTCACGTTCAGAACAATGGAAACCAAACCCCTTAAGCTTCCCTTGCCAACCAACAGTATAATCCTACATATATTTACATGGAAGTAAGTCCCATTAACTTCAACAGGGCTTACTTCCAGGTTAAGTGGGCATAGGATTTCCACCTAAATATGCAGGTGCTGCATATTAGATCCTGAAGCTGAGGCTCCAATACTTTGGCCACCTCATGAGAAGAGAAGACTCCCTGGAAAAGACCCTGATGTTGGGAAAGATGGAGGGAACAAGGAGAAGGGGATGACAGAGGACGAGATGGTTGGACAGTGTTCTCGAAGCTACAAACATGAGTCTGACCAAACTGCGGGAGGCAGTGGAAGACAGGAGTGCCTGGCGTGCTCTGGTCCATGGGGTCACGAAGAGTCGGAAATGACTAAACGACTAAACAAACAAAAATACCTCACTGTTGCCCATCATACACATAAATTAGAGGGAATCACCTGCAACTGCAGTCCTAATCCTAATTTATTAAATGGAAAAAGCAACAGGGCTGTTGAGCCATTGTGTTTAGTCCCTTCAAAAACACAGCATTTCCATACTATATAGAGAATGAGTACTCTGTTGTAAATCTGACCCAGAGAGTGCCTTGGATAGCCACAAATGTCTGCAGATTTCCCCTGCCATAAAACCTCTCCACTTTTTGGGAATTGCTCTGAGGTCTTAGGTTTTCTCTCATAACTTTTACTCTTCAGGACAGGTTCCTTGGGCTTTTCCCCATAAAACTATTTATTTATATTAAAAGTTATATGCTGCTTTCCATTTGTATGATCCTTCGAAAGAGCTAGCAAAATGTAAAAACAATATATAATGAAACACAATCAGATAATCATCATGATGCAGCTGAATAATCTGTTGAAGTACTACAGCAAGCCAGGAATAGAAGATAGTACAGTCTTGATTGCAAGACAGTACATCTATAATGTGGGCACGTAAGAAAAGCCAGTGTGGAGTAGTGGTTAGAGTGCTGGACTAGCACCTGGGAGAACAGGGTTCAAATCCCCACTCAGCCATGAAGCCCACTAGGTGACCTTGGGCCAAATCACTGTCTCTTTGCCAAACCTACCTCAAAGGGTTGTTGCAAGGATAAAGTGAAGAGAGGGAGAAGTTTGTATGCCACTTTGAGCTCTTACAAGGAAAGGCAGGGTATAAATGTGGTGTCTTTTTAAGCCTCCCAGGCCAGAGGGTTCCATCCCCTCTGTCCCACATCCACCACCCATCAAAAAGGCCCTTTCTCATGCCACAGTCAATTGTTCACAGGCTTGTGAGCCTGCTATCATCAAACATGTCACAGCAATTCCTTCAAATATCACAAATACCACAATGTGATTGGGTCTAAGAAGGATGTAAAATGTACTTGCATGTTTTGTGCCTTTGTTGTGCTGACAGATTGAGGTGACGGGAAGGGGGGAAACGCGGCGACATCATTCCTTCCCCAGCCATTTTTAGCTCAGTCCCATCTATGTGAATCATGTCACACATTTATGGAATCACCAGAAACAAAGTGAACTAAAGCAACTCCTACCATGTCCAGTCTTGCTTTATCTCCTTCTAGGGGAAGCTCAAATACTGGATTCCTTTGCTTAACCAGAATACATGCTCTAATTGGACACACCAGTGTTTTAAACGTCACTGACCTTCTCAAAGATTAATATTGTTGACTGTGGCTTTTCAAAAATAACAATGCTAGCATATCATCTCCCCTTTCTTCTTCTTCTTCTTCTTCTTCTTCTTCTTCTTCTTCTTCTTCTTTTGGAATCTAAAATACTTTTTGATTCTTTCATTTAGCAGAGAAGCACAATCAAAACAAGATTGCAGAGCACCTCTCTGAGTTTGCAAGGGCAGGGAAGATAAGACAAGAGGACAATGATTTCAGCCAATAGTAGTAATAAACATCCCTTGTGTTTCACTAATGTCCACAGGAAGGTTCTAAGAGGCAAGCCAAAAAAAGTATTTATTGTGGTTGAAGTATTATTGAAGCAGAAAGGCTTATTCAGAGTTCAAACATGTGTTCTGTGACCTGCCTCTGGCACAATTAAGAGTTTCTTTCCCTCCACAGAGAGGCTGAAGTATTGTAGTTTAGTCAGAAAAGGGTACAGTGGCCTGTTTCACATATCATAGTAAGCCAAACCATGGCTCACTGGGACTACGCAGGTTCCCAGATAGAAGTTCAAAGCTGCTCTGCTCCTACCTGGTCTGTTTTCTTCTTTTTTTTAACTTCTGCATTGCACTGAGCTAAGCCAAGGTTTGGCTCAGTAAGCTCCCTAACCACAAGCCATAGCCAAGGTTTCTGGAGCATGCCAACACCTCCCTCTTGCACCTCAATAGCTGCAGAGTCTGAGATCTGCTGCCCTAGATAGCCTGAGAAATCTCTAATCTTGCATGCTTGCTGAAAGGCTTGCAAGAAGTGAAGGAAGCTAAATGATTACCCTGGCTCGTGCACTGGTCAAAAGTACAGTATACCTGAGGAAAGACAACATGAAACATGAACTATTCCTGTAAACCTAGTTTTTCCACTCGGTGAAAGAGACCAAGATTCCATCATATTGTTGGGATACTGCCAGGGAGACAAAGTCCATCATGGCCCCCAAGCCGCCTCCGGACATCCATTGATCTCCCGTAGTCACGCAGTATCTGCAATTAGTGACACGAGCTCCAGAAATAGCCTGCCACATTCCAGAACTGGTGCACGCTCTATCAGCAGATAATGCACAGCGAAAGATGCACGCAGGAGAGCATTATTTACAAGTTTATTCCGCGTTGATCAGAACAAAGAAAAACATGACTGCCTGCTTCAGTGTCTCTGATACAGAGAGAGAAACGAAAGCAATAGAAAACATAAACTTCCTGTGAACAGGAAATACGCAGACTCTATGACTCACAAAGCCTGCTCCCTTTTAAGGTGGAACGGAAATATCCTAACATCTTCCCCCTTTCTGTGTAACCTGTAGTACCTGTGGTTCAACCCAATTGCAACCTTTGTACATAAACCTTAAGTTGTTCTCTGCTAACAACCTTAGACAACAGATCAGCAGGAATTTCATTTCCTGGCATGTAGGACACCTGAATGAGTCCTTTCTGAATACACTCTCTTGCACGATGCAGCTTAATCTGCAAGTACTTGGTTCTTTGCTTGCAACTCTCAGAGTTCAGCAAAGCCAAACAGGATCTATTGTCTTGATACACTTGCATAGGACATTTCACAGAAACTCTGATGTCCTTAAACAGTTGCATCAACCATTCACAATCCATGAGTGAAAATGACAGCATTGAGTTCTGCTTCACAGGAACTTAGGCTCACTGTCGTCTGCTTCTTGCACAGCCAGTCAAACAGACAGTGGTTGTACATGTAGCATACTCCAGAAGTGCTTGTACCATCCGTGGTGTCACTTCCAAAACTTGCATCTGCAAAGATTTCAAGACCTCCAGTCTTCTGACTGGTGAACCTCAGCCTGTAGTGCAAAGTCCCTTTCAAATAGAGGGCTATGCGCTTCAGAGCTTTCCAATCCTGAACAGTAGGATTATTAGCATGTCTGCTAAGCAGGTTAGTGCTTACAGCTATGTCAGGTCTTGAGCATCTAGCAATGAAATTCAGCTTGCCTAGAATGCATCTGTATAGGGTAGTGTCAGAAAACGCTTCAGCAGTACTATCTACCTGGTAACCTGTCACCATCGGTCTGTCTGCTGGGTTTGCATCAACCAAATTCAACCTGGTTAATACATCAGCAATTTTCTGTGTTTGGTGTACCAGAAAATTACCTGCTTGGTCCCTCTCCACCTGCAGAGAAAGATAGTTGGATACCTCACCAAGATCCTGCATGTCAAAGTGCTCCTTCAGCTGAGCTAGGGTGCTTTGGTACAAAGCCTGATTCTTCCAAAACATCAGAAGATCATCAACAAAACATAAACAATACAGTTTGTTTTGCCCCTCCTCCTTGACAAACACACAAGGATCAGCTTTGCCCTGGTGAAAACCTAGAGAAAGCAATGTCTCAGTGAGTTTCGTGTTCCAATACCTGGCACTCTGCTTGAGACCATATAAGGATTTCCGAAGTTTACAGACCATTCCCTTCTGTATCTGCATTCCATCAGGTGGAAGCATAAACAGCTCCTCCCCCAAAACCCTGTACAAAAAAGCTGTATTAATGTCATGATGGGAAACATGCAGTTTCTCCTCTGCAGCTATCTTGAGCATCAGCCGAATGCTCTCATACTTGACGGTGGGTGAGTAGGTCTCGTGGTAATCCTGTCCTGGTACCTGTGAAAAACCTCTGGCAACCAATCTGGCTTTGTGTCTGACAACCTTGCCATTCTGGTCTGTCATTACTGAGTTAAAATACTATTAAATACTATTCCCCAACCTTTTGGAAGTATTAGGAAACAAAAAAATTAGTAACTGCAAATGCTTGACATATTAGTTAATACTATTTAATGAAATAATGTAAAGTTCTTGTAGATTTTAATGAAACCAACTCCCAAAGCACGCCCTGGGCTCAGTAATCAGTTTCTCCTTTGAGCCATAACTATTATCCCAATTGTTTCTAATCCCATCTACAAATTATGCCAGTACTAGAGCAGCTACTCAGAATGCTGGCAGTAGGAACATATTTCACATTGCATTTTCAGTTACCCCAGCTACTGACCCTTTGTCTTATAGTTCTGGACCCTGCACCAGAGCCTGGCTGCTTTCACGCCTAGGTCCACAGTTTGCTTGGTTTTTAAAGGGTATCTGCGTGGCACTGTGAACAAAGCATCGCTACCTCATGTTATCCCTGTTCAGCTTCAGTACTTTCTTTTTCTTTTTCAGAACAAAGCCCAACTTAAAAACTCAATAAAACACCCGTGCAATTTCCCTAGGCGTAGATAGCCTGTTATGCTACTATCCTGCACTATGGAGATTGTTCTAGCCAATGTGGGGACCTCCAGAAGTTGCTGGACTACAATTCCCATCATCCCTGGATCTTGACCATGTTGGCTGGGCCTGATGGAAGCTAAGAGCAGAGGCTGCCAGGACAGGGGAAAAGCCCCACTGCTTTCACAGCACCAAATGGGAGTCTGCAGCCGGTGACAGTAAAACCACATCTGCACCATAGAAAGCACCATGATCAGTCATGTAGCCCCCCCAAGGAATCCTGGAAAATGTAGTCTGTTAATGGAGCATTATAGGAGTCCCCTGATCCGATCCCAGAACTACAACACCCAGGGTTCCCAAGGAAGAGAGAATGACTGTTAAACCACTCTGAAAATTGTAGCTCTCTGAGAACAGGGGGTCGCCTAAGAACTCTCGGGACCCTTCACAAACTACATCTCCCAGAATTCTTTGGGCGGGTTGGGGAAGCCGTGACTGGTTTAAAGCGGTACCGTGTTGTTTTCAATGCGTGGTCTGGATGCCGCCTTGAACTCAAAAGGCACCGCGGCTGCGGATTCCAGCGCCCAATTCACTGCACACAAAAAACTACACGAAGAGGCGAGGCGGGCGGTGAGGCCGAGGCGCCCCGGCCCGCAATACCTTTCTCAGAGACTCCCTCAAGGCGAAATGCTCCTGCGTGTATATTAGGTGGTCTCCGGAGGGGGACCCGGCCACGGCGGCAGCGCTGCTGCTCCGGCTGCGAGGAGAGCTTCCTTGCGCCCCGCGCCAAAGGAGCAGCGACGTGGCTGCCTCTTTGCGCCTTAGTGCAAAAGCCCAGCGCAAAGCCATGTTCGGCAGGGCAGCTAAAGAGCCTGCGCGGGCCCTGCGGCGGAGAAGGACGGAACGAAGCTGGGCCGCCTCTCGAAACGCCCCTCCGACCTTTGCCTCGGCTGCCGCGAACGCGCTTTCCGTCGCTTGGGAAAAGGCTTCGCAGGCAGTCCCTGAGGAGGAGCCGCGTCAGCTCCAGTGACCGTCGTCGCACTCTTAAGGTGGAGCCTTCCCTTTGCAGGTCCCTGCGAATAAACAACAGCAGCGAAAGCTGCAAACAATACAATTTACTTATTCACAAGCTCTTGAGTCGCTTAGCAGACTCAAGCAGCATCTCTGAAGCAGAAAAGCCTATTTTCCTTGTCTGGTAATGCAGGCATTGGGGGTGGGGGGGGAGTGATATTGGGTTGTTGTTTTATTTTGATTATAGATTTTGTGGTTTTATATTTTGATTTTGTTTTGTGAACCGCCCTGGGACCTCCACGTATTGGGCGGTATATTAATTCAATTAATAATAATAATAATAATAATAATAACGCCAACATGAACTACCAATGGTGTGTCTCAGCAGCTTCTTATGTGACCTGGAGTCATCTTGGAAGAGGTAGTCCCTCCTGTGTAAGAAAGGGAACAGGGAGAGAATCCCTATGTTGTGCTTGCTAGCTGCCGTTTTTTATAAGCACGTACATTAAGATTGTCAGTAAGTATATCAAGTTTGTATAAGTCTATTAAAAGTACATATTTTCTTTAGAAATCTCCAATTCCAAACTTTTACATCTTTAGGCTGCAATTCCTTACTTACCTGGGAGGTTGCTCCATTGAATTCAATGGGGCTTATTGGGAAGTATGGTGGCTCAGTGGCAGAGAACCTACTTTGCAAGCGGAAGGTCCCACATTCACTCCCTACTGGCCAGGAAAGTCTCCCTGTCTGAAATCCTGGAGCAGGGGTCCCCAAACTAAGGTCCACGGGCCAGATAAGGCCCGAGGGACTCGTTTATCCGGCCCGTGGTAAGCCCCACCACCCGCTGCTGCTGCCCGCTCTTACCGGGGCTGCCCATTTCTGGGTCGGAGGAGCACCAAAAATAGCTTGTGCGCATGCGCAAGCGTTATTTGTGCATGCACAAGCATTATTTCCAGTGCACATCTGGGTCGGAGGAGGCCCGTGCACATGTGCACAAGCTATTTCCGATGCTCCTCCAACCTGGAAGTGCACTGGAAATAGCGTGTGCACTCATGTATGGGCATGCGCCCTCCAGCCCGCTGCACAATCAGCCCTGGAGACACCAGCCCGAGGCGTGGTAAGTTTGCTGACGCCTGACCTAGAGCCGCTGCCTGTCTGTGTAGACAGTACTGAGCTAGATGCACTGGTAATCTGGTTCAATATAACAGTTTCCTATGATCCTGTAGGACTTTGCCGTTAATCCGTTTAATTTCTGGTTAATTTTAAAATTAACTAAATTTTCAATCGTGGTCTGGGGAGAATTGAGTCTGCATGTGGTTAGGCAGTGCATAACCAAGGAAAATGCAGCCTTCCGGATGGAAAAAACTTCCACATACCTCATTGAACGTATTAATTAACAGTGCAAGCCTTCTGTTTTACTCAGAAGTAAAGCCTACTCAAGTTCAATAAAAGCCCCACTGCCTTAAATGGCTCCAGTAGCAGTTGGTGGGGTGGCACAGGGAGGACAGGGTTGCTGACCTGCCTTCCCAACACAGTATCACGGCTGGCTTCTGAAAGGGAGAGGCACAAGGTGCAGGGAGCGAGGTGACTGGAGATCATGGAAGTTGTGGTTCAAAAAGATATGGGTTCCCAAGGTTGAAGAATGCTGCCCTAAGCTGAGGTTTGAGTGTTTGGGGTCCTGGTAAGAGCCTTCTCCACTGTGGCACCTACTGTGTCAGGGGTGGAGGAGTTTTGGTCCTCCAGGTGCTGTGGAACTTCATCTCTCATGGGACATAGAATTACAATGCCACATGAGCGAAATGATCAAACATCCAGCAATAAGGGACCATGGGAGAGGTTTCTCTCCAGCTAACTATCTGTCAAGTCTTCAGGTACCCAAATACAGACGGTCTTTTACCCTCGCCAGATTCAACGTTCTCCCTTCTGCCTTACTTCAGGGCAGATTTGAGGGTAAACCATACACAGCACGGGTCTGCCCTTGTGGCTCGTTGGAAGTTGAAACTGCTTCACATGTACTATTACGTTGTCGTCTTTATGAGGATATACGTTTGACTTTTATTACACCTGTTTTGCAAAAGTCCAGGAAAGAATCGGAACACCATAGTTTAAAATTACTGTTAGAGGACAAGAATCCCAAGACTACATTAAATGTAGCCAAATTCTGTGCGTCTGCAATTAATCGCAGGAAGCAAGTGGTATCTCATAATGACCAAACCCCCAAATGTTAATTATAGGGGGCACGCTAATAATTAACTTTAATTTTTTATATTTAAATCCTTGTTATATTCATATTGTCCTCTGTATTTCTGATTTTTTTTATTTATTTTTTTGATCTGTGATATTGTGTGTGTTGACGCTGGTCTGTGACCATATTAATAAATTCATTCATTCATTCATCTCTCTTCAACTGCAGCCAGCATGGCCAATCTTCGAGGCTGATAGTTGTAGGGAAGGTCCATGGTTCAGTGGTTGAGCAGCTACCTTGTAAGCAGAAGCTCCCAGGTTCAATCCCTGGCATCTCCCAGGTAGGATTGGAAGAGACTCCTGCTTGAAATCCTGGAGAGTTTCTGTCAGTCAATGAATACAATACTGAGTTAGATGGACCAGTGGTCTGTTTTCATATGAGGCAGCTTCCTCTGTCCCACAACACAGAGAGGGCCAAAGGCTCCCCAGCCCTGCACTATGTAGAATGAACTCCTAGTGGAGATCAGGCAGTCAGTAATGGTGTGATATTTCCTACCCTGGCATTTCCTAACTCTTCAGAACAGTTTTTGCTGGTTTGATTACTGTGGTTATTGCAGCCATGCTATTGTATAGTTTGTTTACCTGATTTCAATTGCTTTTTGTTGGTTTGGTTTTAATCGGATTTTGGATCGCCTGTTGTGAACTGCTTTAATATTTTTTTTTCTAAACAAAAAGCAGTAGATAAGGGTTTTTTAATAAACGAATAAAGCCGATTTAATCTGAAGTACATTGTTTGCAGCAGTCCAGGGTCGTGGAGGCTTGAAGACCTGCGACAGTTTCTACAGCTTGGGCCCTGACTCCTGTGTCCTAGAGCTACTCTCTTAGTATAGAAGGCAAGCTTTTTAGCCACTGAGAAAAGGCCTTCTCACCCTTTGTGCTGATTGGAGCTAATCAGAGTGAATGGTGGTCAGTCAGCCATTGAGGATTGGCTTCTAGGGTCACTTTAGAGAAAGCGCATGGGAAGAACGTTGAGGAGTTGCTGTTCTGTAGCTCCAAAGCTTAAGCGTTTAGGAACACTGAAACCAGGTGCCTCAATTTCAAGGCAGTGGTGTGCAGGTTCTGTTATATACAATGGAACTTCACGGGAAATGCAACTTAAGTCACTCTGAAAGAAGATATTGGAGCAATCCGAATCATTTGCCCACGTATGTGCATAGAAAATTGGATCTAGTTGAAAGCAACATGTGGAGATCTGCACTAATTATAGCAATGCATCCCTTATTATTATTATTATTATTATTATTATTAGGTAAATATAATCTTAGAATGTTCTTGTTTTATTATTACTGTTTATTAAATTTCTATACTGCCCTTCATCTGAAGTTCATTCACAAGGAGGGCAGTTTACAATATAAAAACATTAAAAGGTTGTACAGTGGTACCTCGGGTTAAGTACTTAATTCGTTCCGGAGGTCCGTTCTTAACCTGAAACTGTTCTTAACCTGAAGCACCACTTTAGCTAATGGGGCCTCCTGCTGCCGCTGCGCCACCAGAACACGATTTCTGTTCTCATCCTGAAGCAAAGTTCTTAACCTGAAGCACTATTTCTGGGTTAGCAGAGTCTGTAACCTGAAGCGTATGTAACCTGAAGTGTATGTAACCTGAGGTACCACTGTATAATCTTAGAAGGGTGGGAGTGAGGGGGGGCGCATGGCTGTGACTACCATGAGGAGCCCCTGCACTTCTGAATTTGCCACCACACTACTGCAGCTGACCAAAAAACTAAAACCCTCGCATAATCATTGTACTTCACCAGATGTAAATGAACCCCTATTTTTATTATAACAGTGCTATCATGGTTTTCTCACGGTTACAGTTCTATTTTCTGCAGAGAAAAAAAGAAGCCTTTCACCATGCATCTTAGCATTCTCTTTACCAAAATAACACTGTAGTTGATTGTTCAAATAGATTTCTTTTATTACTCAAATCAGCATGTGCAGGAAATTAAAAGAACAGGAAGCAGCCTCTAGAACTTATTTAGGGATACAGTAAGCAAGAATCTGCTTCATGGAATAAAAATATAAGCAGGCATTTTCTGTTTTCTTTAAAAAATAAAAAAAAAGATTATCACTGTCTATTTGTTCAGTAAGGACTCCTGGAACTTAAATCTGGCTAGTTATGCTAGGATGCTTTTTATTCCACTTTCAATATTGCTTAACCATCTTCGTCTAAGCAATAACACATCCTCCTTTTTCTTTGAAAGGGTTCCTGTCTTCAGGAATGCCTTTAACCAGAGGGTCTTCTCCAGATCTTTCTTCAATGTAATTTTTAATTTCTTCAGAACATTTGGAAACCTTCAAAAAGAGAGAGCGAAAGAAATCTAAATACAGGGGTCGTTTTGGAAGGCAAGAAAATAGTTTCACAGTGATACACAAACACTACACATATGAATTAATGATAAACACCAGAAATAAAATTTGCAAGTTGCTATGTATAAATATTTTTTCCTGCAACTTGTGTTATTTAACAAAATTTGTATAACTGTAAGTGAAACCTCTAGGCAGTTTACAAAGAACATGACATACACATTAAATCTGTTTTTTTAAAAAAAGCAAGTGTATAAAGATGCAAAATGAATATAACAGCAGTTTAAAGTGTACATTATGATATTGCATATGAAAATATACATTGCATGTGAAAACGTGTTGAGTAGTAGGAATACAGGCAACTCCTGGTTTAGGTGTGTCCAAATAACGTGCGTGGCGCCAAACCGAGAAGTAGCTCCAAAACGCCACAAAAAGGGGCGGAGCAGACGTATGTGCACTCTGACAACGCATATAGGGTCTGGGATGGAACCCCCACACAAAATGAGGATTGCCTGTATTCTGTACCATCAATTTGTTTTATATTTGCTATGTTAAAAAAACAACAACCTCACACCCGCCTGGAGAGGAAGGGCAGGATGTGAATTCAGTATATTATAAATAAAAATAAGAAAATAACATCCTCTGGGAGGGCACAGGTTCCCCATCCCTCATCCACTGGGCTATGGCTGGATATTAGTGAAAAATAACAGTACCTCCTACCCTGCCACTGGATGAACTTTATGAAAACATAGTTTCTTGCAGTTCTCTTGAGTATCTCCACTTCTCTACAAGATTTGCCAGGAGAGGCAAATCTGTCCAGATTTCTGGAAATAATCAGGGAAACACTTCATGCCCAATTTGTTCCCCCCCCCCCTCTAGTCATCTGGCCATTTCTTCCTTACTATATTGCATACCTCAGCTCCCTGAAGTCTTGCACTAAAGCAGTAAAAAGCCCCAAATTTAGCCCTCTGCTTGCCTACCCCATAATTAGCCTCTTCACGCTTCTCCCCTTTCCTTGTAATTGCAGCTTCCACTCTAATTCAGGCTGTGTCATCAGTTCTGCAGCTGATGTCAATAGGCATTCCCTCGTGTGTCAGTGATTCCCAAATTGTGGTTGTTTTTGGGAAGAGGGGGCCGGGCCAGGCAGAAGCAGCCCAAGACATTTTGTTCCCGATAGACAGAAAATCCAGATAGTCCTATACTCCTTTCACAGTTGTACATATGATAGATTAAATCAGAAATGGGGGGGAACAGAAATAAAGGCAGAAGTACTAAGAAGTTCTGATCTAGACTTAAGAAAAGTGCTCATGAAACTTCATCAGCATTTTAGGGTCAGTTTCTAATATACACATATTTCTAGGCAATCTGCACGTTTTTACAGAGTGCTTTTCCTTAGTATAGTAGATTTTTGTACATCATTTTCACTCGTATGTGCATTTATATGCACACTTTACCTCAGTGCATGCATTTTTGCATACGTTACTTGGCTGAATAATTAGAATTGTAGAGTTGAAAGGGACCCCAAGGGTTATCTAGCCCAACCCCCGGCAATGCATGATAGGACAGGTTCTCGACTAACTTTCTACCTCACATGCTAGCCCCCTGTGTGTAGTCTGGAGAGACGGCCCTATCATTAGGCGAAGTGAGGAAGCTATCTCAGGTGAGAGATGCATTGCAAAATTCAGCAAACTGCACCTTTCGAAGGATGGTTTGTTCCAGTTCTCTTACTGTTTTGTAAAGTGTGGATTAGGTAGGGGTCACCTGCACATGTGAACTGTATTGAATTTCTCCCCTCCCCCCCAAGACCTGCTGTTAGTTAATCACATTGTTAATCACTTGGTTCGATCACACGCCCTTGCCTGGCAATAATTGCTGGGGATCCCTGGCATATCCTGGTGGGGCCAACTAGTCTGAAACCCTGGGTAGCTTCTGCCAGTCATATAAAATCATGGAATTATAGAGCTGGAAGGCTCATCTAATCCAAACCCCTGCAATGCAGAAATATCAGATCTAAATCATCCATTGGTCTGACTCTGTATAAGGCAGCTTCCCATGCTCATATGGATTTCACATGTGTACCTTTTGAGTGCAATCTGGCCAGGGTAATCTTTCCCCACAATGGAATACAATTCTGATCTTTTATCCCTACCTGTGCCCCTTATGTATCGGGGAGAGATGGTTGTGTTTTGTTTTGTTTTGATTTTACCCGAGTCTAGAAAAATCAATCAATCCCTTCCTCCCTTTCACACACCCCTCCCTTCAGTTTGGGCCTCCTTTCGAGGCCCCTTTAATGATCCTAGGCAGTCAAATTGCCAAACTGCTTTGTAACCAGCAAGCTGCAGACATGCACGCAAGGCCTCTTCCAAACAAACAGGCTTTGATCCGCCTGCCACTGAAAACAGGAGCTGTTCCAACCAACAGCTAGGCTCCCCAGATATAATAAAGAAAGAAACCACGCAGCACTCACCGGCTGCCGTTCCAGCTTGACTTCTTTCCGGAGCTGTTCCACTTCCATTTTCAGTTTATCCTTCTCGCTCAGATCCTCTATATTGATTGCTGGCATCGCTGGCTTAAAGCAGGGAGAGAGGCAGAGGGAGAAAGAGAGTTAAATGAGGTTGAGAGGTGAAGCTGAGTGCATAAGACGCCCTCGCCACCCTGGTGGTGCCATCGGGGTTGGACTTTAGGGCAGAGGTCCATGGCCCCACTCACCAAAATGAGCAGGAGGGCCCCGAAACACAGCAGGAATGAGTGAACTAAAAAGCAGGGGCACAAGATCATTAAGTCCGGCGTCTAAAGTTACCTAATTATGTCACTGCCCTCTCCTTTTCTCCCCAGAAAATCCTTACCTCCTCTTTGTGAGTTTGTCCCGGTTTCTCTGTAGCAGCGGCGGCAACTTCCTGTTCAGCCAACTTTCTTGCCAGGCTCTTTGAGCTCCTAGTAACTACTTTCAGGATTTTAATTCATCAGCAGAATCCGTCCTAATCTGATTAAACTGCACAGTTTGACCTCTCTCTGTGGCTCTCTCTCTCTCTCTAGTTTTCACTGCTTCAAACCAAAAAGAAGCATTACACATACATGGAAAACCATCCTTCGCTTCTCTGTCTCCAGGCCACCCCCAAATTTCCCTAACATTTCCCTAACATCACACAAGGCATGGGGGGGGGGACCCCAGCTCTCTCGCTACCTAGAAAGACTCTTGGGCCCCAGGAGAGGGGAAGAATGGAGGTCAGGGAATTTCACAGAGAAATCCCCTTGGATAATTTTTTTATATGGGATTATTAACACACCTGGAGGCTGTAAGCTCTCAAGTGTGCATGAAGAGAGACTGCGGAGCTGGGGGGGGGCGGAGAGGAGGATGGGAGGAGGGAAACTCTGAGAGACAGGATGTGTGCTTCGGCTTTCTCCACAATGGAAAACGCCAGCCATGCTGAGCGCTCCAGAGGAAACAGGTTTGCTAAGGAAATGTCTGGCCCTTTCTGCCTGCCTGAAACAATAGGGTGGCTTGGAAAGCAGCATGGGAAAATAGAAAAGTCTAACCTATAGAGGGGGGAAACACTATTAGAGTTGTCCTTCTCCCCACCCCAAGGGAAGCAGGGGAACACCCTAGCAACAGCTTGTTTATTTACATACCGGTATATTAGGCTGCAAACCTATTTTGGCTGTGCATGCCTATATGCAGTGGGGTGTAATTACTTCTGGGCATTCTTTATTTCATTCCCTTCTTGTGAGGCATCTTGAAGCAATTGACTATAAGAATATCAACAAGCTGGGTTTGATGGGAGCTGGAGTCCATTAACCTTTGGAGCGCCACAAGCTCCGCTCCCCGGGCCTAAAGTCTCTCTCTTTTTTTTAATGACTTATTTTCTGCTGTTCATATATATTATGGTGACCACCAGCACTAGCATTGTGGATTAATCTGTTTCAAAAGGTCACAAACTTCTTTTGAAGTACCGTGGTACCTCGGGTTACATACGCTTCAGGTTACATACGCTTCAGGTTACAGACTCCACTAACCCAGAAATAGTGCTTCAAGAATTTTGCTTCAGGATGAGAACAGAAATCGTGCTCCGGCGGTGCAGCGGCAGCGGGAGGCCCCATTTGCTAAAGTGGTGCTTCAGGTTAAGAACAGTTTCAGGTTAAGAACAGACCTCCGGAACAAATTAAGTACTTAACCTGAGGTACCACTGTACAGTATTGATATTGTTGTGATTCTGGTAGTCAGCAAAAGAGGTTCAAAGACTCTCAAGGCAAATCTAAAAAAAAGTGGTACAAACACTGACAACTTGGGCAACACTGGCCTGTGAACGCTCCAGTTGGAGAACAGCCTTTACCAAAGGGAGAAACGTGCTAGAGGAAGGCACGCTTGGCAAACCCTCACCGTGATCAACTCCCACCCAGAAACATGTTCCCACTGTGGAAGGACGTGTAGATCCAGAATTGGCCTCCACAGTCACTTACGGACTCACTGTTAAAACTGTGTTCATGGAGGACAATCTTACTCAACTATGAGTGATCACCAAAGAGAAGATAGCACAGTAAGTGCTATTCACTCATAGTGCCCATTTTATATGAACCTGTGAAGTTGGACTACTGGCCCATCTAGCCCAGTATAATTCGCTTTCCAAAGTCTCAGCCCTGTTAACTTCAGATGCTCGAGGGGAAAGTTGAGGTCTTCTGTATAGGAAACATGTGGTACTTAACTCCCGAGAAATTATTTAGAGTGTATAAAAATGTTCTGAATACCTGTTGGAAATCTAAAGAAAATGAAGGGATATTTTATCATTCATGGCAGACATGTAAAAAAGTCCCCCAAAAGAGGATAAGAATACATACACTGATATGGAGAATTTTGAAGATTAACTTTCAACTGAAACCAGAACTCTTCCTGCGTGGACTTACGGATATACAATTAGAAAAGGTCGATGGAACTTTGTTTCAATATATGATTACAGTGGCGAGACTATTACATACACAAAGATGGAAAGATTCATCATTACCAGCAATGGAAGAATGGTTGTTAAAATTAATGGACTTAGCTGAGATGGCAAAATGCACATGTTTAAGTTGTTAACATTTACCAAAATTGGAAACCTCTCATAGACATTTTGCGTGAGAAAGAAACTGAAATAATGGCACTTGGATTTGGGGATTGAAGATTGAAGTTTGTTTATAGAAAGTGGTTTGGTTGGGTGTTATATTGGAGTGGATGAAGTGAATGTTGTTTATATATAGCAGACAGATGAAGAATTGGAAGTTTTTTAGTTTTTGAACTTTATTTTTTCTATTTTCTCTTTTAAGCTTTTTGTTGTATCTACTTATCTTTTGTTTCTTTTTTGCTGTTTTTCTCTTACTTCGACTAATGTTGGATAAAAAAGATATTTGATGTTAAGTTTTGTATTTTTCTCTATAAACTCTAATACAATTTATATTAAAAATGGAAACGTGTTGCAGCTTAGCTGTTTTCTCAAAAACCAGTAAACACACACACACATACACAAAATAAAAAGAGGGTAGTATCACATGCTTGGGGATACATCAACATTTGCAGAATTATGGGGTGGATTAAACTAAGGAGTCCCCCCCCCCATTTTTTTTATTTTTGCATTTTGAGTGGTAAAGCACATAAATATGCACATAGAGCCAGTGTGGTGTAGTGGTTCAGAGCGGTGGACTCGTAATCTGGTGAACTGGGTTCGCTTCCCCGCTCCTCCACATGCAGCTGCTGGGTGACCTTGGGCTAGTCGCACTTCTCGGAAGTCTCTCAGCCCCACTCACCTCACAGCGTGTTTGTTGTGGGGGAGGAGGGGAAAGGAGAATGTGAGCTGCTTTGAGACTCCTTCGGGTAGTGATAAAGCAGGATATCAAATCCCAACTCTTCTACTCTTCTTCTTCTAGTTTACAGTGTAGTTTCACTATGCTGTATAACTCCTGTAGCAATACCCAAACGGACCTATCAGGTTAGCTCTAAATTTTACAAATGCCTCAAAATAGTACTGATCTTCAGTAAATATCTGAAAAAGAAAATGCTATAAGAGAGCAGTGGAATGTTGTTGTTATATATGGAATCTTCAATCTTTATTTGCTTGTCCATTTTTATTCATTGTTTTACAAGAAATTGTAATGTTTGGAATATAATATTTTTCCAGTGTATATCTATGGATCCTTAAGAGCTTTTGTCCTGATTGGGTGTCTTTTGAATACCTCTGTAATAGTATACAACAAATCATAAGAAAATATTCTAGGCAGCCACAGTGCCTTCTAATCTATTAAATGGTGCAGTTCTAAATTGTATACCATAACTGCCGAAGGGGATTTGAACTTGGAAGAATAATGGGAGCTCCATAAGTTCTGCTAAGCCAGGCATAGGCAAACGCGTCCCTCCAGATGTTTTGGGACTACAACTCCCATCATCCCTAGTTAACAGGACCAGTGGTCAGGGATGATGGGAGTTGTAGTCCCAAAACATCTGGAGGGCCGAGTTTGCCTATGCCTTTGCTAAGTTTTCAAAGGGATAATGAAATGTACGTATGTACCACTCCTTTGAGCGGCAAACTCAGGTGGCAAGTGCTGAACCAAAATAGGACCAATGAGAAGTGTGCTTTGGACTGCTACTATTTTGGGGTGCGATTCCATCACATAGCAGCAAATTCAGGTTGCACCATTATAGTTGATTGTGAGCTCTTGCACAACAAACCTGCCTCTCTCTGAAAAGATTGGGCTTTTAATGATAAGGAAAGCAAATTGGAAAACATACCGGAAAGTGTGGGAGAACAGTTACAGTGGTACCTCGCAAGACAAATGCCTCGCAAGACGAAAAACTCGCAAGACGAAAGAGTTTTTCGTTTTTTGAGTTGCTTTGCAAGATGAATTTCCCTATGGGCTTGCTTTGCAAGACGAAAACGTCTTGCAAGTTTGTTTCCTTTTTCTTAAAACCGTTAATACCGTTAAAACCGTGCTTCGCAAGAGGAAAAATTCGCAAGACGAAAAAACTCGCAGAACGAATTAATTTCATCTTGCGAGGCACCACTGTACTTTGACACGGTATCTCCCTGTAAACAAATCAGGATGAATACTCCATAAACAGGTCATCTGGAAGCACCTTAAGAGTGGTTAGAGTCAACACTCCATATTTATTTCTTAATATTGAAGGTGAAGATGACATAAACAACTTTTGTCACAGTTACAGTTTTTTTATTTTCTTTTGATTGTACATCTTTTTACACCTTTATTATCAAAAACAAACATATATATTAAAAAAGAGGGTGGTATCATCATGCTTGGGGAAACAACACATTGGTAGAATCAGTGCTCTTTTTCCTTTAAAAAATGTACTCTCATTTTGACTCAAGAAAATCACCATTTTATAGTTCAAATCGGGGAAAATAAATACAGTAAATGGACAAAAGTACAAAGATTCACAAAATGTTTTGGGGTATGCGTACCCCCAGAAAAAAAGCACTGGGTAGAATTATGGGGTTGGTTAAACCATGGAGATCCCCCTTCCTCTCCCCACAAAAAACCAGCCCAATGAGGACTGACCATACTTAGTAGCTACAGATTTTGAAGTATTGTGTGGGAGGAGGTGAGAGATTCCTGCTCAAGCCCCTTAAGTATCCTGCATGACAGCATGGCTGGCTGGCTGGCAGCCTAAGAAGGAGCATACTGCAACACATTGTTGCAGTCCCATTTGTACATACATAAAGACAAACGTAGGAACCATGCTGCATACGAACAAAGTTCCAGCATGTCCTGTTTCCCAAAATGACCAAGTAGAAACTCCAAAAAGCCCACAAGCAGAATATAAAGGAATATCCTTCCCATATGGGCTATTATTAAAATGAGGCTGCATTTTAAATTATATTTCAACCTGTATTTTAAATTGGTTTATTTTTTATTGTAATTTTACTGGTGTTAGCTGCCCTGAGCCCAGCTCTGGCTGGGGAGGGTGGGGTATAAAAAAAAAATGATGATGATGATGATAATGATGATTTTCCACAGTAACCATTATTAATAAATTCCAGCTAAGTTAACTCAATCTAAAATGACTTGCTAAGGAGATTTGGGTTTTCCACACACGTCCTAGATTCCTTCACCCCCTAGGAAGACCTTACTCTGCAATGGGGGTAAAGAGATATACTTTCTTGCTTCTATTATAATAAGTTTCCTAGCATTACTAGGCACAGGTGCTTGGCAACAGTTTTTTAAAACCTCACTCTTTGCCTGTAGAGCCACAATATAAAACTAACCAACAAAGCAGGGAAGTGAAACAAGCAGTAATGGATCAAATGGATTCTGGATCAAAGCCACAAAACATAGAGGGCAAAATTGGGATGTAATGGGGGGGATTAGAAGCAAAGTAATGAGAAGCCTGAAGACTCTGTTTATAAAAATACAGAGCAGAGAACCTTTCCTAACCTGGTGCCCTCCAGATGTTGAGCGACTGTGACTCCCACCTTCCCTGATTGTTGGCCAAGCTGGCTAGGGTTGATGGGAGTTGTAGTCCAAAACATGTGGAAGGCACCAGGTCATGCAAAGCTGTTGTACGACAATGAAGAGAAAGACAGAAGGGGTGATCTTAAGGCAAGATGAGCAATCGTGAACATTGAAGAAGAAAATGAGATCTTGAAAACATGTAATTGTCAGCATAACCAAGGAAGGACTTAAATCAAGGTCTTGGTGAAAAGGATAGATAGAATGGGGCAGAGATTCCTCATATAAAAGATCTGTCCTCACTAGCTTGGAAGATGAGTATAATCTCCTGCTCCCTGGTTCTAACTTCGACCACCACCAGATCTTGGGGAAATTAATGTCAGCAACTCAGACGTACTTTATCGCCCTTTACTGCATCCTGCCACCTGGTCCCCCCCCCCCATGCTGGAATTAGGCCCTTGGGGCTATTAAACAATTTATAATTAAGGCTTGTCGGTGTCTCATTCCATTTTTGTCCATATTTCTCCCTCCATGCTATTATTATCGATGCCTGGCATATTAATTCAGTTGAAGTTGAGGAGCAGTGGGTGGGGAATAGTAGTTGTTTCCTTTCATAGAATACAGCAATGCCCGTTTTAAATTCTTCTTGGAAAGCTAACAATAACCAATTCCAGATTTTCTGGAAGAGCGGAAGGCACTATCATTTGGGCCACCTGAATGCTCCATCTAGCTTCCATTGCCTGTCTTAAGAAATTGGCCAGAATTGGATACTGTACTGGAAATGCGCCATAAAAAGATGCTGATTAATCTCCCCCACGTTGCTCACTTTCCGCCTTTTTTGCACTCGGAGGATTAAGCACCTCTGAAAACACAGCTGCATCTCTCAGGGTGTTCTGCTATATGCTGATGAGTAGTAAGTAAAAGAGCATAAGAAGGAACATACTTCAGGGACAGAGAATGTGCTTTGAAATGGTTCCACATTCAATTCCTGGCATTTCCTATAGGGATTCTGCCCCATATCCAACATATGCAGTGCTGCTTCCGTTCCACTGCAGTTCAGGTTCCTCAAAACCAACATCAATCAGCTTGCTGTTCAGATTTAATAACATAATTGATTACAATACAGTGGTACCTCGGGTTACATATGCTTCAGGTTACAGACTCCGCTAACCCAGAAATATTACATCAGGTTAAGAACTTTGCTTCAGGATGAGAACAGAAATCATGCTCCAGCAGCGCAGCAGCAGCAGCAGCAGCAACAGGCCCCATTAGCTAAAGTGGTGCTTCAGGTTAAGAACAGTTTCAGGTTAAGAACGGACCTTAACCCGAGGTACCACTGTATTGTTATGATTCCACACTGTTCATTTCAATGGGTGGGGTGGGGTAATCCTATCAATAGTATATTGTTTGCATACTGAAAAAAATAACAAAAGCAAATTACAGACTGGGGGGAGGGGAATGACGATTGTGAATACCAGTTGCATGTTTTTATCTTTTTGCCTGATTTCCAGTGCTGCTTGCAGGCAGGCACACAAACTGATGCCGTTTCCAGTACCATATCTCATTTCAGCTGAATTCTCCAACATCCCTGTTAATTTGAGTAGGCAGTACTGGGTTAGATCAAATAGTTTGTTTCCTATTCCTAATATATATATAAGCATTTCCTCTGGTCTCAGTAAAGCTCTTAATTTTTGCATGATGTCTGAACAGCCACATGACATAAAATAATAATAATAATAATAATAATAATAATAATAATAATTTTTTGTACCCCGCCTATCTGGCTGGGTTTCCCCAGCCACTCTGGGTGGCTTCCAACAAAGATTAAAAATACATTAAAATGTCACACATTAAAAACTTCCCTGAACAGTAAAAGCCACTTCCAGAAATATTGTGGAATATCATGTGAGGTTAGTGCTCATTTTTGTGTTATTTGGAAATGGGTTTTTCTCTGGAAGCAAATAACACGGAAGTGAGCAGTAGAGTCAATCCTTGGCATCTCCAGTTAAAAATATGTGGGGCACAATGTCTGAAACGCTGGAGACATGCTATGCCTATCACCATCTTCAGTTAGGAGGTCCAACTAGGCAGTGCTGTGAAAGACCTCCCTCAGCTTGAGAACCTACCAACACGATTAGGCAATGCAGTGCAATGGTCACAGCAGGGGTGGGAAACCTCAGGCCAAATGTGCCCCTTCAGGCCTCTTTCCCTTACTAATGCTCTGTGAACCCTTGATTGCTTTTGTTAGGCTAGAATGTGTGGTGCTTCTTGCTTGGATGGAGAGAAGTTCAGGGCAGATGCCTCTGCCTTTTCCTGTGGCTGGAACGAAACCTATTGTACGAATGCCACCCACAAGTTGAAAACAGTTCCTCATCCCTCGACAGGGTGATGGACTAAGCCCAGAGAGACTAGAGTTCAAATCCCTACTCAGTCATGAATTTCACTGGGTGACCTTGGGCCAGTCATGATCTCTCAGCCTTATCTACCCTGCAGAGTTCTTGTGAGGAGAATACGGAGAACGGCGAGGAAGAAGCTTTTGGAGGAAAAGGGAAATAGTATATATATATATATATATATATATATATATATATATATGTAGGTAAAGGAGACCCCTGACCATTAAGTCCAGTCGTGGCCGATTCTGGGGTTGCGGCGCTCATCTCGCTTTATTGGCTGAGGGAGCTGGCGTACAGCTTCTGGGTCATGTTGCCAGCATGACTAAGCCGCTTCTGGCAAACCAGAGCAGCACATGGAAATGCCGTTTACCTTCCTGCCGGAGCGGTACCTATTTATCTACTTGCACTTTGACGTGCTTTTGAACTGCTAGGTTGGCAGGAGCTGGGACAGAGCAACGGGAGCTCACCCCGTCGCGGGGATTCGAACCGCCGACCTTCTGATCGGCAAGTCCTAGGCTCTGTGGTTTAACCCACAGCGCCACCCGCGTCCCATTTTATAAATATAAAAATATGTAAATATAACAACTGGGCTATACGAATAAATAATCTAACCAGGTAGAAGGCTACTTCCTGTGGAAAGCTCGGATAGCGTCCGATAAGCGCATAGACAAAACTACTGCAACCTGCCAGTGTGGCACAAGCTCCCTAAGCTTTGCTTTCTAACTTCAGAAGTGAGCTGTAGTGGGGCAGAACATCTTGGTGCCGACTGAGTCCTCAACAGACGCCTGGGGACCCTTTCGTTTCTGGCTGGTGTTGTTCCGTGCATTCAACTCGGGGTTTACTCCAATATTTGCTCCTTCCATCTTCCTCGCACCTTTTCGCCACTGTCGGGGTGGCGAGCAGCAAGGCTCCAGGCCCGCCCCAGCCGTCCCGGATACGCGTCGGGATGGGCCAGCGACCACCTCGTGGAGCTGCTTCTTCGGAAGATGCGCAATGACGCGCGGGGCGCACTGGCCACGCAAGGGACCGCTCCTTCGATCCGCCCGCCCCCTCGCGGTTTTACATCGCTTTCCAGAAACGGATGAATCACCCCCGCCGAGCCCTCCCTCGTCTGGGAAGCACGCCCGCAGGCTTTGGGCCAAGAGGCGGCGGCGGAGAAGCCGGCATCGTTTATAAAGGGGCCACTGTGACCAACGTTTCCATCGGTCGTAGACCAGCCAAACGCGCGCAGCGACTTGCAGCGATGGATCTGACTTCTGGAAACTCGCGGGCCTTTCTTCTGGTCGTCTCCTTGGTGGTACTTCTGGAGCAGGTCTGGCCCCAGTCGACGACGGGAGGTAATCGGGGCTCTTTTTGGAGCGGGTTCATGTTATCAGCTGTTTTCTTCTTGCGAGTTGTTTTTGCTCTTCCCAGGGATGGCGACCGATGGTCTCTTTCCAAAATCCTCGCTTCGCCCCTCATGCTGCACCTGCCTCCGTCTGCCAAAACCCTTTTTATTTTTTTGCTTTTCCTTGCCTAGCTGGTAGCCAGAATATTATGAGTGCTGGTGTTTTTATTCTTTCTTGGCAAAGTTTTTCTTTCAAAACTTCATTGTACAATGTTTACAAAACAGAGAGAACAATTATAACAACAGGTGAAAATTAAAAGACCAAAGAAGGAAACTCTAGAATAGGAACGTAGAAAGAGTATGTTTGCCCAGGGGTTAAAATAACAAAAGTCCAAGTAAAGACTATCAGTGCTGTCAGGTAATAGTGATGGCGTCATTGAGTGTTTGCGGGTGTGTTTGGCGCTTACTAAAGCGCTTGTGCCTGTAATGCAGAGATTATATTCCCTTTAAATATGATAAATTAAAGAAGGATCTTGCGTCGTCCGGAAATGTGAGATATGTTGATTAAGCAATTCCCCCAAAATGTCAGGATTCAGAAATACAAGATCTGCAGCGAAATGCCATTTTCCAAGCAATTTAGAACTGTGACCAACTGCTGTTTGGAGACTTTTTTTTAAAAAAAAAAAATCCGTTTCACAAGTTTTAGATACTGTGTCATTGTAATAAAACCTTAAAGCAGTTCATGAAAAGAATAAAATAATGCAGCCATCAGAAAAAAGTATTTAAAACATCCAAAAATAATAATTAAAATAAATGCTAAGCTAAAAATCAAATTCGAAAACATGCCAACATTCTACATGTCTGGAGAATGGGCCTTCTCTGCAGTGGCTCCCCATCTGTGGAATGCTCTCCCCAGGGAAGTTTGCCTGGCGCCTTCATTATACAGTTTAGGCGTCAGGCAAAAACGTTCCTTTTCAACCAGGCCTTTGGTTGATCTGTTTGGCATCCTATACCCCCTTAAAATGTGGCTCTTTTCGGGGGGTGTTTGGGTTGCTGTTTTCATTCTGATTATATATGTTGTGATTTTTTTCTGTAAACCGCCCTGAGACCTCCAGGTATAGGGCAGTATATAAACTATGATAATAATAATAATAATAATAATAATAATAATAATAATAATAATTTATTTCAAACAATTTATACACCGCTTGATAGTTAAAAACAACCCTCAAAGCAGTTTACAAAGTAGGCTTGGCTAAAGAAAAATGTTTTTAGCATGTGCGGAAAAGTGCCTGCCTGGTGTCCCTAGGCAGGGAGTTCCAAAGTGTGAGTGCTGCCACACTAAAATATTTCTTACAAATGTGGAATGAGTATTATGTGACACCAGTCACAGATCAAAGTAATTTAGCGGGCATATGAAGGGAGGGGGCGGTAATGGGATCTCGCAAGTAAACTGCCCCAATCTGTTAAGGCCTTTACATACTCAGAGTAACATCTTGATCCTGGCCTGGTAGCAGATTGGCAACCAGTACAGCTCTCTGAGAACATGTATTATAAGATGACAGGGTATAAACTCCTGTCGGCAATCCTGCCACAGCATTCTCAACCCAGATTGATGTCACCTAAAATAATTTCAGCTGCCCCACCACAGTCCTCTCCACTGCCCTCCACAAGAAGGGGGTATGCCTCTGAAACAGGGACGCGGGTGGCCCTGTGGTCTAAACCACTGAGCCTCTTCCGATCGGAAGATGCACAGTTCGAATCTCCGCAACAGAGTCAGCTCCCGTTGCTCTGTCCCAGCACCTTCCAACCTAGCAGTACAAAACCACACCAGTGCAAGTAGATAAACAGGTACCACTGCAGTGGGAAGGTAAACAGTGTTTCCACGCGCTCTGGTTTCCATCACGGTGTTCTGTTGTGCCAGAAGTGGTATAGTCATGCTGGCCACATGACCCGGAAAGCTGTCTGTGGGCAAACGCCGGCTCCCTCAGCCTGAAAGCGAGATGAGCACTGCAACCCCATAGTCGCCTTTGACTGGACTTAACCGCCCAGGTTACCTTTTTTTATGCCTCTGAAGGCCAGTCATGGGAATCGCAGGTGGGGAGAGGGCTCTTGAACTCAGGTCCTGCTTTCAGGCTGGACTACTTGGGCTTTGGCCTCGTGCAGGAGAGGTCTTCTTACATTTCACTAAGACAAACTTTCAACACATGAATTTCTTACCTGCCTCCCTACTCTCTTCTCTTCATGTTTCTGGGATTTGTACCTAAAGCATTTCTCTTTCCCCCACCCCCCTTCCGTTTTCATGCAGACAACAGAGAGATCTGTCTCCAGCCACCACTTAAAGGACCCTGCCGGGGTTTGTATGTCAGGTGGTACTACGACAGAGCCACCCAAACCTGCCAGGAGTTTAGTTTCGGGGGCTGCGTGGGAAACGACAACAACTTTTTGAGTTTTGAAGAGTGTTCAAAGACGTGCGGGAGAATCAAGAGTAAGTTGTGGCTCTAAAATTTCAAATCCAGGAGTGAACTGCAGAATCGGTTTGATAAAAGCAAAGGTTTGGCTTAGATTGTTGTTTTCAACCAGTTGGTTGCTCTTTTGTTTTTAGAGGTGCCTAAAATATGCCGACTGAAATCTGACGAAGGAATCTGTAGAGGTTTAATGCAAAAATATTATTTCAGCCTTGAGACGATGAGCTGTGAAAAATTTTATTATGGAGGCTGTTTAGGAAACCAGAACCGATTTGACGATAAAGACTCCTGCATGAACTTCTGTCTGCCGAAAAGAAGTAATTTATTATTTTTAATTAATAGCTTGTTTGGGTGGGGGAGGGTGAAATGTTCTGTTGTGTCTCATGGGACTGGTGCTCGCCAACCATTTCTGATTAATTAATTTTGAATTATTACAAGTTTGTATTGAATTGCATCAGTCATTTACAGCATTGTTCGTTTTTGCTTTACCAACGCACTATTGTGGTGTCTGTGTTTTTTCCCTAATTGATTGCACGGATGGAAATGTTTGCTCATTTTTAATGCTTTGTAGTTATGAGCCGCTTTGAGCTCAATATTTTTGCTGGGAAAGCAGTGTACAAATATTAAATCAAAGATCAGAAACTCGGCCCACTTTCTGATTGGGAACTGTTGGTTTGTATGCCTACCACTGCAGTCTACACTTCAAAAAACAAAAAGAAGTAGTGTTAATTAACTCTGTCTCTCTCTTTCTTTTTCTAAAGATGCCCCCTCCTTTTGCTTTAACCCCAAAGATGTGGGAATTTGTTCAGGTTCAGTTCCTCGCTTTTATTACAACATAGACACAGGAGATTGTGAAGAATTCACCTATACAGGATGTGGAGGAAATATTAACAACTTCCTCACTCGGAAATCATGTCTCAAGGCCTGCAAGAAAGGTAGGATGCTGTCTCCTTGCTGAGATCGAGAGTTACAGGGACGTTTGCAGCCTTATAGCCAGATTGTGAAGGTTCACAAATAAGCCCTGCTCTAGTAATTCTGGAGTGATTAAAGAGAACAACATTAAGCAACACAAACAGCTGATGCTCTCCAAGAGCAAACAGGGAGGCTTTTCGTTATATTGGGGTGAGAAAACTGTGTCCGTCCAAATGTCGCTGGAGTACATATCTCTCATCGTTCCTGACCATGTGACGTGGTGGCTGAGGCTGATGGGAGTTGGAGTCCAAGAACAACTGGAGAGGCACAGGTTTCCCACATTAAACCACCTTCCATAAGTGCATAATGCAGTAGCCACAGGTGGATTGTAGTCCTCCCGTATTTTCAGCTCACTCCCTTGGCCAAAGGTTGTGAGGATGTAGAAGGAGGTGAGAGGGACCAGAAGGGGGCAATAGTTGCCGGATGAAGGCTAGGCATGGGTAATGGACTGTACCCTCCAGTCGTTTGTGCTGCTCTGAAGGAGAGCAAAGGTGGGATGCGTCCCAGGTTGTGGCAAAAGCAGCTTGTGAGAAAGCATCCTCTGCCAAGGAATTTCAGACAAGGAGCTCTTCCCTTTCCTTGGCGGACTATCTTCTACCCATCACGGTCAAGGGCCTGTTTGCTTTTGTGAGGAGGTAGTACCTGCAGGCATTAAGGTGAGTACAGGCCCTGCTTGCCACAAGGAGGGTTGTGCTGGCTTCGGTCCTGCTGAGACGGGGGCTGTCTTTTGTCCCTGCTTTAATGCCCAAAACACACATAGTGGAAACTTCAATTACCAGGTGGTTGGGAATTAGCAGACCTAGAAAGTTGCATCCCTTTTTCTTCTCTTTTGTCTTTATTCACATGTGAATAAAGTGATTTAAGTTACCTCCAATTATATTTCGGTTTCTATTTTCTTAGTAGGGAGAAAGAAACCACCTGCTACGAGATCAAAATAAGGATGAGGAGTCTACAGCCAACATTCAAATCCAACGAATGCCACAAACATTCTTAAATCTGGAGAGGTCTCCAAACTAGATGCACTGATTTCACTCACTAGAAGCTTTTAACTTATGGGTGGGTTTGGGTTTTGTTCAGTTTTATGTGGCTATGTAACAATTTTACTATATGAACAGTTTTGAAATGTAGAACGGCAAGGTTACTTTGATCTAGTTACAGCTCACTTATGGATTGGGCCCCATGCACATGGCAGTGTGCCCTGTTGCAGGATAAAATCCTGCAGTATTCAGATACTTCGACGCACAAGAGGTGGCTCAACACTCCCTGCTGAACATCAATTCTTCTCTACTGGCTGCTGAATATGATAGACCCTTTCTGATGGTTTCGTTATATGGAACACTAAATTAAGACCTTCTCCTGAACTTTCTTATCCTCACCTTCATAAGGAGGGGTGGCAGATGTGTGGTAGAGGGCTTACCTTGCATGCAGAATGTCTGAGGTTTGGTTCTTGGAATCTCTAGTTAAAACAGTCCGCTGTGCTGATGTTACATGACCTGTCATCATCTGCATGACAGCGGCTGATCAGTCGGGGTGTGGTTGGCACAGTTGAAACACATGGGCAGAACCAATCCAGTGCTTCTGCCAGCGCATTTGCAGAACACCACTCTCAATGCTGCCTTGCTCAAGTTAAGCCAGTGATGCCAGTGGCAGGAGATCAGGCAAGTCTCATTGACCACTATATAGCATTAGATAGTAGGTAATGGGGAGGGCTTTGATCTGAAACCCTGGAGAGCCTCATCCACTCATTGTAGACAATACTGAGCTGGCTGAACAAATATTTTGGCTTGAGATAAGGGAGATTCCTGTGTTTCTAAGTGAATAAGTCTGGCAGAAAGGGTATAACTGATTACAGACGTTGCAGGATAACTGTAGATGCAGATCTTTAGCTCTTAAGGAGTTTCCCCCAAGTTTTATAAAATGTTACTATAAATATATAATTCATACATTTTAAACTTTCCCCTTTGTGTAGTTTATGAAAATGGTTCTGCTGTATTGGAAGAGCTGAACTGTTGTTGAATAGTTGAAGCAAGAACCATGGCCCATAGTTGTTGTTTTTTTAAAAACTGACCTTTGTCAGATATTTCTTGCATTGTTCCCTTAACTAAAGATTAGCCAAACTCGTTTTTCTCTTGAATAAATTGGTATTGCTGATATCAATTTCTTTGCTGTGAACTTTTCAAGAACATCCTTAGGGGGCAGGCTTGCCAGAAACTACCAAGTGACCTGGAAGGGAGGAGAATGTAAATAAGTCAAAACCCAATCTGACATTCTAAAATTTTATCCTGGTTCAAAGCCCTTGTTTGAGGTTAGGAAATATGAACGTGGACTAGTGGTTAAGAGTACTAGACTAGGACTTGGGAGACGGGTTCAATTCACCACTCAATCCATGTCTGGGTGGTTTTTGTACACACAAAGTCTCTCAGCCTAACCTACCTCACAGGATTGTTATGAGGGTATAGAAGGGAGAAGTGTGTTTGCCACCTTGGAGAACAGGTGGGATATAGACACTGTGATAATAAAAATTAAATACATTCGTTCTTGGTAATACACATAATCATAATGCTGCTGATTAAAAAGCTGGCACTGGGAAGAGACCAGCAATGAACTTGATAGTGGGGATTGCTTGTTTTTTAAAGGTGAGTTATAAGCTATGTAAGGTTTCAGGAGTGTGGTGAACTGATGGCTGCATCTCCCATTGTCAACTGGTCCAGTTCTAAAGCTACAGGATTAATTTTCATCATGAGATTATTCCTGCTGGACAGTTAAGAGTGGAGAATGCTAGTCAGATATTGAGGTTATGTCCCTCCTCTTTAAAGTCATCCTCCTGATCTCTTGCACAGAACACATTTTGAGGTGCCTTTATTAATGTGCATTCGGCATGTTTTCTGTTCTGAAGCTGAAGAAGAGTCATCTGCCTTCACTTCATGCTGTCTCGTTTCCCTAAGGATATTTGCACCTCTGTCAAACCTTACTTTGCCTATATGAGAAATGGTAAAATTACATCCTAACATGCTATGTGCAAATGTGACTGACCTTCACTGTAAATTTGTAAAAATAAAGAAAAATAAAATAAGTTGTCATAAGTGTTTGTTTCTCCTACTTGTTACACATCGTTTTAGGTAGATCTAGTTTTCCCCTAGCTAACTTATTTTGCAGTCCATGTATGTACACACTGCATGCACATGCTACAGTTTCATTCCACTTTATCCAGTTAAGATCTAGACTCTGCCTCTGCTCCCAAGCATACTTGTCCCATTAATTTCAAGGAAGAGGACAGATGTCCACATGCAGAATTGCCTCTTCTGCAGCTGAAGGGGTCATGGAGATCCATGCTCAAATCCCTGTTCAGTGACTCCTTGTGGTCTGAAGGCTATCACCTTGCTAAATGTAAGTAGAGCAGAATTTGGTCAGCACCTGGATGGGTGACTATTCAAGAACTGCAGTCACATCCTTTTCAGTTTAATGATTGAAGACATGTATTGGGATATGTATGAAGCAGCCTTAAATGGGTGTCATACCAGAACAATCTAATCTGAAGATGCAACTGATAAAGCCTCTGATCTTTAGAATGCAACACATGTGCTACACCCCATCCCGCATGTATTAAAATTATACAAAAATAAAATACAAATAAAATTAAACATTGCATCTTGTTTCCCCTCAGCAGACCAGCATCCCTTCAGATTTCAGAGAATTAGAGGGTTGTATGCTATGTTAGGCGCACTCAGTGTTAATAATAATAATAATAATAATAATAATATATTTGTACCCCACTCATCTGGCTGGGTTTCCCCAGCCACTCTGGGCGGCTTCCACAGAGACCAAAAATACACAAAAATGTCACACATTAAAAACTTCCCTGAACAGGGCTGCCATGGAAATAAATGGACGTGACTTAGGACTTCTTTTTAATGGGTCTGCTTTGGAACCTTGAAGGCTATCTGGGCCAACCCTGCTTAACAACAACAACACAACAAGAATTTATTATTCATACCCACCCATCTGGCTGGGTTTCCCCAGCCACTCTGGGTGGCTCTCAAGAGCGGAATATTAAAAACACGATAAAACATCAAACATTAGAAACATCAAGCTCTACATCCTAGCAATAAACTGCAACACCCACCCAACATTTTCCAATCAACATTGAAAAACGTGCCTCTAGTCAATATAACCAAAGTACCAATTAACAGGGGCTTTGAAGTATTGAAACAAACCAACATTCCCCCAACTTAATAACTGAGAGTTTACTCTGCGGAGCTGAGTGTGACTTACCCTGCAATAGCCAGGTCAAACTCCTGCAGATTGGACTGGGCCTTGCAGTTGGGTACTTTGATAAGAACAGGGCTAAAATATACAAATACTTCTCCCGATTACCCCCCTCCAGCGCGTATATACCACCACCCTCCAAAATGTCGCCAGCAGTTGGTTTAATGGGCAATTTACCATATATCCTTCAAAGGAAGTCAAGTAATAATGGTCACTTTGTGTTCTAGACAAAGCCATAAACCCGGGAAGCATCAAAAGCCGCGTGGCCACATTATGCGCACTGGGGATTATTTAAAACTCAAAGGCTCGGCGAGTTGTTGATGGATTCGGGGACTTTTTGCTCGAGGGCAGCTCATCCCCTGCGCCGTCGAGGTGGGCAGCCCAGACGCGCCAGGCCTTCGCGGCAACCCCGCTCGCCGTCCCCCCGCCTCCGATGCTGCTCGCGGATGCCCAGGGACTCTGATCCCGGGGATGCCTTTTGCAACGCGCCCCCGGGACGCGCGCCCAGCCGCTGAGCCGCGACGAGGCGGTCGTGGGAAGACGCGCAGTTCCTCCTTAAAGAGGCCCCGGCGGCTCCGTGAGCCCAACGTCTCCGTCGTTCGTAGACCAGCCCGGCCCTCGCAGCCAGTCGCCCGCGGCGGGCGATGGGCCAGGCCGCGGGGAACTCGCGCGCCTTTCTGCGGGCTGCCGCCTTCGTGGTGCTCCTGGGCCGCGTCCGGCTCCAGATCCCGACGGCAGGTAGCGTGGGGGCGCGGGTCTGTTTTGGAGGTGGGGAGCTTCCTTGGCTGCGCTCTTGCAAGACGCTGTAAAACGGATTTCTTCTGACCTTCTCGGTGATCGCGACTCCAGACTCCAGACCCTATTATTATTTGTTGCTTTTCTTAATTAAATTCCTTCCCTCGCAGATCACAGGGCGGTTTGCAATATATATTTTAAAAAACCACAAAAATACGATTCGATAATCTTTATTGTCATTGTCCCATACAGAACAACGAAATTGAAAACTCTACATAAGACATTCAAAAATCAACAAGCCTGCTATCCCAGCTATCCCAACCTGGTTAGCCCCCTAAAAACTCTGATACCCCATTTTTAAATACAATATACTCCCATAGAGACTCTTTACACTGCGTTAAAACCAAAATCACATTTGGGTAGAAACTGTTTCTCAGGCGGCTAGTCCTAGTCTTTATAACCCTGTACCTTCTTCCAGAAGACAGAAGCTGAAAGAGATAATTTCCAGGGTGCGCACTATCCTGCGCTATCTCTGCAGCTTTCTTATGGCACCTGGAATTATAGATTTTTCTCGTATCAACAAAGGAGAACCATAAACTCCGCCCACAGTTTAGAAGGCCATACAAAGATTGCTTCATTAGTCACAGGTCTGCAAGAAGAGGAATGTTTTTGCCCGGTTCATCCCCGCATTGCCTCGCGTGGTGTACCTGCCCCCCCCCCATCCAACTTGCTGGCGACAAAGCGTTTTTATTATGAGAAATAATATGAGCAAAGAAGTTTTTGAGTATTTAGCTTACTAAAGCACTTGTGCCTTCGTTTAAATCCTCCAGGGCTGGGGGGCGATGGGGGGCTCAAAGATTGCACTCGGTACTGAACATCAGTAATAAAAGGAATGATAAAATGCACATTAAACACACACACAGTTCAGATGAAATTTTTTTGTTGTTTAGTTGTTTAATAGACCCTCTTAAAAGCTAATGATTGACTGAAAATAATGGGGCTTGAAGGAATCTTTTGGAGCAGGGTGAAATGGACTGCAGAAGTCTTAAGCAGATCACAACACAGTCCCTTTTGCTTAGCAGCATGGCAGTTCTCTCACTTTGGGGACAACTGTTATTTATACCTAGCCCATGTGGCTGGGTTTCCCTAGCCACTCCGGGCAGCTCCCAAAACATCAAACATTAAAACCTTCCCTAGACAGGGCTGCCTTCAGATGTCTTCTAAAAGAAAGCTGGTTGTTTATTTCCTTGACATCTGATGGGAGGGCGTTCCACAGGGCAGGCGCCACTACCGAGAAGGCCCTCTGCCTGGTTCCCTGTAACCTCACTTCTTGCAGGGAGGGAACTGCCAGAAGGCCCTTGGAGCTGGACCTCAGTGTCCGGGCTGAACGATGGGGGTGGAGACGCTCCTTCAGGTATACAGGACCAAGGCCGTTTAGGGCTTTAAAGGTCAGCACCAACACTTTGAATTGTGATCGGAAACATACTGTTCAATGAAACTGAATGTTGGACGACTCAACAGAAGGAAGTACTTCTTACCACAGTGGATATTTAAACTTTGGCGTTTGCTCCCACAAGTAGTGACGGACACCAACCTGAACGGCCTGAAAGAGAACAAAGTGTACAAATTCACAAAGGATTAGGCATTCAAATGTGACTCGCCACAGAGGCCCTTTTCTGACTCCCCTTTTGGAGGTTGTATGCCTCTGAAGGCCAGCTGCTGGGAATTGCATGTGGGGAGGGTGCTTTTGAGTTCAGGCCATCTGATTGAGCACAGATAACTGGATGTTGGACTGCCTGAGCCTTTGGCCTGATCCAGCCAGGCTCCCCCCCGCCCCGCCCCTTAACTCATTTGGACTTAGAGCATTTCATTTCTTCCATTCCCCTGGTTTTGTTTTCATGCAGACAACAGAGAGCTCTGCCTAGAGGCACCGGTGCCCGGAGTCTGCCCAGGTTCATTTGACAGGTGGTACTACAACCGAGCCTCCCAAGACTGCCAGAGGTTTACTCACGGGGGCTGCTTGGGGAACGAAAACAACTTTTTGAGCTTTGACGCTTGTATAGAAACTTGCGGGAAAATCAAGAGTAAGTCATTGTTCTAAAATTTCAAATCCTGAAGTGAATTGGGGAAGATTTTTAAGAGCAATGGTTTACTTTAGACAGTTTTTTTTTATAAAAAAGAAATCTAAACAGTTGTGGTTTAATTTTCAGAAGTGCCTGTAATGTGCCGAGTGAAACCTCCGCAAGGGACCTGGAGCCCCCTCAAGCCAAAATATTTCTTCAACCTTGAGACAATGAAATGCGAGGAATTTTTCCCTAAAAAACGTTCACGACACCCTAACATGTTTTCCAGTAAAAGATCCTGCACTGACGTCTGCAAGTTGGGGAGAAGTAATTATTTTTTCATACAAGCCATAGGCCTATTGAGCTTGATAGGTGGGGGAGGGATGAAATGTTCTCATGTATTTCCTAAACTTACTCTCCAAGGGACCAGGAGCTCTACAACAGCGGTTCTTGGTGAACCAGGTGATATTGTATCGAATCTAAATAAAACTGTAAACTCTGCCGATTTTTTTTTAAGGTGGGCATTATTGGTTATGAATTCTAAACATCACTATATTCTGCTCTTCAAAACACACACACCCTTAATTAACTCCTTTCTTTCTTTTTTTGAAGGGGGTCCCTCCTTTTGCTCTAGTCCCAAGGATGTGGGACTCTGTTCAGCTTCACTGCATCGCTTTTACTACAATATAGCGAGCAGAACTTGTGTGGCATTCATGTACACGGGATGCGGCGGGAATAATAACAACTTTCTTACAAAGAAAGACTGCATGAACGCCTGCAAGCATGGTAGGCCTCTCTCCTCTTGCTGTGATAGAGATTTACAGGGACTTGAGCAGTGTTTTAGCCAGATTGTGAAGGTTCACAAATAAACCCTGTACTAGTAAGTCTGGGATGATTTAAAAAAAAAAAAGTTTTTAAGTATCACGCAGAGCTAATGCTGTCTTGGTCCCATGAAGTTCATATGGAGGCTTTTCATTATATCAGGGGTGAGGAAACTGTCCGTCTAAATGCTGCTGGACTACATCTCTTATCATTCCTGACCATCTGAGGCTGATGGGAGTTGGGAGTCCAATAAGAAAATGGAAGGACAGATGTTTCCCACCTCTGCATTAAACCACCTTCTGTGAGTGCAGAAGCCGCAGGTAGTACCCATTCAGTTTGCTCCCTTTCCCCAAGTGGTTGTGGGACTGTCAAAGGAAATGAGAGGGACCGGAAGCGGGCAGTAGTTGCCGGAAGAGGGCAAGGCATGGGAAATGGCTGTACGCTCCAGAGTAAACTGTGCTGTTTTGAAGGGACTGCAGTGCAAAGGTGGGAATTGCCCAGACGCAGCAATAAAAGCGGCTTGTGAGAAACCCAGGCATAGCTTCTCTCTGGACCAGCTGCTCAACATAAAACTGGGGCCTCTGGAGAGGCTCCTGCTTCCTCCCAACCAATCAAACAAAAGCAAAGGGCCATAGCCTATTGGTAAAGCACCTATCTTGTACGCAGGGGGCTTCAGGTTCAATACCTGGCGTCTCCAGGTAGGGTTGGGAGAGACCTCGGCCTGAAACCGAAGTCAGTGAAAATGGTGAAAATGTTGGGCTAGATGGACCAGCATTCTCACTCAGCATTAAGACAGTTTCCTGCAATCCCGGAGGGAGCGGTGAGTGGTGTGAGCAGATATGTTTCCACAGGGGTTGAGGAAGAAGAGAGGGGATGAGGGGGAGCCTGCCTAAGCATAAGGAACTCAGTCCTAAAGAACTGGAAGGTAGTTAAATCCTGGCCTGCTTACTAAGCAGAATGACCTGCAAATAAAACATTTTCCATTTACAGTGGCACCTCGGGTTACATACGCTTCAGGTTACATAAACTTCAGGTTACAGACTCTGCTAACTCCGAAATAGTACCTAGAGTTAAGAACTTTGCTTCAGGATGAGACCAGAAATCGTGCTCCGGCAGCAGGAGTCCCATTAGCTAAAGTGGTGCTTCAGATTAAGAAGAGTTTCGGGTTAAGAACGGACCTCTGGAATGAATTAAGTACTTAACCCGAGGTACCACTGTATTTCCATAAGGGCAGGCATACTGAAACGTTCAATATATTATGCACATGTGCGCATTATTTCCTTAAAACATGAAATCCTTGCTTGGAGAGGGGGATAAAATTAGGGGACACAACACAGTGTGAGGCACGCTCTACGCAGTTCCACACAGCCGCTTGGAAAAGCTGGTGTTTTGCAATGTCTTTTTTTTTTTAGGTGACCACCTCCAAAAAGTTTGAAGTGTGCTTACAAAGCATCCTCCACTGCCCCTGCCTCCTTTTCCCCCTGCCCAAGGCCCAGGAATTTTAGGAAAGAGGCACTCCCCTTTCCCTGGCAGTCTGTTTCCCATCTGCACGCACTCTCATGTGTCAAGGCCAGGTAAGTGTCCACTGCTGCCTTCTGCTCCTCCCCAAGGAGAATTCAAGGGCCTTATGAGAAGGTGGCACTTGCAGAGCTTAAGGTGAGCACAGGTCCTGCTTCCTGTGATCTGGGCTGTGCTTGACTCAGTCCTGCTTGTGGGCATTTGAGAGGAGCGCTCACTTTCACCCCTGCTTGAATGCCCACGACACGCATATTAGAAACTGCAATTATCTGGTGCCTTGGGTTTTGCAGACCTGGAACGTTGCATGCTTTTTTCCCTTCTCTCTTTTTCTTCTTCTAGTACAAGTGAATGAAGCGATTAAGTTACCTCCGATTGTGATTCAGTTTCTATTCTTTTCTTAGTTGGAAGAATGTAAGCAACGGTTGCAATATTGGGAAACACCATCTCATAAGGAGGAGAAGTCTACAAATCAAACAAATGCCACATACGTTCTTGCACCTGAAGGTCTCTAGACCAGAAGCATTATTTCAACATTGAGAACTTTAATTTGTGGGTGGATTTTGTTTTTGTTTATATGTAGCAATCTTAACAGCTCTTCTATATGATCAGTTCTGGAAATGTAGTAAGTCATCGTCACTGTTATCTGATCAGCCTTATGGACTGGCCTCCATATTCAAAGCATGGTGATCTGCTGAGGGAGATAACCCTGGTTTGTTGACCTTCATGCAGAGATTCTTGATGTGCAGGAGCAGGCTCAACACTCACTACTGAACAAGGATCTTTCTCTGTCAACTGCTGCATATTATTTGCTTTATTTATTTTTCTTAAAGAAGACTACAAATAAATTGGTATTGTTGCTATCCATTCTTTCACTATGAACTTTTCAATAATTTTATTAATTTTATGAAGGGATTTGCCAGGAACTCCCAAGTGAATTGAAAGGGAATACTTGCGTGATTATTATTATTTATTAAATTTGTATACCACACTTTATCCAAAGATTACAGGACGGTTCACAACATAAAAATACAAAATAAGAACACTGCCTCCTGGGCTTCTTCGGGAGGAAGGGTGGGAAATGTTGTTTGTTTGTGGGAATGTAAAGGAAGGTAGGAGAGAATATATTCTTTTGATATTATCCCTCCTCACTCACGCTAGTGAGCAAACAGCAGAGCACATTCCCTTGCAGCTTATAGTGAAGCAGTTGATGACTCGTTGGAGTCTTTTAATTAAGCAATCCAGTCTGGCTTGTCCAGTCTGGATTGTTCCTGGTAAATGTCCTCTTTATTTCCCTCTTAAAATAACAATGACACAGCACAGTCTTTTTGAAAATAACAATGAAGTTTTACTCACATTCAGTTCACAGCAGTAATCAGAAGGCAGGCTTTATCCTGTGGTTACAGTTACATTTGTAGAGAAAAGAAGTCTGAGCTACGCCTCAGACTTTCTACTTGTGGCTTCCATCTTCTGCAAGGATGAATCATAGAATCATAGAGTTGGAAGAGACCACAAGGGCCATTGAGTCCAACCCCCTGCCAAGCAGGAAACACCATCAGAGCACTCCTGACATATGGTTGTCAAGCCTCTGCTTAAAGACCTCCAAAGAAGGAGACTCCACCACACTCCTTGGCAGCAAATTCCACTGTCGAACAGCTCTTACTGTCAGGAAGTTCTTCCTAATGTTTAGGTGGAATCTTCTTTCTTGTAGTTTGGATCCACTGCTCCGTGTCCGCTTCTCTGGAGCAGCAGAAAACAACCTTTCTCCCTCCTCTATGTGACATCCTTTTATATATTTGAACATGGCTATCATATCACCCCTTAACCTCCTCTTCTCCAGGCTGAACATGCCCAGCTCCCTTAGCCGTTCCTCATAAGGCATCGTTTCCAGGCCTTTGACCATTTTGGTTGCCCTCCTCTGGACACGTTCCAGTTTGTCAGTGTCCTTCTTGAACTGTGGTGCCCAGAACTGGACACAGTACTCCAGGTGAGGTCTGACCAGAGCAGAATACAGTGGCACTATTACTTCCCTTGATCTAGATGCTATACTCCATTGATGCAGCCCAGAATTGCATTGGCTTTTTTAGCTGCCGCGTCACACTGTTGGCTCATGTCAAGTTTGTGGTCAACCAAGACTCCTAGATCGTTTTCACATGTACTGCTCTCAAGCCAGGTGTCACCCATCTTGTATTTGTGCCTCTCATTTTTTTGCCCAAGTGCAATACTTTACATTTCTCCCTGTTAAAATTCATCTTGTTTGTTTTGGCCCAGTTCTCTAATCTGTCAAGGTCGTTTTGAAGTGTGATCCTGTCCTCTGGGGTGTTAGCCACCCCTCCCAGTTTGGTGTCATTTGCAAATTTGATCAGGATGCCCTTGAGTCCATCATCCAAGTCGTTGATAAAGATGTTGAATAAGACCAGGCCCAAGACAGAACCCTGTGGCACCCCACTAGTCACTCTTCTCCAGGATGAAGAGGAACCATTGATGAGCACCCTTTGGGTTCGGTCAGTCAGCCAGTTACAAATCCACTGAGTGGTAGCATAGTCAAGACCGCATTTTACCAGCTTCTTTACAAGAATATCATGGGGCACCTTGTCAAATGCCTTGCTGAAATCAAGGTAGGCTACATCCACTGAGCCAGAAGAGGCAGTCCAAGAGAGAAGTCTGAAAAGAAAAAAAGGGAAGATGGCTGTGTGGCCAGCCCTTTTACAGAGTCAGCTAGGGTCATGCCTATCTACCTGGTCACATACATACAAGAGCAGGGATGACAGGAAGTCCTCCCTGTCTGGAGCCACGTTCTCCTGTGTGTCCGTTCTAGGCAACAGGAAAATGTTGTACTTGACTGCTCTAGCAATACATCCCACATTGTTGCCATATGTCTGTCTTGAGAGAGAAGGGAGTGTGCCTCCAGGAGTGAGGGCAAACCGTTGTGTTTGCAGCACCAAAGTGACCTTTCCAGGGCGCAAGCCTGGGCAATGTATATGGAGGTCCTGGGCTGCCTAGAAAAGACACCCCCCCTCCCAGCCTTGCTGATGTTGTCCAAAGGAAAGCGGAGCAATATATTTGGCACCAGCTTGGCCACATAAGTTGCCAGAAGGAGGTGTACAAGGCGCCATCCAAGGACTCCGCTCCAGATTTGTGTAGGGTTTTCTTCTCCCGAAGACATCCCGCAAGGCAGTGGAGGTTCAGGGTCAAAGTGTTCACTCTCTTGGATGGGCTACCTTCCCAGGTTGATGAGCCCCATCTGCCCCTCACTTCCCTCTGCAGCACTTGCAGAAACCGCCTTCTTGACCATTGAACTCGCTATTAGTCTTGTCTGCTCAATCCTGCAGAGCCTGTCTTCTCATACAAGGGAAGTCCTTAACTCATCAAGGTTTTGAGACCCATCAGCTACTCTCACCCAGGAGGAGTATGAAATGTCCCTCAGCAAAGGTACTAGCCCTCCCCTCACACCCCATACACCCATAGTGGGATATAAATAATAACACTTACCTATTACCTATGGTCCTTCTTGGGGACGCGGGTGGCGCTGTGGGTTAAACCACAGAGCCTAGGACTTGCCGATCAGAAGGTAGGCAGTTCAAATCCCCGTGACAGGGTGAGCTCCCGTTGCTCGGTCCCTGCTCCTGCCAACCTAGCAGTTCGAAAGCACGTCAAAGTGCAAGTAGATAAATAGGTACCACTCTGGTGGGAAGGTAAACGGCATTTCCGTGCAAAAGCGGCTTAGTCATGCTGGCCACTTGACCCAGAAGCTGTACGCCAGCTCCCTCGGCCAATAAAGCGAGATGAGCGCTGCAACCCCAGAGTCAGTCACGACTGGACCAGGGGTCCCTTTACCTTTACCTTTATGGTCCTTCTACAATGTCATCTACAATGCCAAAAGAAGATGAAAGGACTTCCTTCTTCCAAGGTGTTTGTGCTGTGAGTCCTGGTCTGAAGATCCATGACACTTATCACCTTGCTGAAACCAAGCAGGGCAGAATCTGGTCAGTACCTGGAAAGGTGACCTGAGAACACCTTGTCTATTGCTTTGGGTTCTATGATGATGAAAGGCAGGATATAAGAAGCTGTCTTTTACCGTGGTCAGGGTATTAAATGAGTGAGATGCCAGTCTCTGGGATTTCCCCAATGCAAAGCATGTGCTATACCACTTAGGTATGCCCCGTAATATGCAGAGGCCCATATGGACTACACTGCACTGTCCAGGCCATTTCAACTCCTGCCCATTTTTGACTGGGCCTACAAAATGAAGATTGCAGTGAATAGGATTAATATATACAAATATTTCCCTTTCTGCTGAACAGTCCCAGTGGAGAATGCGTGACAGATATTGAGGATATTTCCTTCTTCTTTGAAGTTGTCTTCAGGATCTCTTACACAAAATACATTTTGAGGGGCCTTTATAAATGTGTATTCACCATGTTTTCTGTTTTGAAGCTGAGGAACAGTTATCTGCTCTTACTTCATGTTGTCCCTTTTCCTGGGTATTTTTGTACGTCTACCAACTATTAATTTGCCGATATGAGAACTGGTAAAATCACATCCTAACTTGTTAAGTGCAGCTGTAATTTATTTTCACTGTGAACTTGTGAGAAAAATGTGTTAATAAAACAACAGAAAGTGGGTTTTTCCTCTTTACACTTTACACATTATTTATATAGGTCTTGTTTTCCCTTAGTTAACTTATTCTGCAGCCTATGTTTGTACATGTGGCATACACGTATTTTCACTGCACTTTTATCCACAAGATCTAGACTTATGCCTATGTTTATGGGTTTTGTTCAGTTATATTCAGTTTTCCCTTTGTTAACTTATTCTGCAAATCATGTGCGTTATCTGATACAGTAGTGTTAGCCTCGGATGTAAACTCTGCATATGCAATCATGCCTATCCATCTCTTTCATTTCAAAGAAGAGGCCTAACCTATCCAATGTTTGTTATTTGTCCTTTTTAATGGGTGCAGCTCAGTTAAGACTTCATTTTAAAGTGAACCACAGCTCATCTGACAAAGGAACATGGTGTCAACTGATGTGGGCAAGCCTGCAACTTTAAACCCTTGATACCATGGCACTTTTATGAGATTCTTTTCCAAAGTTGGGATGTAACCACCTGGATTTCAGATGATCTGATTCCGACTGAAGATCCTGGTACTTTTGTTGTTGTTGGAGAATGCAGTTATTACCGTATGTTCTTGTTCTGTACTTCTCAAGCCTAGCAACGCTAGTAACCCAACACTGCAGGGATCAGTGTATGAAACTGCCTTACCTTGAATCAGACAAGGTGAAATGTGGTTCAGGGCTATTGCAATGGAAACCATTTATTTCTGAATCTAAGGTAACCAGGGCAACCAACCATCTCAGCTAATATTGCCCAACCAAGGGCTCACCCATACTTCCATTTGTGCCACGATATCTAGCAGGTCCATGATTTGTAGGCTCGGCTCCAGGTGTTTGTTTGTGTCCCACCACTTTCCCCGGGAAAACCTGCTGTTTACTGCTGAATCGGAGCAATGATGTCTATCAGGTTTTCTTCGGATTGTCATCCTGCTACTCCTTTGCAGGACAGTTACACAGAGGATTCCATAGCATCGCAGGATTGCACACTGTGTTCATCGTACTCAGTGTAGACCCATTGAAATGAATGACCGTGGCTTGGGTCCATTTATTTTAACGGATCTACTTTGAGCGGAACTTAGTTGGATACAATCCACAGAGCTACAAGGGATCTGAAGATCATAGAGCCCAAGTCTTGATCTGCAAGGCAGATCCCCACTCAAGTCTTGATCTGCAAGGCAGAAATCAACTGCAGCATTCACGACAGGCAGCCATCTTCCCACTGAAATTTGACTCAGGCAGACGTCCATCCTTTGTTCAAAA